GTACCAATGGTTTGGCTTGGTATAAGGTGGCTTCCTTTGTTCCTATGCCCTAGGTCACATTACACATCCATCTAAAGCAGTATTAGTAAAGTCTCCAGCAGAAGTCTTTCCCATCACCTGTTCCTTTTTAACCAGCAATTGTGGGAATAGAACCTCTGTGAAGTCTATTACAGTGGTACCTCGGGTTAAGAACTTAATTCGTTCCTGTGGTCCGTTCTTAACCCGAAACTGTTCTTAACCTGAGGTACCACTTTAGCTAATGGGGCCTCCCGCTGCCGCCACGCGATTTCTGTTCTCATCCTGAAGCAAAGTTCTTAACCCGAGGTAATATTTCTGGGTTAGCGGAGTCTGTAATCTGAAGCGTCTATAACCTGAAGCGTATGTAACCCGAGGTACCACTGTACTAAGCTGTGGTCAGTCCTCATATTCATCATTTTTAAAAACCCCTCTCTGAAGAAATTTGCAAAAAATAAATTTCATTGTTATAAAACTTTTAAGCGGGAGGGTTAATTGGCTGTTATTATTTTTGTGTTTTTATATTGTAAACTGCCCTGTGATCCTTGCATGAAGGATGTTATCTAAATTAATAACAATAATAGCATTAGTAATTGTTCTTCTTATCAAAAGCGTTACATACAAGTACTTTGGAATCTGGAGTATGCAATATATGCTTGTATTTTGAAAAATCTTAATTTAAACACACACACACAAAATAAAAAGTAGTGTCAATTTTTTTATTTTTTTACATTACAAGCTGGCATTTGTAGGTAAACACTTTGGAAAAACAAAGCAAAAGTTCCACCCGTTCTCTGGTCTTGGTGTGGAAGTGCTGACCTGGCTAATAAATCAGCATGTTTTTACGAGGCAACGCAAGGTCTGTATTTTTAACCTTAAGTGCTGTTCTCAGGAGGCCTGTCAAGGAACGAATCTGAAATATTGCGCTAAAGAGCGGAGGTAAGATTTCAAAGCCCACTGACAGCCATTGGGAGCGAAACATTTTACATAGTCCCCGCGTGGAGGTCCTCACTTGACACAAAGTTTGATGGAAAGGTCATCGCACAATGCAGTGGAAATAGAAGTGTCAGAATCATTCAGAGAGCGAGGGAAAATTAGGGCAGCAGACAGAGTGATATGAGAGAGAAGTAGGCCAACAGACTTTCAGCTTGGCCGTGTGGAATTTGTGCAATGGGGGGAGAATATTTGTGCTTTTTGGGTGGAGCAAGCAGCTCTGTCGTAAACCAAGTCTTGGTTGCATGTGCCACAACTCAGTTGAGTGCGGATGGCTAGCCTGTTGCTGAACGACAGCTCTCAACAGCCACCATGGCCAATGATCAAGGATGATGGGAGTTGTAGTTTGGCAATATCTAGAGAGCCACAAGCAGAGTGGGGCAGAGTCTCTGTGTGCAGAGCCAAAATGCCAAAACTAAGGGCTTAGTTTGCAAACGGTGTGAAGGATGTGTGGTCCTCTGGTTGGTACCAACTATAGCTGTACCTTGGTTTTTGAAGAGCTTAGTTCTTGAACGTTTTGGCTCCCAAACGCCGCAAACCCAAAAGTAACTGTTCCGGTTTGCGAACTATTTTTGGAAACTGAACATCCAATGGGGCTTCTGCGGCTTCTGATTGGCTGCAGGAGCTTCCTGAAGCCAATTGGAAGCCGCACTTTGGTTTCCGAACGTTTTGGAAGTCGGAACGGACTTCTCCGGAACAGATTCCATTTGACTTCCAAGGTACGACTGTGTAGCAAATAGGCACGTTGAATTTTTCAGCTTTCAACTTCCAAAAAAGAGTGGGGCCAAAATTTTGTAACATGACTTAGGAATTCAGTATATGTTTTGGTTAAATTAATATAATTTAGTTTGGCCTGGTAAGTAAAATGTGCACCGAGAACACTGTCCAACCATCTCGTCCTCTGTCGTCCCCTTCTCCTTGTGCCCTCCATCTTTCCCAACATCAGGGTCTTTCCCAGGGAGTCTTCTCTTCTCATGAGGTGGCCAAAGTATTGGAGCCTCAGCTTCAGGATCTGTCCTTCCAGTGAGCACTCAGGGCTGATTTCCTTAAGGATGGAGAGGTTTGATCTTCTTGCAGTCCATGGGACTCTCAAGAGTCTCCTCCAGCACCATAATTCAAAAGCATCAATTCTTCGGTGATCAGCCTTCTTTATGGTCCAGCTCTCACTTCCATACATCACTACTGGGAAAACCATAGCTTTAACTATACGGGCCTTTGTTGGCAAGGTGATGTCTCTGCTTTTTAAGATGACCCATTGAAATGGATGAACAGGAATAAGTTAGGTCCATCAATTTCAGTAGGACTGCTCAAGAGCAAAACTTAGTTGCATACCATCCATTGGTCCCTCAAGACTGGTGGTGGTGTTTATTAAATTTGTACGCCACCCTTCATGCATGGATCTCAGTTCACAACATAAAATTGCCATATAAAAAACACGAACTGCATAATAAAGATAAGAACAAACACAAACCAGTCATTCCTGCCTCCAACGACACATTTAAAAGCACATTGGATCCCAATGAGCCAAAGGCTCGGTTGAAGAATAACGTTTTTGCCTGGCGTCTAAAGATATGTAACGAGGGTGCCAGTCAAACCTCCCTGGTGAGAACATTCCACAAATGGGAACCACCTCAGAAAAGACCCGTTCTTTTGTTGCCACTCTCCAGACTTCTCATAGAGGGCCTCAGATGATGATCTCAGGGTTCCGAGTCAGTTCATATGGAGAGAGGCGGTGCTTGAGGTATTGCAGTCCTGAGCCATTTAAGGCCAGCACTGGGCCTAGGAACTAATTGGCAGCCAGTGCCGTTGGCCCAGGATTGGTGTAATATGCTCAAACCATGTTCCTCCAGTGAGCAACCTGATTGCTGAATTCTGCACTAGCTGAAGTTTTTAAACCATCTTCAGGCACAACCCTATGGGACTTCCCCATCACTGAAGCAAAACAGCCTTACTGCAATCTGTCATTCTTTGGTTTACCTGCAATAATAATTACAAAGTTGTTTGTCAGCTTGGAGAGGGGGGAAATTAGATTGAATTGAGGTTGAATTACACTATATACCAGATGGAATAGCCCTTGTGCTAAGATCTGCATGTATTCGTGAGGGTAATAATACAGCTTCTTTAATGAGTTTAATTCCGGTCCCACAAGCAGAAATGATATCAACTTAGCCAATTAGCTTCAGATTCTCAGGATAGGAAAAGGGCGTTCAGGTTTTACAACTCAGCTGTGAGGAATTGAAGTGGCTGTTAAATTTTGCTTTTCAGCACAAATGCCGCCAGAGCATCTAAAAATCTTATGTGGATACACAGGCCAAACCTCTAGTGTGGGAAGCTGTCTCCTCAGCTAGAGAATTAACTCAGTAAGACATTCTGTAGCAGAAGCACAAGAGAGATTTTCTCAGCAGCCATTACTCAATTAGATAGGCTTCCAATAAAACGAGCCTCGATTGCCCAGTCACAAGATCTAGCTCCTGGTGCTTCTTCTTCTGTGGACATCCTAGTTGTTTTCTGTCCTTCCTTTGAAGTGATGCCTCTGTTGTGGTCTGCAGTTTATTCTCTCGTTCATGGTTCACCTCAAACTAGCCAGTGGTGGTGCAGTGCTTGGAGTGTCAGACTAGGACTTGGGAGAACAGGGTTCGATTCCTCGCTCTGCCATGATGCTCACTGGGTAACCTTGGGCCACTCACTACCTCCCAGCATGGATCTCCTTCGTGTGCATGTCACATGGAGGTGATGAAGCTGCCTTCAAGATCATAGCCCTTAGTTTTGCCTACACCAGAGACAGGAAGTCTGGGGATCAGCCTGACCAATGGGCAGGGGTGGTAAGAGCCATAGTCCAGCAATAACTGGAAGCCCATTGACTTCCCATCCCTGGTCCACACTGAGCAGCAGTGTGGCTTTAGGGTTTCAGACCAGAGTATTCTCCAGCCCTGCCTGTAGATGAACCTGGGACCTTCTGCTTGCAAAGCAAGCGATGTGCCACTGAGCTGAAGCAGTGCTTTGGGTATTTAAACAACAACAAGAAACATTTGGGCCAGGGCCGTCGTACCCATAGGCACTAGGGGTGCGGGACACGGGGCACCCGGGTGCCAGGCTCTCAGGGGCGCCAGGCCAAGAGTCCGGGGCCTGAGAGTTGAGTCCAGGGAAGAGCTCGCGGGTCGGTTGGCGCGCCGCAGCGGGCTCTTCTTCTGCGGGTGGTTATGTGCTGCGAGTTCGGGGGCGACCGAGCCAGTGAGATGCTGAGGCAGCCGGCTGGCTCCGCCCTCCTGTGTGCCTGGGACTGGGTAACCGGGGAGGGGGGACCGGGCAGATCTTTGCACCCCGGCGACGCATATGCTTAAGACAGCCCTGATTTGGGCATATGTGCATGTGACATGTCTGCACAATATTTCTTTATCCCATTTTTTAATTCTTTATTTCCTTATCCCAGTTTCTTTACTGCAGAGAAAATCATTATTGCAGATCTTACTCTTTGCTGAAGGCAAAGGGTCGGCTCTTTGTAATGTAGGTCCCATACTCACCAAATGTTGGGCATTTAATCTCAAAGGGAGCAACAGGAAGGGCAATGGGTTGAATTTGCTTTCAGGCTGAACGTCAAGCGCTGGCAGCAACAGCGTTGATTCATTTTTTTGCTCTCCTTTGCTTCTGCACACACATACCCTGCCCTCTGTTAAATTGAATTTTATTATGATTGCCCAGTGTTTCCTTGCAGAGGCCAGAATGTAAAGAGCCAAATGGTTATTTCATCTGAATGGAGATTAAGGTCTCAAGGCAATAGTTTGATAGAGTGAGTGTAACTTTCATACTTTTCATTACTGGAGCAATTGGAGATGCTGGGAGATGCTCTTCACTTTATTGGGAGCAAGGAATGTCTTGACACATCCAAAAGTACTCATGGAAAGTGCCATTTACTTATCACCAGGTGCTGATTGCAAATACCTTTTTAAAATAAAATAAAATCCAGTGTTATGTCCCCCATCCATCTGCAGCCAATGAGTAAGTGTGTGGGATTTTGTATTTATTTATTTTGGGCAGTGGGAAGGCAGATATATGGTGAATTAAATATTAATTTATTGGAACCTAAGGAAAGACCAGGTGCCTAACATTTATTGGAGGGGGGTGTCTCTTATTTCCAATGTTATTTGGATGATGTCGGTAGCAGAAACATTTTTTTAAAAAAATTGTATTTACAGTAAGACAAATTAAGGATCAGCAAATGAGATACCTATAAAATAAATAACAAATATCAAGAGATTTAAACATTGCAACAAAGTTTTGACTGTTAGTGAGCTACTACAGCTGTTATGGGGGTAGTGTTGTGTGTGTGTGATGCATTTTTGTATGAATGTGGCACTGCTATAGTGTCTTTATGTTTTTAAATATGTCATTATCCCCTTGGAGACTTTCGTTTAGCAGGCTATTTAAAAAGTCAAGTAAACAAACAAAAGTGATCAGAAGCGAAAACCGGAAAATATAACTTTGTCGCCAGAACCGCAGCATGCTATAATGTTTACAAATTACAAAGTAGAAAGCACTTGGGCACATGTATCTGGGGAGGGTTTTTCACAACTGAGGGGGCCACTGTGGAAAAGACCCTTTCTCTTGCAGCCATCTGCAATATCCCAGTTGATGGGGAGCACCTGGAAAAGGACTTCGGATGATGATCTCAAGGCCTGGGCAGCTCATATTCCACAGGGGGTGGTCTGAAAACATGGGAGGCCACCACCTAGCTGAAGCTAAGCAGGTACAGGTGTGCTCAGTTGGGTGACCGCCTGGGAATCACATTTGTGCTGCCTTTGATCCCATGACAAAAGAAAGGCAGGATATAAACGTAAGAATTCATTTCTTACAAGCTTTTCGAACTAAAAAGCTCCCAAGGGCTTTTGAAGGTCAAAACCAGCAATCGGACTTGGAAATGGACCCAAAGTCACAGATGATGATAGAAAATAGGCGTAACAGGCTCGTGGTGCCTGGTCCCAGTTTCCTGGCAGCTATACTGTGCAGTTTTCAAAGGCAGTGTTGCAGAAATCCAAAACAGAAAATTATATATGTGGAGAGATGCGAATGCCCTTGAAACACTGCAGAAACGGCTGGGTGTTCTTCATAACCGCCTTTGCTCGTTCCCTTATTCTTACTACATGCAAAATCTTTCATACTCCTTCAAAATAAAAAGCAAGTATTTTCGAGCAGCGCTAACCCATTCCCCCCCACCTGCTCCCAAACTCAGCTCTTTTGAAGGAGGAGACAGCCTCCTTCTGCCTGCACAAGGTCACCCCAATGTCCCCTTGCTCTTTTGATGCCTAAAACATCTCCTCTTCTGGCTGCTTTCGAATGAGACTGAACCGGACCTCATTATTTCTGCCTAGCTTCTCGAAATGCTCCTGTTACTGGCACAAGCCTCCAAGGGTTGTGAGAGGCCGTTTCTGCTCCTGGGTTTGCTTCTGTTCTGTGTGTGTGTGTGTGGTCTTTGTTGTATTAATGGATTCAAACTGTGAAATGCCCGCTTTGTTCCCCTGGGCATTGTTCTTCAGTTCTTGTCTTGACCTTTCTTCTTCTGCTGAGAGGAAACATTAGTCTAATTGTGAAGCTATCTTGCTTGACTTTAAAGCACTATCTCCTGGGAAGGTTAATCTCTCATTTTTGCCCCCCCCCCTTCTCTCTCCTTTCCTCCCTTTAAAGATTCATCTTCTAACTACATCAGACAACTTGAAACAAAAGTCAAGCTGCTAGAGGACGACAATAAACTTCTCTCTCAGGTAGGTGGGCTTTCGAAAGCATGTGTCGCTACCCTGGTTCCCCCTTCCGGCAGAGCAACGGCGGGTGTGGACCAAGAGGGACCTGAATTTTGACAGGAACGTACCTTCACTGGCTGACAGAAGATCCGACCAGCTTCCTTGCTTCGCTAAGCATAAACTGAATTTTGAAACTCTGAAATTGAAAACAGTTAATCTATTTTCACACCATTATTATTATTATTATTATTATTATTATTACTACTACTACTACTATTACCTGGGACAGGGCCATGCAACCCAAAGAAATGAGGTGGGAGGGAGAAGGAGAGAGATAAGGGAACAGCACCCCCATCCCAGCAGCTAAATGGGCTGGCAGCTGAATATTATTTCAGTACTGGAAACGGGATAGTGTCCTCCACCCCACTCTTGCTAATGGAGGTCCACAGCTCCGTCAGCCAAGGTGCTGAGGAGGACAGCAGGGAGCTTTCCCTGCTGCCCCCCACCATCCCCACATTTTCCACTTGAGGCAGTTGCTTCACTCAGTTAGGCCTGGCTCTGCTCACTGCTGTACTATATTCTAGATCAGGAGTGGGGTACCTTGGGACCTCTGAACTACAACTTCCATCAGGCTTGTGACTGGGGATGATGGGAATTGTAGTTCAGCAACATCTGGGGGGGGCAAGGGTTCCCCACATCTGTTCCAGTTAAGAATGAAACTGCCGTATTTTCCGCTCTATAAGATGCACCAGACCACAAGACGCACCTAGTTTTTGGAGGAGGAAAACAAGAAAAAAAATATTCTGAATCTCAGAAGCCAGAACAGCAAGAGGGATCACTGCGCAGTGAAAGCAGCAATCCCTCTTGCTGTTCTGGCTTCTGGGATAGCTGAGCAGCCTGCATTCGCTCCATAAGATGCACACACATTTCCCCTTACTTTTTAGGCGGGAAAAAGTGAGTCTTATAGAGCAAAAAAGACGGTAACTTCTTGGTCCTCTGGAGTGAGTATATTGTATAAGACATTGTTTTGAAGCAAGGGTTGTGGCTGTCTCTTAAATTTTAAAGGATTGAACTGGCTGAGCTCTGCGTATCTTAGGAACATGTCTCACTATATAAACCTTCCCCCCCCCCTTTAAGATCCTCCCAAGAACCCCCTGCTGCTTCAGATGCCTCAAAGGCAAAATATTTGTCATTTGCGTCACCTACAGAGGAAACCCTCCACAATTGCTATGAATGTCCCCACTTTTTCCTATTAGTTTTAATGCTTATTTTAAAGTTATAATGCTATATTTTAATGTTTCACTTTATTAGTTCTGTGCTGTAAGTATGTCACTACGCCAGATTGAATGTAGCCAATTTTTATTTTAATGTAATCTGCCTCGGAGATAACTAGGTGTAAATGGAGGAGACAGCTATCTGAAATGACGAAAAGAAATCCCCATTGCACCACAGAGGAGTCCAAGGCTTGTTCTGGAACACTGAGTAATGTTTTTATGTGGCACATCCATGACCAAAGGGACATGGGAAACCTCCTTATGCTAGGTCAGATCTTTGCTCCACAGAGCCCAAAGCTATCTTCTTGAAGTGGCACTGAATCACCCAAGGTTTAGGGTGCCACTTCCAGCCTTCTGAGTTCCGATAGAAGTACAGTGGTACCTCGGGTTACAGACGCTTCAGGTTACAGACTCTGCTAACCCGGAAGTAGTACCTTGGGTTAAGAACTTTGCTTTAGGATGAGAACAGAAATCGCGCAGCGGCGTGGCAGCAGCAGGAGGCCCCATTAGCTAAAGTGGTATCTCAGGTTAAGAACGGTTTCAGGTTAAGAACAGAATGAAGTTCTGTTCATTCTGTTCATTTGAGGTACCACTGTATGTTCTATTGCGATTAATGGTGCTTACTCCCCAAATAATCTGTGAGAGGTTGGCATGTAAAGTTCTTGCAATGTGCTGAAATGCAGGGGCTGATGGGTAGTTTTAGCCTGGAACTTTGAAATTCCGAGTCACATGTTCCAGTAGTAATTATTGTCAGATGCTTTTATTTTTATTTCAAGGAAGCCAAGTTATTATCACTAAAATAAAAAAATAAAAAACAAGTAGATGGGCTCTTTTGGCAGTGTGGCCTGTTGCCAGGCAACAAGCCATGGATTGGATCGTGGTGACTGGCTCCCTGTTCAATATGCCCTTGGCCTGACTTCTTCCTGCTTTGTGTGTGCTGCACAAAAAAACACCAGAGGGTACTTGATCTGTTTACCCTCCCCCCACCCTTTTTTTAACATATACACGAGGTCAAAAGCAGGATCAATAACTAATAGTTGAAAAGTGCACGAGCAATTAAAAAAACAAGCAAACAGCAATTTTCCCTGTTCTTCTCCATAGCAGGTGATGTTCCTTCTACAATTGGGCCTCTGAGATTAGGGAACCGCTGAAGAAATGTTCCAGTTGGAATTTAGCAGATTTGTTTGTTTATTTGTTTATTTTATACCAAATCTGGCCTTTTGTGTTAAAGCACTCTTAAAAAAACAAAGAAACCCAGAAAACAAAAAGGCTGGTTAACAATTTCAAGCCATATCAGATGGGGGGCGGGTAGGGGGAACCTTTGCTGACACAGATTGTCACATAGACAATGGAGCAAATTTGTTTTCTTCTGCCTAGCCCTAGAGCCTTGGCCAACCTGTCGCCCTCCAATGTGGTTGGACTACAACTCCCATCAGCCCCTGCCAGCACACTTGTTTTCAGTTAACCTAACACAATTAAAAGGGGGGAACGCCAATAATAAGTAGGTAGGCTGGGACCACTCTTTAAAACAACACCTTTTAAAAGAACTAGGTTGGTCAGGCCCCAGATTCCATCCTTGAGAAATCAAAGAACCCCATCTAGAAAAGAAGGGGCTTTGTAGTTAGTCTCGTTATCAAAATAATAATTACCCCACTCCCAAATAATTGAAAGCATGCAGATCTAAAACGGATAGCCTGACAAATGTACATCAACAGTACCTCTAACAGCAGGCATGGCAGGTTCAAAGGAACCTCTGGAATGTATCCTTCTATTCACACGAGACTAGCATTCTGCCTTCTCATGTGTTGAAAGACTGCAGAGATGTCAGGAAGTGTGGAAGGACGAGGTGCATTGAGAAATCCTTTGCTAACTTAATTTCGCTCTCTTCTCAAGGAGACATAATGGGAGCCTTGACGCATCACAGAGCATCAACTGAGCAGGTCAAGTGACTTGTTCCTGAGAGAGGCTTCTGGTAGCAAAGGGTCTTTCAGGGGGTGGGGGTTATTTGCAACAGGAACACTTTTAAAAAAACAAAACAAAAAGCTTGCAGTATAGTTTTCAGCCGGAAGATTGAATTTCCTTAGATGAAGCAGTATTTTGCTTCTGTGTTTAGAAGCTGGAAAGATGCCAGGTAGCCTTCCATAATCACCAGCGAGTCACTAATCTCTTAATGCATGGGCATTTGTTAGGACCTCAGATTTCATCACTCCGGGGGCCTTGTCTACACAACTTCCTAGCAGCGAACTTACCAAAAGTCACTGAATGTCAGCATTCAAGGGTAAAAGTGTGCTGGGATCAGGCTCCGGTTCAGCCGGTGATCTTGTGAGCACCCAGCTATTCCAGGGGAAATTTGTCAGCTTTGAAGAAAACCATCTAACACAGCGGTTCTCAACCTGTGGTTCCCCAGATGTTGTTGGACTACAACTCCCACCATCCCTGAGCTCTGGCCTTGCTAGCTAGGGGTGATTGGAGTTGTAGTTCAACAACATCTGGGAACCCACAGGTTGAGAAAGACTGCATTATAGTCTAGGGTCTGGGGAAATATAGGATGGGGGACACCTGACTTACTAGCAGTACATGTGAAAAGGTTCTAAGGGTCTTGGTGGACCACAAACCTAACATGAGTCAACAGTATGATGCAGCAGGGAGAAAAAGCTAATGCTATTCTAGGCTGCATCAACAGAAGTGTAGTGAGGGAAGTAATAGTACTACTCTATTCTGCCTTGGTCAGAACACATCTGGAATACTGTTTCCAATTCTGGGCACCACAGTTTAAGAAAGATGTTGACAAGCTGGAACGTGTGCAGAGGAGGGCAACCAAGATTGTCAAGGGCTGGAAACCAAGCCTTATGAGGAACAGTTGAAGGAGCTGGGTATGTTTAGCCTGGAAAAGAGGAGACTGAGAGGGGATATGATAGCCATCTTCAAATATCTCAAGGGCTGTCACATGGTGGATGGAGCAAGCTTGTTTTCTCCTGCTCCAGAGGGTCAGACTCGAACCAGTGGCTTCAAGTTGCAAGAAAGGAGATTCCGACTAAACATCAGGAAAAACTTTCTGACAGTAAGAAAAGAAAAAGAAAAGCTTTTTGACAGTGAAACGGGCTCTCTCGAGAGGTTGTAGACTCTCCTTCCTTGGAGGTTTTTAAGCAGAGGTTGGTTGGCCATCTGTGCTGGAAGTTTCAGTTGATATTCCTGAATTGCAGGGGGTTGGACTAGATGGCTCCTGGGGTCCCCTGGACTGTTTCTATTGCACAAGAGGGGTTGGGTGGGATAGCAAATTCTGACCCTGAATTCATTCGTGCAGACTAAGTCTAAAGCATGCTGCTTTCACATGATGGTGCACGACTGCTGTCCGCTCTTCATGTATTCCTACTGAATATTGCAGAAAACCCCATTAAGCAGAGGCAGCAGCCACAGAGCAGCCTGGTTCTGTGGACTGAGCCCTTTATCTGTGCAGCTCAGTCCTGCGCAGGAAGACATCTAAAAATAGTATTGTGCTAACGCGTTTACCTCACTGGTTTGTCATGTTCAATTCGGGGAGAAATCGCAGATGAGTCACAGCAAATTTCATTCTTTAGAACTATAAAATGCACGTCGCTGTCTGTGGTTTTTCTCTTCCGTGCTCCCTGTAGTTCCCACCTTGCAGGTTGAGAAACAAGGCCAGGCTTCCCATTCCGCTGGGGGCTTTACATCACTACTGGCAAGGGGCATAGCTCACTGGTAGAACACACGTGCTACAGGCTCAGGTCCCAGCATCTCCAGGGAGGGAAGAAACCCTGTATAAAATCTTGGAGAGCCACTGCCAGTCAGCACAGTCGGTGCTGTAGTCTTCTGCCTCCTCACTGTAGGGCAGCATCCTATGTCCCATGATGTTCAGCGCAAGGACCATTTCCAGCCACAGATTTGGGGAGTGTCATGTTTGTCATTGTAAAATAAAGAAGCGAACTTGTAGGACAGCAAATTAATAATAATAAAAATAAATTTATTTATACCCCGCCCTCCCCGGCCAGAGCCGGGCTCAGGGCAGCTATCACCAATAAAATTACAGTAAAAACATAATGGGGGAGGGGACAATTTAAAATACAGGTTAAAATGCAATTTAAAATGCAGCCTCATTTTAAAAGTAGCCCATAGATCAAGACCATAAGGGGAGGGAAACATAAGGGTCAAACTGAGTCCAAACCAGAGTGGAACAGCTCTGTCTTGCAGGCCCTGCGGAAGGATGTCAAGTCCCGCAGGGCCCTAGTCTCTTGTGACAGAGTGTTCCACCAAGTCGGGGCCAGTACTGAAAAGGCCCTGGCCCTAGTTGAGACCAATCTAACCACCTTGCGACCTGGGGCCTCGAAAATGTTGTCATTTGTGGACCATAAGGTCCTCCGCGGAGCATATCAGGAGAGGCGGTCCCGTAGGTACGTGGGTCCTAGGCCGCATTGACATTTATTTATTTTACTATGAAAAAGGAAGAGGCAGCATGCCTCTGAATGCCAAATGCTGGGAATCACGAGTGGGGAGTTTGCTGTTGCATTCTGGCTTGCGGGCTTCCCATAGGCATTGAGGTTTGCTGCTGTGGGAAGAGGACGCTGGACTAGATGGGCCACTGGCTTGATCCAGCAGCGATCCTTCAGATGTTCTTAGGATACATTTGATATTTCTCACTACAGCTCCCAGAATGTCCTTTTCTGCACGGCACTTAGATATTGCTGGTGTTAAAGAGATACAAGAAAGCGCTGTTAGAACCATACAACCATAGATTTGCAGAGTTGGAAGGGACCACAACAGTTATCATCCAGTCCACCCACCTGCAGTGCAGGATTATTTTTGCTTGAAACCATGACCCTGAGATTAAGAGTCTCATGGCCTGCCTGAGCCACTCTGAACATTCAGTAATAGTAATGCAAATGAAAGATGGGACATTTTGCATCTTTAAATTTTGATACCCTCTGGTCGTGACAGAAGGCGAGTCTTTCCCATGATGCACCTGCCAGAACTTTGTTGGGAAACAGTAGCACCAAAGTCCTGCAATCATGGGGGTGATAGACTATGAAGAAATGCTGGGAATAGACCTATTCATATCTATGGATTTAAGATGCTTACAGCAAGTCCATTGATAGCAGTGGTTTTATTCTGAGTAGGGACAACATCAGATGTCACACACACATTGTTTGCTGTAAACTTGCCGAGTGTCGGATCAAGAAACCTTAAAAATAGATTTCACACCTTCTTGTCACCTTAACAAAGTGAACCTGTGCAACACACACACACACCCTTCAGTAAAAATCTCCAGAGAAGTTCCTAGGCCACGAACATAACTATCCTATCCTAGGTAACATGATGGGAGCAACTGTGGCCTAGTGAAACAGGGGTGGGGAATTTTCTCAGCCCAAGGTCCAAAATCCACCCAGGACATTCCATTCTGAGAGGTGGGGGTCACATGGTGGGTGGGCTAAGAGGCAGAAGTGAGTGGAGCAATGACACTGAGTTTTCCCTTTGTACAGTTGGATACTTTCTGCACACATCCCTGCGTCCCTCTCTGCTCTCTATCCACAAAAGCAAGAGAAAAATACTACAGTTCAAGAAACCCATTGCAGCCAAGCAAAAGTGTTCCAGGGTCCAAGGCAGGGGAGTGATGGCTGTTGTCTGCAGAAAGTGACAAAGCTCAGAGAGAGAGAGAGAGAGAGATGTATGTCCTCATTTGGCCCTGGGCTCCAGATTCCTCACCTGTGAAGTAAAATAAGGTCTGCTCTGCTCTTAAGGAGAGTTTGGAGCCTGGTTGTACAACCACTGTACTTAACAGTAGTGATCACTGGGCAATTTGTGTGGTGGGCCATTTCCCTCTGCCAACACGTACAGAATTGTGATTGCGTCCTGCCCTTTTTGCATAAGGTTTCAAGCTTCTCTAAGCTCAAAATCAAGACTTGAAGGAAGGCGTGTACCGTATTTTTCACTCTATAAGACGCACCCGACCATAAGACACAGCTAGTTTTTAGAGGAGGAAAACAAGAAACAAGAAAGCAACGCAAAGCCTCTTGAGCGAAGAGGCAGGAGCACTCCGGCTCCACTCAGGAGGCTTTGCGGGGCTATCCCTGAAGCCAGGAGAGCAAGAGGGATCGGTGTGCACCGATCCCTCTTGTTCTTCTGGCTTCAGCGATAGCTGTGCAGCCTGCATTCGCTCCATAAGACACACATGCATTTCCCCTTACTTTTTAGGAGGGGAAAAGTGCGTCTTATAGAGCGAAAAATACGGTAATTCTTGCTTGTTTCTTCTGAAACAAGTGCATACGTTTTCAGCCCCTCAGTTTCAGTTTCATGCGCTCGACTTTGCTCCCATGCTCAATAAGGGGATCGGCTGTCAAAATATCAGTGCGTGCTTCTAGCCTCTGTTCAGAACCAGCATGCCCAGAGGATTTTCCAGGTCAGAGATTGCCTCCACGTTCATTGGTTGTCTCTGACCCGGAAAAAAAGCCCAGATTTCAGTGGGGCTCACATTTCAATGGCAAGCCAGCAAGATGGGAAATGGGAAGAAAGTTTGTCACCCAGATGATGAAAGGGTTTCCATCAAAGCTTCGAGTGCCATGTCCTGCAGTGCTTTTAACAGATCTGAGAGCTAGGACTTGGTGGGATTCGCATTTTTGCATTTAGTGGATTCAAGTTGCATGACTCTTCTTTTTTCTTTTTTGCCTCTGGCTTAGTGCGCTGAACTTGCCACCTGCCACCTCTTGCTCTCCTGATCAACCCTCTGTGTGAGGCTTGACTCATTAGCAGGTTGTGTGTCATGCAAGTAACTTCCACCGTGGGAAAAAACTTCCTGCCGTGTCAGTCCAACACTCTAAAATGAGACATAGAGTCCAGTAGCAGCTTAGAAGCTAAGAAGCATTGCATTAGTCTGCAGAGGCTTCATCAGATGCATGAAGGGATATTCCCATCTTACATCATGATGCATTGGTTAAGTTTTTAAGTTGCTACAGCAAGGATAAGGAACAAATTAAGGCCAAAGACCTCATTTCTTCTGGGCTAACTTGGAGGCTAGATGTCAGCAGTGAGCGGGGTCAGCTCTCTACACGCATTTCTGCCAGCTGGGATGCAGGTGGCACTGTGGTCTAAACCACTGAGCCTCTTGAGCTTGCCAATAGGTCAGCAGTTCGAATCCACCCAACGGGGTGAGCTCATATTGCTCTGTCCCAGCTCCTGCCATCCTAGCAGCTTGAAAGCACACCAATGCAAGTAGATAAATAGGTACCACTATGGCAGTAACATAAACGGTGTTTTCATGCACTCTGGTTTCCATCATGGTGTTCCGTTGCTCCAAAAGTGGTTTAGTCAACCCCATAGTTGCCTTTAACTGGACGTAGCCTTCCAGGGGTCCTTTACCTTTACCTATCCATACCTATCAGACATAACACATGCACCCACATCCATTCTCACACATAGCAGATATGTAACACATAATTACGTACATATTTATTCATACGCACGTACACACAGACAAACACATCCAGACTCTCGCACGCACCCCTATGTATATTTACAAAACATTTATATTTATATCCTTTAGGGACCCAGGAGGCAGCTAATAGCAGCACCTGCTCCCTCCAATCATGGATGCAATTAAAACAAGCAATTAAACCACAGTGTAAGCTGTGAGCGAGGAACTTCCAGCCCTGTGGACCCGACCTCTATTATTTGGCCCTTGGGACTCTCTCCAGGCCTTCACCAGCCCTGCTGTGCATCCTCCTTGAGTGCTTTTGCCTGGCTGGAATGTGGCCTTGAAGTGGGACAAAGCCCCTTGCTTGCCTGGGTGGAGGATGGAGGAATGTGTGCAAACCTCTGACTTTTGCATGGCTGGAATGTAACTTCCTATGCGAGCATTAGAATCACACCCACTTCTACCTCTGGGCCAGCCCAACCCTCGCAATACTGTGCACAAGGGGGTGTAGCCCCTAGGCTGAAAAAAAGATTTCCCACCCTTAAAATAAGCTGATAAATAATAAAAATGCAAGATATAGTAGAAACGTCCAGTCCGGCAGAACATTGTTCAGCCTGGTCCTCAAAGTGCTTTGAATACAGGGGTGTTTTAATATGCTCCCGCCTGATAATGATGGAACCAGCTGAACCTCCCTGGGAAGTGACTGCTACAAACTTGCCACCACCACTGAAAAGGCCCCGTCTTATGTCAAAGGCCCCTTATGTTGCTAAAATGGCAAGGGAAGGGGTTCACTTGACTGGATCGCTCCCTTTGTGGTAGAGCCCCCTCCCACACTGGCTGGACACAACACCATTTGGCAGCAGGGACTTGTCATTGTCACCAGGCACATCCTAATCTCCTTGTTGTTGAGTGGTGTTTGTGTGAACACCCCCCCACACACACACCTTCACATATGAATTGCATAAAGAGGTTCCATGCTATTACATGGGTAGCGGGCCTGCCCATCTGGCATGGACGTCTGCAGTGGGGAAGCCTACAAGAGAATCCTAATGGACAAAGGGCTCCAATTCCCAGAGAAGTTTACATGCATATAGATCTGTAGACGTCCTATTCTGGTCTGACAAAGGAGCCCACAGAGCAAGGCAAGCCAGGAATTTCAGTACCACAGAGAGCTCCTGAGTGAGCAACTTGTTCCAGCAATGGTTGAAAGCAAACCGAGCATTCTGAAGCCTCTGCCTCCCAGACCACCTCTCCTAGGCTGTGCCCCCTTGCGGAGAGCATAGTTTATTAAATAGCCAACCCTTTAGCCAGAAGACGGGCACTCCTATGCTCTATGGCCTCCCTACTGTTGCGCTCACTGCACAAATACTGTGGGAGGTATTTGGTTCCTCAGTCTCCAATGAGTTTGGTGCTTTTGGAGGTTGTTCTAGGGACTCCTGTCTGTCAGCCTCAGGCGAATCTCCAGTATTAGGCTCAGGGACCTGGATTTCATCTGGCTCCTTAGCTGGTGACTCTGTCATAGTAAGGTTCCCTGCTGCAGATATCTGCGCTCAGAATACTACTACTACTACTACTACTAATTTATTTATACCGCCCTTCCCAGTTCAGAAACTGGGCTCTGCTAACAACAAATTTAAAACACTTAATTGATGCAACCAAAAACAACATAAAATACAGTATAAAACGTGAATAACAATAAATTCAGAATTCAAAAATCAATTTAGGGGGAAAATCCATTCAATAAACATTAGATGATCATCACGGCTAGCTGGCTAAATTAGTCCTATTTGGGCCAGCGAGGAGACCAGGGGAGAATTAGCTGTGGGATCCCAGAGCAGGTAATCTTCATAAAAAGGAGAGAGGGAGGGAAGGAAGGGGAAGAAAAGATCAGGCTAAGTTCAAATTGAAAGCCAGGCAGAATAGCTCTGTCTTCCAGGCCCTGCGGAAGGAAGTTAAATCCTGCAGGGCCCTGGTCTCATGGGCAGAGCATTCTACCAGGTCGGAGCCACCACTGAGAAGGCCCTGGCCCTGGTGGAGGATAATCTGACTTCCGGGACCGGGACCCCTAAATTATAATTATTCATGGACCTTAAGGTATAGGAGCAGGACTGAAGAAAGTGTGGGGCAGGTCCAGCAATGTGGCTCTTTTTTGATCTCATGGAGCTCCTTGCATGCAATGAACATCGAAAGGGGGCGAGTAGTCTATGTGTTTTCATGCACCTCGTCACATGGGTTGCCTATGCGCCAATCAGCTGCTTAGCCAATGTTTCCTGAGGCTAGGATCACATCTGGATCTGCCAGGTATAAGGAGGAGGTAAGCTCTTTCCTTCTCCCCCAACAATAACTAGATTATTTCTTTTGGAGCCATGTTAGAAGCCATTTGTGGTTCCCACTCGTTATGTTTGTGTCTTTCGCATAGGCCTCTCATTAGCGATGAACAGTAGTGCCCCCCTCCCTCCCTCAAGGACCCTTTTCCAGTTTGTGCTTGTTAGCTTTGTAATGTGGCAATTATATCCTCAAGGAGCCGTGCACGTATCTCCCACAAGTAACATGAAATTGCAAATCTCTCCTTATTTCCCCCAAGCCCCCTTCTGTTTGCGGGGGTGGAAATTGTTATTATTTTAATGCACAAAACCACAAGGCCAATTTCGAGCAAATGACTCATAACGGGGAGGAGGGGAGGAAAAAAACAGCCCACAATTTCCTATGTTCAGCTTCTCCTTAGTATGCAATAAGGTAAAATATTAAATAGGCTGTAGCCTGAACTGCTGTGTTTTATGTTTTGGTATGTGTGGACTCATACTATTGTTGTTGGGTTTTTTTAAATTGTGTGCCCAGGCATTCCAAATTCTGCGACTTGAATAGATTATACAAATTGAGGATAATGTACATAATTTCTCTTACTTTGCATGAATTCTGCAGGGTAAAAAAAAACCCAAAATCAAAACTCTATTTGTTCACTGAATGGTCCCAGGGTAGATTACATAAAACATAACAAATTAAAATAATATACAGTACATTAAAACCATTAAATTAAATGAAAACCACAAAACCGAAGAAAATTACAAGAGCAAGAACACAGCAGTATAGAAGGAGGGGACACACTCACCCAACAGCCTGAGTACAGAGGTCCGTCTTATCCTGACTACCCAATAATAGTACAAGAGGGAAGGGCACCAGGCAGCCTAGGAGCCACCACAGAGAATGCCCTGCCATGCAACTCCACCCCTCAAACCACACAAACACGCGGCACCACTAACAGGCCCTCTCCTGGGCAGGTTGGCTTAGTTACTTTAGTTTAACCTAACAGCCCAAGAATAGCTTTTCTTGATCAGGGCATTGGCTCAGTCCAGCATCCTGTTCTCACAGTGGCCAAACAGGATCCCATAAGAAGCCTGCAAGCTGGACTTGTGCATCAGCACTCTTCCCTCTCATGTTTCCCAGCAACTAGTATTCAGGAACATGCAGCTCCCGGCAGTTTAGCAAGCAACTATGCAAGTGCTGCAACTGGGCCATTGGCAGCCACAGTCTACTCCTATTATTTACATTTACATCCTGCCTGTCATTTCAGTACCACAGAGAGCTCCCGAGTGAGCAACTTGTTCCAGCAATGGTTGAAAGCAAACCAAGCATTCTAAAGCCTCTGCCTCCCAGACCAGGGCGATGTGCATGGTGGTTCTCTTTGCAGTCCCCACTGTCCTCGCAACAAATAGGTTATGCTGAGAGATTAGGATTGGCCAAAGGTCACTCAGTGAGCTTTGTGGCTGTGGGGATTCTCAAACCCTACGGCCAGCTTGCTGCCTGCACTTGATAGGGAATAAGGTGCTTTCCATTTGGAAGGTGTAGTTGTGTTCCAACTGGATCACCCAGTCCATGAGAATTTTCGAGGATTTACACCAATGGCAAAAATACCCTTGAAGGATTCCATATTACCCGTTTAGGTAACACAACAGTCTCCTGGTGTAAATTTCTCTCTCTCTCTTAGCCTAAGAGTTATTGTTATGCAAAAAGCTACTCTGAGTATATATAATTGTAAACGTAAATGCCACTTCAGTGTGTGTCTCTTACAGTCCAAACCCAAACATATTATTCGACAGGACTTGCTCCCAGGTAATTGTGTACAGCCAGGATAGCCAACATGCTGCTCTCCAGTTTCTTGGGCTACAACTCCCATCATCCTTGACCGTTGACTATGCTGGCTGCAGCAGATGGGAGTTGGAGTTCAACAACATCTGGAGGACATAACATTGACTACTGCAACTTAAGGGCTGCAACTTAAGATAACAGATGATAGAATTGTAAAACTGGAAGGGAGCACAAGGGTCCTTTAGTAAGTGTGTGCCTGCTAACGGGGAGAAGAGAGTGGTGGGGGGGGTACATTCGGTGTCTCTGGAAATTTTAACATGTCACTTGGGAAGACAGGCGAACTAATACCAGTGTACTGGAAGAAGCAAAGATCACCAGTGTTGAAATAATGGTTCTTCAACATCAACTTCGTTGGACTGGTCATGTTGTGCGGATGCCTGATGATCGTCTTCCAAAGCAACTACTCTATTCCAAACTTAAAAATGGAAAGGGTAATGCTGGTGGTCAACAAAAGAGGTTTAAAGAATGTCTCAAGGCAAATCTTTAAAAATGTAGTATAAACACCAACAATTGGGAAACACTGGCCTGCGAGCGCTCCAATTGGAGAACAGCCTTTACCAAAGGTGTTATGGGCTTTGAAGACGCTCAGAACGAAAGGGAGAAACGTGCCAAGAGGAAGGCACATTTGGCAAATCAACTCCTGCCTGGAAACCAATGTCCCCACTGTGGAAGGACGTGTAGATCCAGAATTGGCCTCCACAGTCACTTATGGACTCATTGTTAAAACCGCGTTTATGGAAGACAATCTTACTCGTCTACAATTGATCGCTAAAGAAGAAGAAAGAAGACATTGACTCAACATTTAAAAATTGCATCACCAAAGATGTCAGTGTGAATCAAATAAATTAGTGGGATCTGGGCTTTACTGCAGATGTGAGGATTCCAGCTGGGTGAGGAGAAGAGGGGCTGTGTATTTTTGCAAAATTAACTCGATATCCTGTTTGCCGTTCATGCTTCAGGATGCTCACAGTGACACACCCTGCTCTCCTCTCCTCCCTTGAAAGCACAGGTTCAGTTTGCCTTGCTTTGCTGGGAAGAAGAGAAAGGCAGCCCTTTTGGAATGTCAGTGGCTTTGTTGTATTTCAGTTCGGTTTCTCTGCATCTGTAGAACACAAAGCACGTGATGCCACACGCCGCTTTTGCTCCTTGTTCCCCACAGATGATAAATATTTTCATGATTGTTAATTTTACATGCTGAAGCGAAACCCCTTATTAATGATCCCCCGCTATTTGTCATGCGTCCCCCGCAGCTTTATCTCTTTGCTGTCAATTACGAATTCCAATTTGCACCAGTTCTCTAAATAGTGCACTGTTGCAATACCTCTTCCAGTTTAATTCACAAACCCATTTTTTCAGAGTGCAAAGCTAGGCTGTTGACTGCTGAAATCTGCGGGACTTGATTTATTTTCCATGCCAGTTTTATACTAATTGAGTTCTGTGTTCTTTCAGTTTCACCCTTGTGAAAAAGGCAGTGCTGCCCATCCATTTCTCCAGTCTCATCTTTTCAGACCTCCTATATAAGACATTCTGAGGCCTTTTATTTCAAGGCCATCCCCCAATATGCTTATTGAACTGCATATCTCATGCATGACCACAACTTTCTTCGATGCAGGAAGGATTAACACAAATGTGGAGGGGGCTTATTTTTAGGATGCAGTTTTTGAATGTTTGATATTGCTTTGCTTTTCATTATAATCTGATATGTATAATATTCTTTTGTTCCCTCCTAGCTGGCTGGTCACAACAGTTCACCAAGAAATTTAATTAAGGTAGACATATCTTAAGACATTTAAGCTTCCAGCTTTCTGGGATATGGGGAAGCCTTGGCTTACAATGTCGGTGACGGGTCTTTGCTGCTTTCGTATGTCTAACTTGCAAATGTTGGCAGTTTCCATTTTTAGTAATCCCGAGTTTTTTAAATGAATGCCCAGTTGTTTGACTCATGCTCAGCATGGTGGGTAAATACATTGATACTGAGGCCATACTATCAAATCCTCTCCACTTAATATTGACCAATCTGCATATGTCCAGTGTTAATCAATTAAATACAAAGAACTGATTTTGAGTGCCAAAAACCGAAGTACTTTAAATATGAGCAAAACAATTTGGGGGGCAAGAAGCATCTACCAATGTGGTAAATAATTCACACCAGTGACGAGCACATGGTCTCCTTTTAATACAAGAACCTTAGTTGTTACATTTTGTACCAATATTTAATGGTTCGAAGAAAATGCAGCCGTCAATGTATTTCCTCTGAGATGTGATCCTTCACTTGTTTAGTTTTCATACCTGTTCGTAATATATTGCAAGGACATTGGATGGTGTCTTCCACGCACATGTGTGCTGCAGATGAATAGACCACTTATAGAATGTCATTGGCAATCCACACAATTTGTCTTGGTCTTTCACCCAGTTCCCCTTCACAACAATTTCAGCCTCTGTGTTTCCTTAGAAACCTGTTGATCCTTCACAAGACCTTCCGTTGCTTTGCTTCTCATAACCCCACCTCTCTAAAGCCCCATTAGGTGTTATCTGAAAGCTAACTGAACATGAATGTGGAGAGCACAAGAGTGGCTAGTGGGGAGAGATGATGGCACTCACTGGCCTCCTGGGACTGGCGTTGCTGTGGCTTACCAGGGTGGCGGTAGCAGGGAGAAGAGCGGGGTGGTAGGGATGTCAATACAGTGTGAATGTACCTGCTCTCCAGAGGTGTGGACCACAATTTGCATTATCCCTGACCATGAACCATGTTGCCTGGGGCAGATGCAAGTTGGGAGTCCAAAACACCTGCGAGGCATGTTGGCCACCACTACTTGTCCATCTGGACCAGCAAACTATGGTTTGCCCTGAAAACCAGGATTGCGAATCAGGGTTTGTTTGCACAAAGTAGCTAATTAAGCAGAGCAGCTGGGGGGGTAGTGTGTAGAGGCAAATGGATTATTCCCATAATGCCAAACCAGGGGTTCTAGTTAATGTGTGAAGCATCAGGTTATGTGCAAAGTGATCTCTGTTCTGTCATTTGTCCACTTATATGCAACTTCCTTTAAAACAAATCATGGAAGCGGCACACAATTAAAAGAGCAAAATAAAACCAGCAATCAATATTACGTTTATTCATTTACTAATCAGATTTCTAGACATATTCCATTTAATTATCTCATATATGAAGAAGTTGGCTTTAAAGGGGTGAATTGTTTGTTGGAGGTGCGAAATAATTTGTATAAAACTTTTTTGAGATTTTGAAATTCTTCTTAAGATTTAAAAGTTGGAACTGAAAATTCAGAATATTTGGATATGTATAAGTCAATGGCCTGTCTGTATGTTTCACTCTTTCAAATAACTATCCTTTCAATATGCTTATTTTTGATGAGGATGTTGGTGGTGATGATTCTTAATCTTTCAAGCTTTTTGTTTTGTTTTAGCTGTTGTAAGCCCCATACGGCTTAATAACATTATTTCTTCTCTGTTATTATTTTCTAACTTTATATCCCTCCTTTCCATGAGTCATGTTTAAGGCAACTTATGATTTAAAACTGGGATGGTCCTCCCCATTTTGTCAGACTTTGGCTCCCATTTTCCCTATTTGCCACGCTGGCATATGGGAGGGGGCATAGCTGCTCCACCCCTTACTCAAAAGGAAGTGGAACAACATGTACATTTACTGCCTGTTGTGCTGCTATGGAAACTATTATTGCAGAATTTGTGTGAATGCTTGAAGCTCCTTTTGCTGAGTCAAACCACCAGACCATTCATTTCAGCAGCTCTCCAAGATCTTAGGCATGGGGCGAGAGCCGTGGTCATGTTAGCAGATATGCTCCAGTCCTCAGGAGCGTAATTTGGGAGGGCACATGGGGCTGCAGAGGGGAGGAGAGGGAGGGAAAGTCTCAGCTGTGCAACTGGATCTCCACTGTGTTTGTGGGAGTCCACAGTTGGGTATCACCCAACAGTATTCTTAGCTAGGGTATCTGAGATTCTTTCACAGGAGGTGCTGGGAACTGAACATGAGACATTCTGCACGCAGAGCGTAGGCTCCTCTGCTGAGTTCTGGCCTCTCGGCAGCTGCAGTGGCTGTGAATCTCCCTTCCCTTTGCTCGCTGTCGGTCTGAATATAAAATACAATCTGCTGTCTCTTTTGGTCAGCATCAGTCACTGAAAACCAGATGAAGCACGAGGCTTACAGTTTGGCGTCTGAAAATTACGACCCACTGGGAAGCCTGCAATCTGCGATGCTATCGGTAGAATTGCATTCTGTTATTGTGCATCATCCCAGTGCCTCCTTCTAAACTACCGATTTGACTGACAGTAACTAAAAACTCCAGACATGCACATTATCATTAGGAGGAAGCTTTCTAACGGCACGCCAGTTGACAAGATTGATGTTCATTCTGTTTCCCTTGCAAGTCAGACCATCAAATGGCAGCTTGACAGACCAAAGTAAGAGAAGGGTGGGTTTGGGGAGCGTTGTGGGGGCCCCCCACCTTTTAAATCACCCAGGAGGGACACAACAATATCAAGGCGACAAAGCAGTCTCACTGAGAACAGTTGGCCATTCCATTTTGCAAAGACACTAATGCAATGACTGTTAACAAATGAAAGTTGTTGGGTACCATTGTGTTGATTCCCAAGACGACAAGATGATAGATAACCTTTTGTAAAATAAGTTTTGGTTGGGCGTACAATGTTCTTGAACTTGTCCTTCTCCAGCTTAAGAAGAGTATTTTTTTAAAAAAGAAAAGCAGCGCCAGAACGGTTCGTTGCGATCAAATTATGAGTTTTTGTTTTTTGCTTAGGCCTTCAAATTCAAACTGTCAGATGTCTCAGATACTGGTTGAAACCCTTCAGGTTTTTTTAAAATAACTTTTTTATTCATTTAGCTTATTCCATTCATGAATCACTTCTTGTGAAGTGATTTAACAACTAAACATCAGCCATAAAGACACACACACACACACACACGCACACACACACACTCATATACAATCTCATTAACTTGTGTATGTTTTAAAATTATGGTTGTGATTTTTTTTCTCAGTTTTCTCTTTTTGTAAACTGCTTTGAGGTGTTGTTGTTTACAATCAAGCGGTGTCTAGATTTTATGGGGAAAACAAACAAACCAATTTTAAATCCAATACTGGTACAGAGTGGGATAACAAACTCCACTTTAAAAGTTTGTTGGAAAAGGGAAGACTTCAGTAGGTGCTGCTGAGGTCATAGAGAATATGCCTGTCTTACATGTATCTGGAAAATGTCCTGAAGGGTAGGAACAGCGTGAGTCCTGAAAAGTGGTGTGTCTTCTGCATTTGGCGGAAGCACACCTCTCTGGGAAGGGAATTCCAGCACCTAGGAGCTGCCACAGGGAATGCCTTCTCCTGGGCCAGCCCCCCCTCCCCAAATCTACTGGAGGAATTTCCAAGAAGGCGCCTGTTCGTCAGTCTTAAAACTTGAGAGAGTCTGTAGGGAAGGAGTTGGTCTTTCAGATATCTGGGTGAGGTGGAAGACCCCTCAAGACCAGAGGAGGGCATTTCCAGACACAGTTGAGGCCAGACATCTTTGCGTATGTGTCCCTGAGCTGGGGCCTATTGGTTTCAAGTGCAGAAGAGGACATAGTCCTGTTGATGAAGATTCAGCTGCTGGTCCTTTACGTGGGCTAGAGGATTGTGTGGGTGCCATCTTGCTTTTGTCTTGGCCCAGCTCTTTTTAAGCATTGCTGGTGACAGTGCCTAGATTTTTACATCGCTCATTAAAGTACTTAATATGGGAAGGGATTAGGGAGCATCAGTACTGGGTGACCCCACACCTTTAAATAATTGTTTGCAACACTGGATTTAAGAGTAATCTCTGCTAATGAAAAGTAGGAAGGACAATAACAGTAGCTCTTCTTTATTTGTGAACAAACTGTCGAAGCGCACGCAATGATTTTCTCTTTTTTATTCCTTAAAAAAGGGGTTTAAGTGGAATTACGCTGTCTTCTCTTGACGTGTTATTCGTCCTAGTCCCGTTAATGAGCAATTTGGGTTTTTCTTTTCCTCTGTAATCTTTTTAAACTTGGTAACGAAGCCTGCCTCAATGGGTAAGTGTTTATAAGCATCCGAGGAGCACGCAAGGAGGATTTTACAGGGGTAATTAAAATGCTTTATCCCTCTTATGGCTGTTGTAATATCTTATTAGATTTGGTTGAAAAGTGAAACATATTGTTCATGAAATGTGCACAGTGGCGGTATTAATGATGTGACCCCGTGGGGTTGCAAAGACCTGATTTAGCTGGTCTCAAATTGCATTTGCAGTTTCAGAAACGAACCAAACCAGCCGAGCTGTTTAGAATTATCGCTAATGGGGCTATATTGCAATGAAGAAAAATGATTTTTTTCCCAGAACAAAAAGAGACATTTGCAAGTAAACTTTGAGAGCTGGAGCATGGCATTCAGTGAGGACATAGGGAGCCACCTTACACCAAGTCAGACTATTGGTCCTTGTGGGTCAGTGTTGTCAACACTGACTGGCAGTGAGACCCCAGCATTTTAGACAAGGGAGGTTTTTCTGTTGCCACCTGGAGATGCTAAGAATTGAACTTGGGACATTTTGCACACAAAGCGGATTCTCTACTGGTGAGCTACAGTGCTTTCCCCACAGCTGTATCCCTCAAGGGTAGTTGTGATGCTCTACCCCATGGAATGCAATGAGCCTTTTTAGCCCATGGGAGCTCTTGTGGCTATAACTAGGATGGGTGTCAGGAATGAGCCAGCTCCGAGCGAAGGTTTGCAGCCAACTTCAGAAAGCAGTCAGGAACAGAGAGGCTTAGATGTTAGTCAGGCAGGGGAGAGCCAGCAGATGCAGACTTCGGTTCTTCCTGACCTTGACGGAGAAGCTGATAAGGCAGTAGCTGAGAGCAGGCTAGAACACAGCCAAAGCTTGCAGGAAGCACAAATAGGCGTGAATAGACTTAAAGACTGTTAATGCTTTGATTAGCCATAGTACTTTAATAATAATAAAACCCCTCCCTTTTTATATCCGTGAGCAGTATGTGAGGTTTTGAGTGTCCTTCTCATTCTATTTAATACCTTTATTTTCACATCTTGCCAAGATGGATGGGACCATTGGTAAAGTGGCAGTCAGCTGTATGCTGACATTGTACTATCAGTTTAGGTATCTTATCTATCCTCCCTGGATAGTGAACTCATTTTCGGAGTGCCCATCTTTGTATAGCTGAGAATCGCAAACTGGGGGAGAGCATTGTTGCACACTGGTCGTGTTTGCTGGCTTCCTATAGGCACCTGGTTGTGAGAAAAGGGATGGTGGTCTATATTGGCCTTTGGCCTGATTCAACGGGGCTCTTCTTAGAATCAGATGTAGCCAAAATGGTCCCATCAGTGCACAACAGGAGGCAACAACAGGTTTAGTATGTAGAAGAACAAACAAGCAACCCTTTAGGGAGAAAATCCTAAGCAGGCAACAGCAATAACCACCCACATTCCCAAACCCAAAACATCCCTAGGAACTGAGAATGCTCAGTGAGTACACAATGTTGAGTGTCTACTGGAGAAAACTCTCTGAGAAAGTCGAGTGGGGATGGAATGGAGCATCTTTTAATAGGGAATTACTGCCTGCCTGCTTGGAGCCCTGAACAGGAGTACTCCATACTGCACAGGACCCTACTTTAAATTTGTTTGCAGTGCTACAGATTCTGTGGGTGGAACCAGGCAGAGGGCCTTCTCTGTAGTGGCGCCCACCCTGTGGAACACCCTCCTATCAAATGTCAAGGAAATAAACAACTATCTGACTTTCAGAAGACATGTGAAGGCAGCCCTGTTTAGGGACGTTTTTAATGTTTGATGTTTTATCATGTTTTTAATATTCTGTTGGGAGCCGCCCAGAGTGGCTGGGGAGGTCTGGCCAGATGGGCAGGGTATAAGTAATAAATAATAATAATCCTCTTGCTATACATCTCTACCTAGTTTGTATTACAGTGGTACCTCGGGTTACATACGCTTCAGGTTACAGACTCCGTTAACCCAGAAATAATTACCTCAGGTTAAGAACTTTGCTTCAGGATGAGAACAGAAATCGTGCTCCGGCAGCAGAGGGAGGCCCCATTAGCTAAAGTGGTTAAGAACAGTTTCGGGTTAAGAACAGACCTCCGGAACGAATTAAGTACGTAACCAGAGGTACCACTGTAAAATCCTACCTGCTGCCCAGTGGAATGGACAGGTATTCAAGCTCCCCAAAACTGAGAAGGCTCATCCTGGGGTCAGTTGTGCATCTCTCTTTGCCTCTCTGACAAAAATGTGTTAGTCACATGTGTACCCCAGCTTTCCCTTCAAGGAGTTGAGGACAATGTGCGTGACATTATTCAATTTCCCCGCTGCCAAGTCCCTGTAAGGTGTGCTTAGATGAGAGACTGGAACAGTGACCAGAAGGGAGACAGCGAAGGAACCATAGGAAATGTAGGTTTGCAATGAAATTTGAACCCAAGATACACCAGGATGAGAGAGTTCGGAGTTATCTTGGGCTTTCCCAGCTGAGCCGGAGCTCATCCAGGCCTACACTGGTGTAAGCGGGGCTCTGCCAGCTCACGTGTGGCCCAGCCAGTGGAACTTAAGCAAATGTAAGTTCCTCAAAAGGGGTGAGATAGGGCTGGAACAGTGTAAGGAGAGACTTGTACCTCTTGGTACAAGAGGTCAGCTGTTTTTGTAATGTGGTTTTTGGGATTTGGGATTCTGTTGCTTTACTTCTGTGAAGTGTTGCTTTACTTCTGCCTTGAAACCAAATGGGGCGATCAATTGAGGAACGCAACTCCCCACTGTGCTGTTTAGCTTCGTTACCGCCGTGCCTGACAGCAGATATGCAAGGGCCTATGCAATCTCTCACACAGCTCAAATGATTGTGTACCATTTCCTGACACTTCAAAATCATTATGAGCCTCTTGCCTCAGATGGCTGGACTCTGAAGTGCATTTTTGGAAGGGGAAAATGCAGACTGGGGTCAGGACAAGAAAGAGAGCCTTCCGCTTGCATGTTGCAAACTCATGACACGATGGATTCATTAGTTGGTTCCCCCATGACAAATTTTACATATGGGATCCTCCGTACGCGTTAATCCGTGGGTTCTAATGGCCTCCGACATACTGCTGGCTCTTAAGATCTTGGCATATCAGTGGGAAGAAAACTACTTGACGTAGAAGATGTTGGTTGCAGTCAAACCCTCAAAGCACCTGGATTCTTATTGGATGCACAGCTAAGCTTGTTTTTGTGGCCTTCCATCAAATTTTGTTGCTGCAATGGCCCCTCCTCCTTCCAGTTCTTTCGAACTGGAAAAATATCATTGCAGCACCAGATGCAACTCAAAAGCTTTAATGGAGCATAAAGAAACTGGAAAGGTCATGTTTTTGTAGCCTCAGAACGGAGAACAATCCACTATTGGATGGCCTTTGAAAACCGAAAAAGTTAATGCACACAGTTCATGCTAATAAAATTGCATTGTTTCCATCCAAGAGTGTATATTTGATGAATCTGAAGCATTTCTATTTTGTTGATTGTCGGGTTTCCAACATTCTGACACTTAATGGCATATAGATTTATATACATGCATGCACACAAACATACAGGGACTGAGGGCTGGAACCTTACCTGGTAGCAGGGACAAGAGGGAAATATGCCGTGGTTACATGATAATTTTATCCTTTTGACTCTATTCTGTTTGTTCTCTTTCCCTCTTTTCTCTTTCTCTTGTTTTCTCTGGCTTTCCAATACTCTTTTGCATTGGAAGCATTTTTTCAAAGCTTTGGGGTGGGTAGGTGCGGGGGATAAAGAAGTCCTCTACCTTGGACTGAGGAGGACGCAAACAGGAAGGGGACACTCCGAAGAGGGGAGCCCCTGTTGTATGAAAGGCAGGGTTGAAAGGGTCTCCCAGGGTGAGAGACTGGGAGAGGAAGTAGGCTCCCAGGGTGAGTCTACCTCTCTGTATGTCAATAAATGACAGGATAGATTTGATATAAATATGGTAAAGGGCCTCACAGGTATTTTTTTTCTCTTTTCCCCCATTTATTTTTTTAAAAAAATATTCTTGCTCTGTAGACTAGTTTGATTCTTGTATTTTATCTCAAAAAAATGACAATTTTTAAAAAATAAAGCATACAAATAGGCAGTTGAATGCAGCCAAAAGTTGCTCAAAGAAAGTGAAAGTATAAATACAGGACATTTGTTCCTTAAAAAATGGTTTTTATCAGCCTTTTCAAAGTAAGTTATCTAACCCAAGAAAATGAGTTGGGGGGGGTGTACCATACATTATCAGCTTCCAAGGATCCTTCTTGTTGGGTAGGGACACAGTGCCTGTGTTCAAACATAGCAGCAAGCCATGGTTTGTTCTAACCATGGCTTGTTCAACAAACCACAGACATCTCGCAGATCAGCAAACAGCCCACTGCTTGTTGGGAATGCACACTTTCCCACTTCCTTCGTAGCCTCAAGCACAAGTTAGATTTGTGCTGATGCTAAGTGGGGTTTCCATCTTTTCCCGTAAATAAATGTTTATTTATTATATGCAAATGCCAGTCTTTCAGGTTTGCAGCTGCTTAGCTTCAACCCTGCTGCAGCAACACATTTTCCAAAATGATTCACTAGACTGCAGGGCTGCCATCTTGACCAAATTTAGAAGTAACCTGGGTTTGTAAACTTTGGCTAATGGAGAATCTGGTTACATAATGCTCTGGCCGGAGAGGGTGGGGTACAATAAATTATTATTATTATTATTATCATCATCATCATCATCATCATCATCTTCATCATTATTATTCAATGGTTAAGGCCCACAGTGGAGAGTAGAGGGGAGGATTGGGAGAGAGGGCACGTTCCCAGAGTTTGTTCCTTATTTGCAAACCATGGCTTGTAGGGAACCAACAATTTACCAAATCTGTTTGTCTGATATGTAGCATATTCATTTAGTCTCTCTCATATATGTGTGTATGTGTGTGTGTGTGTGTGTGTGTCATTCCCTTACCCCCAAAAAACCCCCATCTCACCAGTGAAATTGCATGAGATTCAGTGAATGGTGAGTCAATATTTAAAAAGCACTTACTTTTAATTGAGTGATATTCATAAAACAAGGATACAAATGCAGGCTTTCAGAAACATAGTCCTCACAACTGAATTCCCCCAATTGTTTATTGTTTTATTAAAGAGGATGCCATAAAGACACACTTACTTTTATATACCATATTTTTCGCTCTATAGGACACACCCGACCATAGGACGCACCTAGTATTAGAGGGGGAGAACAAGAAAGAAAAATTCTCTCCCTCTCTGCGCAGCGCCCCTTCAGCAAAGCGGCAGGAGAAACGGAGCCCCTTCCATTTCTCCTCCCGCTTCGCTGAAGGGGCGCTGCACAGAGAGGGAAAGCTGTGCAGCGCCTCTCCAGCAAATCGAAGCCAGGAGAGCAAGAGGGATCGGTGCGCACCGATCCCTCTTGCTCTCCTGGCTTCAGGTGGCTATCCCTGAAGCCAGGAGAGTCTTGCTCTCCTGGCTTCAGTAAAAGCAACGTGAAGCCTCCGGAGCGCGGCAGGAGCACTCCCACTGTGCTTCGGAGGCTTCGCATTGCTTTCGCTGAAGCCATGGAGCCTGCATTCACTCCATAAGACACATTTCCCCTTAATTTTTGGAGGGGGGAAATTGCGTTTTGTAGAGCGAAAAATACAGCACTTTATATCATTCCCAAATCATAACATAGGAACTTCACGGAGCTATAGTTCCCAGAGTGGTTTAACATTGAACCCCTCTTCACAGGGAACTTGGGGAATGGTAGCTCTGTGAGGGGAATAGGGGCCTCCTGACAACTCTCAGCACCGTCAACAAGCTATAGCTCCCTCTGAGGGAAGCAATGACAGTTCAAGGTGGCATCATCATGTTTTAAATGGCATGGTATGAATGTGGCCTCAGGCCTGCTCAGGCCCATCCCCACATCACCCTCAGTTCGGCCCATTTGAGGGTTTTCCTTCGTCCCTGCTTTTGCAGCTAGGAAGCTAGCTGAACTGGGACGGGGAGGTAATCCAGCCTCTACCCCAAACCGGCAGTTTGGATCCAAGCAATATTCCATTTCATTTCCAACAGCATGCCTTTAAACTAGATTTTTCTTGTCGTGTGGTGCCTACAGTTGAGCCAGATGAACTGGAGAGGCGAGGGTAGGAACCAAATAAGGAATCGAAAGTAGAATAAAGTCTCGTTGTCTTACTTTGAATTAAATAGAAATCCTTCTATTTATTTCTCTCTCTCTCTTTTGCAGCAATCAAGCTCTGGGGATCTGAGGACTCTGAGGAAAGGGTTATCCCCGTACCATTCCGAGTCGCAGCTGTCGTCACTGCCGCAGTATCAGGACGCCGTGCAGAATGTAAGATGCACGCACCGCTATCTACCTGGTGTAATTACGCTGATGGCAATCGTAAATTAGGGGAGAGAGGGAGACGGGAGCCTGACCCATGAATGCAAACATCTGGCAGGCTGGCTGAATTGATTCCAGCATTCTGCAAACACTGGAAAGCAGGGATCAAAACCAAGTGTTTGATTCTGGCATGTGTACACTCTGTGTCCTCTTGTTCTGTTTTCATGGGAGTCGTGAGAAACCAGTGCTGGCTGTGAATAAGAACATAAGACAAGCCCTGCTGGATCAGGCCAGTGGCCCACCTTGGCCATCATCCTGTCATCACCAAATGCTTGTGGGAAAAACTGCAAGCAGGATGGGAGCTCAAGATCACTTCACTCACTTGCCATACTGCCTCTGACACTCACATGATAGAAACGTTTAAAATTATGCAATTGTGGATAGAGAAAAGTTTTTTTTCTCCCTCATAACACTAGAACTCACAAACATCCAACGAGGCTGATAGCTGAGGCTCTTAACGATTTTTCTGCCTCTTGTAGCAATTGTAATGCGCCATGCTGGGTGCCACACGGTCTTTAATTGCATTTCTAACCGCTTCTCTTATTCCTTATATATTGTATTTTATTGCATTGCGTGGAATTCAGATTGTAATACGATAGAAAGCAATGTAAGGAATAAAAGAAGCCATAAAAATACAATTAAAAATTGGTATGAATATTTAATGCCGGCGCCTGTCTTCTCAACTGCAGATCCACAGGCACGCTGCAGACTGCTAAAATGGAGCTCACACACTGCGGTTTGGGAACCCCGGGCTGTAAATCAGCTTAATAATAGCTAGGTAAATAAATCAGTCACAAAAATCAGCAGCGCTACCCTGAGGAGCTGTAATTAATTTAAGAGAAACAAGTGTCATTACGGCACACAGTGCATTAAGTGTAACGTGTAGTTTGACCCTCAGCTGACAACCAGTGACACCTGGTGTGTTTGTCTGTGCACGCACATGTATTTCATGCGTAAGATAAAAAAGGCTGACCCTGTGTAAAAGAAAATACCCTTTCCCGTAATTTAAGTAACTTTTGCTTGCGCCCTCGGTTCTTTTTGTTCGGACTGGCAATGCATGGTCAATAAGCTCATGTGACTCAAGATTTTGCAGGCGGTCAGAATAGGTGACCCATTTGTATGATTCCATGACTTCCTTTACTTCCTCCCAGAGAACCCTTTTCCAGAGCAAACCATTTTCGTTGTTCTTTCCTGGACACCTCCCTTTTATTTGCCATGACTCCCAAGAACTACTGGACACAATGTAATGGATGGCCTACATGAAAGCGCTTCAAAATGTTCCTCTCCCAAATATTTACCAAGGACTTTTGGACCGTTTCCACAGAGTTGCTGGTAAATGGGTGGATAAGAAGTGCTAACTGTGAAACTTCCCAGGGGCTTCCCGTCAACAGAGCGGTTTCACGTGATCTAAGAAATGATAAAAAGGCAAGAACACGAGCGCTGCTTATCTGTCATGGCTGGAACGTTTTGAAACTTAAGAAGTTTTGCAACTTAAGACCTTTTCAGTTTTAAGGAGTAAACTGGGGCTGATGGGATGGGAGTCCAAAATGCCTGGAGGTCACCAGATCAGGGAAGGCTGATCTAGCCAATCAGAATGCCAGGTTGCAGGTGACTTAGAGATTTGGCTTATACATGATGTGGCCGTTACAGGGAAGAAGTATCTTGTTCTGAATCTCAAACTCCTCAGACATGCGTGAACTGTGCTTAGTCTGTAAGTCCAGTTCCCTGAGCTTTCCCTTTCCTTCCCTCCCTCCCTTCCTATCCTGAATGTTGTGTTGAGTTTTCGTAACAGGTAAGATAGAAAGCGATTAACATAACCCTCCCCTCTCCATACAAATAACAAAAATAGCTATAATTACAATTGCCCTCTCTGCTTGCTCATTTTTACCTTGGCTCACGTAATGCTTTAAAAGCATATAGCCATAAAGTAGAGGCTGGACTCCAAGAGCTGTGATTCTGTTAATGGGAGATAGAATCATAGAATTGTAGGGTTGGAAGAGACCCCAAGGGTCATCTAGTCCAACCCACTGCAATGCAGGAATCTCAGGCATCCATGACAGATGCCCATCCAACCTCTGCTTAAAAACCTCCGAGGAAGGAGAGTCCACCACTACCCGAGAGAGATTGTTCCACTGTTGAACAGCTCTTACTGTCAGAAAGTTTTTCCTGATGTTTGGTTGGAATCTCCTTTCTTGTAACTTGAACCCATTGGTTCGTGGAGCAGGAGAAAACAAGCTTGCTCCATCCACCATGTGACAGCCCTTGGAATATCTGAAGATGGCTATCATATCTCCTCTCAGTCTCCTCTTTTCCAGGCTAAACATACCCAGCTCCTTCAACCGTTTCTCATAAGTCTTGGTTTCCAGACCCTTTATCATCTTGGTCGCCCTCCTCTGCACATGTTCCAGCTTGTCAATATTCTTCTTAAATTGTCGCAGCTCTACTTTGCTGGGCAAGCCACTTCTGGCATGGTGCCACCAAACTGTTCTGATAGTTAACCCAAAAGGGCAGCTGTATAGAAAGCCAAAGATCCCCTATTTTCATACTGGTAGATCCTGATATTTGATCAGCATTCAAATATGCATACCAAGCACTGTTTAAAATGGCACAAGCCAAATAAATCTTTACCACATGATTCTGATGGTTGTGCAACTGGGCCCTGAGCATGGTTAATATCTACCCCAGCATTCTTCCTACTGAGGAAATGCTTGTTCCACTTGGCAAAGTGCTCTTCTCTGTTTGGAAGCTTGATGTCTTGATATTTGTTGGAAGCACAACAGCAAGATCTCTTACCGTGCAACTTAAGGGTTAATTCTGCTAGTGTTAAAGTCAACTAGCCAAGGAGGGTGGGTGGGTGGTGCTTAACAAACAGGCAGAGTGGCAGCATGCTCATTGAGCCAACACAAGCTCTGATTGGCTCTGCAGTGCTGAGGGAGATTTTCCTCTGTATGGTTGATTGAATTTCTTCCAGCTGTTTACAAATTTGAACTAAGAAAAGGGGGGGGGGAATTCTCTGTTGCTTTCTCTTCAAAGAATACTCTGCTTTAGTTCTGTTAGTTCCGTTAAAGTGTTATCAGGTTCCTTTTTTCTCTCTACTCCCATCTGCATTATTCAAGTGTCTTTGCTAACAATATTAGCCCATAGCTCCAGCCTTACTCCTTAACAAGATAAAACCATATGACACTTCCTCACTCGAGTATATCTGAAGTTGCCTTTCAATGACAGGCGATATATAAGAAGAAAATAGGTAACCTAATAAAATAGTTGAGATCAGCCTCGACTCACAGTCTTGCAAGAGCTCATATCTCCTTTGTAGTCTTAGGAAGCTAGCATGATATATAGGCCTCTGCTGGTGCACGTAATAAAGTCATTTTAAGGAAGCCATTCTCCAAATCATAAGAGATAATGAAACTCCTGGAGAGGGGAAATGATCAGTCTTTAAAAGGCTATGGGAGGGGACCATTTTTCTTGCAGAACTGAAAAACCAAATTGAAAGCATTACCATACAAATGAGCCTCTCACACCATCAGGAAAGTAGCGGGTGGGTGTCCAATCCTTGCAAACAGAATGCTGTAGGACACACAACTACTCATTACGCTGTGGATTGGCTCACAAGCCTCTTATTTCTTTTTCTTTCTTTTTTTGTAAGGGGATATGTTGGATCAAAAACTACTTCTGCAAATAAGTAAATAAACAATGGAACTTCCTTCTTTGAATTCTCTTGTTGCCAGGTCTCAGCAGTTCCATCCCAATAAATAATCAGGCATAAACAAATGGCCACTCAATTGCTAAGTAATCATCCTGCTCTTTCTTCACTCTGTCATATAGCAAGGGTGCGCAGATTTCAAGCTCGGAAGCTGCCAACCAGAGCTGGGTCCAAAAGACATTCACTAAGAATTAAAAGCGTTCTGAGCCTGGTTCCAGAACTGAAAGTGACCTTACAGTCCTGTAGGGCTGAGAAAAGTCCCCCATCCTCTGCCTTAGATGTTGCTCAGCAGATGTGCCCATGTGGAATATGCTCCCCTTAGGACGGCCTTAGAAGCCAGTGTGGTGTAGTGGTTAAGAGCGGTAGTCTCGTAATCTGGGGAACCGGGTTCGCGTCTCCGCTCCTCCACATGCAGCTGCTGGGTGACCTTGGGCCAGTCACACTTCTCTGAAGTCTCTCAGCCCCACTCACCTCACAGAGTGTTTGTTGTGGGGGAGGAAGGGAAAGGAGAATGTTAGCCACTTTGAGACTCCTGAAGGGGAGTGAAAGGCGGGATATCAAATCCAAACTCTTACTCTCTTACTCTTATGCGGAATGCAACTTGGACAGCCTTAAGGCACCTGCGAGGTAGCTCAGTCAGTAAAGCGTGAGATTCTTATTCTCAGGGTTGTAGGTTCGAGCCTCATGTCGGGCAAAAGTTTCCTGCATTGCAGGGGGTTGGACTAGATAACCCCCCTGGTCCCTTCCAACTCTACAATTCTGTGATTTTATAAGGCTGCCTTTCTGTGGAATTCAACTTGGAAAGACAGTTGCTTTGGGCACTTGGTGCTGAATTGCTCCTGAGGAGAAGGAGCAGCCCTACTGGTGAAAGAGATCAAAATGTCCGCTATTCAATTTAGCTATTTAATTTACTGTCGCTGCAAGAAGAAAGAGAGACGACAAGGCCTCTCCCCCCACACCCCGGAACCCAAATATCTTGGGCTGTCCCCGCACAAAATATTATTTACTCGGATCCACGGGTAACTCTGGGCCAATTTTCTATGGTAGTTTTCCCCAAAGATTTTATGTGTTTACGCGTTTAGCACATTTTAAAATAATAATAATATTAAATAATACATTTTTATTTATACCCCTCCCTCCCCGGCCAGAGCTGGGCTCAGGGCAGCTAACATCAGTAAAATTACAATAAAAACATAATGGGGGGGGGGGGGAGAAAAGAAATAAAACCAATTTAAAAGATGGGTTAAAATACAATTTAAAATGCAGCCTCATTTAACATGTAAGCCATTGTTTTAAATGTTTGCTTTGCTTTTGGGAGTGCAGCCCCATGATGTGTTTTACAAGCTGGTCTCCGACCGTAATAATAAATTATTATTATAAAATATTATTTACTTTTGCATTTGTCTATACTGCCTGTTGGAGCATTCTATGTTTTGGCATACCTGTGCTCACTTTCCCCAACTCGCTTGGCTTTGAGGGGACCTTTGAATTGGATAATTTAGCTCACAGAGCTCAGCGGTGCCCAGTGGCAGCAGGTGACTAATGAATGGCAGTACAACTTTGCAAGAAAAGGGAGGAGACAATGGCTAAAGAGCAGAGCCGAAGAGGAGGCCAACCGCGCCATGAGGCTGCCGAACAAAGGATGAAATCTGAGGCAGCCCTTTTAACACATGGACAATACAAGAAGGGGAAATGGATTTGTGGGTAGAGACAGGAGGATGCTTCTTCTACGCTTCTGATTGGGTATTAAAAAAAGCAACGGAGCAGAAACATTGTGGGCTGCTGAAGAAAGCTAAACCTTATCCTTTGGCTATTGTGCAATATTCAAAGAGGCAAGGGAATCGTGAACAGTGGAGGTTGTCATAAGACGATCCTAAGAACCTGCTGCATCAGGATAGTGGCCCATCTAGTCAGTGGCGTAGCGTGGGTTGTCAGCACCCGGGGCAAGGCAAGTAATTTGCGCCCCCTAACCCGTGGATTTTAGCAGGGGGCAGAGAGCTGCGAGTGCGAGCGTGCCCCCCCCCGATGTTGTGCCCGGTGTGGCCGGCCCCCCTGCACCCCCCACGCTACGCCACTGCATCTAGTCCGCACCCTATTCTCACTGTGGTCAGCTCTGGGCCATAGAAGCATAAAATTGTAGAGTTCAAAGGGACCCCGAGGGCTGGATGCTTGTGAGACCACAAGAGCCTTCTCCTCTCCTGCAACTTCCAGCAACTGGTATTCAGAGCAGTATTAGAAACAGTGGTACCTTGGTTTTCGAACGTAATCTGTTCCGACGCACGCATTTCCGGAAGTATTTACGTCTGGAAAACTCAATACGGAAGCTGCGTGGCGTGTTTGGCTTCCAAAAAGTGTTCAAAAACCAAAGCAGTTACTTTCGGGTTTTCAGCAATCGAAAGCCAAAACGTTTGACTTCTGAGACATTCAAAAACTGAGGTACCACTGTATATAAACTGATCACCAAATGGCACCTTGAACCTAGGTTCGGTCGCCACAACAATATGTCTAGCCCCCCCCAACTTTATTATTATTGTTGTTGTTGTTGTTGTTACTATTATCATTTCATTTCTATACCGCTTTATATTTTAAAGAAAAAGAATCTCAAACACATTAAAATATCCAATAAAACAACCCGGAATAAAACCGATTTGAGCTTCAAGGAGAATATTTCAGAGCTTTTTCTAAGTGACATTTTGCTTTGCTTTGCCCATATATATTTACCTACTTGATTTTTATAGCTGCTGCACAGCAGAAGTACTCTAGGAAGCCAGTGTGGTGTAGTGGTTAGAGTGTTGGACCAGGACCTGAGAGATCAGGGTTCAAATCCTCACTCAGTCGTGAAGTTCACTGCGTGACCTTGGAGTCAGTCGCAGCCTCCTAACCTTCCTCACAGCGTTGTTGTGGGGATTAACTGAGAGGAGCTGGGTAAACCATTTACTTCTTGGAGTAAATGTAATAAATAAGCTCTTCTGCTCGTCTTCTTGAGAAAGCTGGAGGGGCCAGCCAGATGGAGATGTCAGTCGCCAACCTAGCATCTAGAGATCTCCATGTGGTTGCAATTGGACCCGTGCCAGTCACAAAATGCTCCTGGAAACTTTCGATTCAGAGGTATACTGTCTCAGACAGCGGAGGTAATAACCAGGACAGCCCTCCTGGTTAAAAAACAACAACTGTGTGTGTTAGATCACATGTGGAGGAAATTTCCCTCTACAATTAAATTAAGACAGTGAGTCTTCACAACTGAGAAGTAAGACCTCTGTGTCCACTAGCTGGTGGTAAGCCCAGAACAACTCTTTCAAAATTAACATCTGGGACCATCGCATGTGCTTATATGTAGCAAGTCCTCTGCATATGTGCTTATTTCTGAATGTCCTTCTGGAAAACATCCATAAGGCCACAGAGCAATAAAGAGTATGCATGCATATGCATGTCTCTGTCTGCATGGGTTCAGTGAGAATATGGACATTGGAAGCTGCCTTCTGCTGAGTCCATCTAACTCAGCATTGTCTACACTGACTGGCAGCATGCCTCCAGAATTTCAGACAGGAGTCTCTCTCCCAGACCACCTGGAGATGTCAGGGATTGAACCTATGACTTTCTGCATGCAAGGCAGATGCTCTCCCACTGAGCTAAAGCCCTTCCCCCTGTTTCAAGGAGGGTTATTAATCAAAGGGGGCATGTAAGCCTTTTTTGTGTGGATTAAGTAGATTTCACCGAACATTGCCAAGGCCCTGAAGATACACTGTTGTGTCTGACAAGTTGGTGTCTGAGCTGTGCAGGCAGATGGAAGGGGGCTTGGCTTGGCTTGTGGGCAAGCCCCATGGTTAATTCATAGATTTGAATGTTTACATGGCCGGCTGTTCGGTATGTCTAATGAGAGGCAAATTAAATAACCGATGAAGGAGATTAGCATCTGGAATAAAGTCCATCTCAGCTGGAGGAAGAAAATTGTTTTTGTTACCGTGCGTCAAAAGGCCTTACCCGAGTTTTGAAGGGCTTCAGTGTGATGTTGGGAAAGAGCTTCTGATTCGGACAGGACTCATACAGTTCCTCCCCTGAACTTTCCTCCCCTCGCTGCAGAAAATAAAAAATAAAATTGTGTTTCCCAGCTTGTGCCCTGTGGCAAGACATTCTGGGTTTTTTGGCAGCAGGAAAATTCATCCCAGCAGGAACTAGGACAGCACAGCTATTTAAATATATGAGAGAGGGGGGGGCAGGCCAGGGTTGTGGGGTTTGGTTTGTTTTAAATTGGTTGCCCACAGTGCATCTGACTGCTGGGTACCCCAAAATTAAATGTCACAACTGGTAAATGGATAGGCTGGGCAAACTGATGACCAACTGATATTTTGGTGCATCCTGTATACCAGAGGTCAGCAAACTTTTTCAAGCAGGGGGCTGGTCTACTGTCCCTCAGACCTTGTGGGCGGCCAGACTATATTTTGAAGAAAAAAATGAACAAATTCCTATGCCCCACAGATAACCCAGAGATGTATTTTAAATAAAAGCACACATTCTACTCATGTAAAAACACCAGGCAGGCCCCACAAATAACCCAGAGATGCATTTTAAATAAAAGGACACGATCTACTCATGTAAAAACACCATGCAGGCCCCACAAATAACTCAGAGATGCATTTTAAATAAAAGGACACATTCTACTCATGTAAAAACACGCTGATTCCCGGACCGTCCGTGGGCTGAATTTAGAAGGCAATTGGGCCAGATCTGCCCCCCCCCGGCCTTAATTTGCCTACCCATGGTGTATACTGTAGGATTATAAGGCTGGATTTAAAAGCTGGACTTTGGCAAAGAATAGTATGCCTTATAATCACAGAATGTGAAAGTTGTCAAGGACCTCAGAGCCCGTCTAACCCAACCCCAGTTCACTGAAGGAAGCTTTCTGTCACATCATCCCGGGCTGATGGCTGTCCACCCTCTGCTTAAATGCCTCTGGCAAGGGAGGGGACACAAGCTCCTGAGAGAGGCTGGGACACCGTCTAGCAGCTCTTACCATTAGTGGTGCTGATGATGGCTCTCTGGCAAGTGGGTCAAGAAAATGCCATGGTACAATTGTTGTGGCCGTCCTTTGTGAAGTAGGAGAAAGGCTTGCTTCTCCCACTGGCGTGTGTGCCCCACTGCGGAAGATGGAATATGGACTGAGCCCAGGAATGCAGTGGTTTCCTGGGAATCTTGCTTTTCATTCCAAAAATGCAGCAAGTTTCTAGACCTCATGATCATAGAGGAAAACTCGGAAGAAATCTTACGTGCACTCAGAGTGAGGCTGGGTATGTCAAGACAGTAGATTCTTGCTCATATACTTGTGCCACCAATGAGTGGCTGCCCTTTGGATCCCCTAGGCTGGGACAATAATAACTATAATTATTGCTGGGGGGTTTTAATAGTTAGTGCTGTTTTTCTAGAAAAAGAGGTGCCAGAACTCACCATGAATACCTCCCTTGTTCTTTTATAATGGTAATGGTGCCCACCTGAGAAGTGCCGGAACTGAGTCCCGGTGAGTCCCAGCTGGAAAAAAGCCCTTAGTTGTTGTATTTGCCGATCCAGAAGTTTACTTCATGCCAGAAAAAAAAATACATGTGAAGCAGTCCTTCTGTTCCTCCCTCACCCGACCTGATGGTCACATTTGGAGCTGAGAAGTTTATTGTCTCAAGCTCACTCTGGGTATTGTGTGCTGTAGTGGTTAAGAATGTTAGCCTAGGGCCTGGGAGACCAGCGTGCAAATCCACATTCGGCTGTGAAGTTCACTAGGGCCAATCACTGCCTCTCAGCCTAACCTACCTCACAGGGTTGCTGTGCGAATACAGTGAGGGAGCGGGGAACCATGCATGCTGCTTTGAGCTCCCTAGAGAAGTAAAGGTAAAGGTAAAGGGGCCCCTGACCATTAGGTCCAGTCGTGACCGATTCTGGGGTTGCGGCGCTCATCTCGCTTTATTGGCCCAAGGGAGCCGGCATACAGCTTCCGGGTCATGTGGCCAGCATGACTAAGCCGCTTCTGGCGAACCAGAGCAGCGCACGGAAACGCCGTTTACCTTCCCACCGGAGCGGTACCTATTTATCTACTTGCACTTTGACGTTCTTTCTAACTGCTAGATTGGCAGGAGCAGGGACCGAGCAACGGGAGCTCACCCCGTCGCAGGGATTTGAACCGCCGACCTTCTGATCGGCAAGTTCTAGGCTCTGTGGTTTAACCCACAGCGTCACCCGCGTCCCTTAAAGAAGTAAGTGGGATATAAATGCAATGAATGAATGCATATTTAGGCACATGCCACAGTCTTCCTTTCCCACTCTCACAGGAGACTGAGTAGCTTGTTTCCACTCAGCCTCCTTGAAACCTCAGCTTTTCTCAGCCTTTCACAACCCATCTCTTTGGAGCGTCTTCCTGCTTTTATTTCCTTAGCGGAAGGGAGACAGCTGGGCCCGGGAGGGAGGGGGAACCGCTGCCTGCTGGGACGTTGAGCTGCAGCCATATGGGCCCCTTCATTAATCTTCCCTCGCACGCCACCCCCCAGCCACCCATATAAAGATGGTGTGCCCTAACTGTGCCAAAAGGGGCAGGTTTTATTATAGATGCCCATTATTTCCATGGAATTACATGGGCAGCCTTATCCTGACCGAGGCCATCGCTTCATGACCTTCCTCTACATTTCCAGATTGCCGCTGCTGACATCCCACCCTCTGCCCAGACACCCACCTGCTCATTTTCATGTCTCGCACGCCCTTTGGGGGAGGGGGTTCTGAGGAAGAAGGATATTTCTCCCTTTGCGTGGCGACTTTTGTGTATCTGTTGCCATTCACAGTTCAGTTCCTTCCCCAGTTGGGAAATTTTTTATCCCCCCCCCCAAAAAAATACAGTGAAAAACTCACACCCTTCCTGGGGGGAAAAAACTGAGAGGGGAGGTGGGTAAGGATGAGAAGAAGCGTGCTCCCCCCCCCCTTTTTAGCATGTTCTTGCCAAAATACTTTTCGCCAAGCAGCAATGACAGCCTGTTAGAACTGAATGGTGTGATTTCTCCTCACATTTCTGAATGAATCATCCTGCAATTTAAGCTAAAGAGATGTTTGGTTTGCAGTGCCTCCCGCTTCCCCTCTTTCTACTGATGTGATGCGTGAGTCAGGCACAAATGTGAAAAGTTGGAATTATCCCCATAAATGCCCACTTTGGGGGGCACAGCCTAATCTAGTTCCTGGCTCATTTTTTAGAAGTATATTTACCTTTTAAGGACAAGGGGCATTTTATAAGTTCATTCTTACTTATTTTTGCTCTTCGGCACGGGGTCTTTAAAGCAGACCACAACCGTTTGGTTTAAACTTATGTTTAAATGGTAAGTTTTTTTCACTGCGAAAATGACAGACAATCAAAGCAGTGGAACTAAAATCCACACATTGTCACAGCTAAACAGTGGGTGCCACCTTAGATTTGTTCAGAGGCCTTGCAGAATGAAAAAAGGTATTGACTAACCTCCAAACCAAGCTTGATAAGCCTCTAGTTGCAAAGGGTTTCACAGAAGTGACCCTTTACTTTCCTGGTGTACTTCTCTTCTTTGCCCTGTTGCTCAAGAATCCAGATTCTGCAAACCAAATCCTATATCCAGTAAACCAGTATTATTTATTATATCTATATGCCACCTTTGCTCCAGCAAGCTCTCCTCTGTCTCATCTGATCCCCACAACAACCTTGTGAGGTAGGTTTCCTAGGAAGCTTCGTGGCTTCTTTTTCACATTGTTGTACCTCCAAAAGTTGTATTTCCATAGCTAGAAATGTTATAGTAGCTTGGGAAGGCAAACCTTGGAGGAGGTGGCACTGTAAATCAAAGTTAACAAAGATCCGAACACAAGTAGCATAATATGTGTAATTTAGACCTGTTTAATAAATGTTTTCTAGATATAGTCATCATGCAAATGCCTTGTGCACTCATTGACAAGAACAGTGGAAACAAGGAGCAGGTTTTACTTCTTATTGTGTGTTTCTCTCTATCTATTTTTCCTTATATCTCTATAAGGTATGGTTATCAGATGTCCCCGTTTCCCGGGGACAGTCCCCAGATTTCCAAATCTGTCCCCGGATAAAATCCGTCCCCGGAATGTCCCCGGATTTCATTTAGTGTCCCCGGATTTATATTTTAAGTGTTGTAGATTTATTAGTAGGGAAGGAATGTTGTGTGATTGGTTCAGTGGCACAAAACACATCATATGGGGACTTCCGGCGAGGCAAAATGGCGGGTGCCACGGCAGCGAGCAGCTCCTGAAGCCAGCCAGAGCCAACTGCACTACCAGGCTGGCTCCGGGCTGCTGAGACTGCCATTGCCGCCCCCACTGCCAAGGGGGAACTAGGGACGCCCAGCGCATCAACTGGGAAAACCACTGACACACACCCCCGTGACCCAAATCAAGCCAGGAGCAAGAGCACCTGGCCACCCGGCCGACTGCCCAGCGGTGCTCCAGGGCCAGGAAAATCCTGGAGCTAATGCAGGGAGGAGAGGAGACAGAGAAGGGAGAGAGAAAAAGAGAAAGGAGAAAAAAGAGGGGAGCCCTGACCTTGACATGCCACTGCTGCTGCCACTAAGGAGGAGAGGTAGGAGAGCACCGGGAGGGCAAGGACACGTGGCCGAGCCCAGGCCTAACCTGAGCCTATTCCATGGCAGCTAGCGCTTCAAGAGAGCAGGCCAGGGCCCAGAGGAAGGTCGCGTGACAGAGGAGACCACAGAAGAGAAGACATTACTTCTTCTTTTTTAATAAATAATTTTTTAAAATAACTCCCCCCCCCCTTTTTTGTGTGTGTCAGGGATGATGGCCATTGTAGTAGAGGTACTAAGTCGAGGAAGACTGGAGTACAGATTCCTGCCTTTTTAGCACTAAGACTGAAAGCTCAGAGAGGAGAATATCCCTGGGGAGATTAGGTCCCCTGAGTTTGTCTTGCATTCTACTGAATGTCTAATTTTGAAGGCAAAGTGGTGTGAGTTGGTTACCTGGAACCTAGTGGAAGTTCTGGGCTGCTTTTGGGTACCAAAATGTGCGGGTAGTTGTTGTGGTGCAGCAAGGCGAATAAACTGCCGTGTCCTCTAGTTCTTCTTTAAAATAGTGTTCTTGTGCCACTCAGTTGGCCTCTCAATGTCTCTCTTTCCCCCCCTCCCCGCACCCCCAGACTTCCCATGCTAGCATCTAAACGGACTTTTTATATGCCACTGGTAGATGGATGCAGCAAAGCGCTGCATATGCCAATGTTTGTTTCCATAGTAACTAATGCACTTCAGAGAAGGAGAAATAGGATAGTCAGGAAGGACAAGGGGGGAAAGATCACAATAAAACTGGCACAGCGAGTGTAGATGCCGAATGCTTGGAATATTTTCTGACAGAGGTTTCGGCTCACAGAGCTCCCCTAAACTTGAGTGGTTTTTAGTGTTTTGGCTTCTGAGTGCCTCATTAGCCACAATCGTCATTAACCACTTATCATTATTAAACACTCTCATCTACAAAGGTTGAGCTCAGGGAACAGGGCATACCTCTAAATGTTTGAACAGTTTGTAGTTATTTGTCCCAGGTTTCCTGTGTGACCTTGAAAATGGATGGTGATCATAGAGTTGTAGAGACAGAAGGGACCCTGGGGGGTCATCCAGCTCAACCCCCTGGTGGCCACAGACCAAGGGTAACTCAGAGTGGTGTGAGCTATTGTTCTGTATTGTGTGGCCCAAAGTAAGGAGACCATATGCTGATTAAATCTGGCACAGAAATGTGCCAGACAGCCCAAACCTATCCCTGCCTCTACTCAGAAGTAAGCCCCCACTGAATTCAATGGGACCTACTTCCTGCTAAATGTTTGCAGGATTGCAGCCTAATCTTAACGGTTCATACTCACTTCTGAACAACCCCACTACAAATATAGTTACGCCTTCTTTGGGGGGTATTGATATGATTCCCCATGTGGTTTTCATAAATTAATGTCAGCCCCACGACTTCACCTGCTCCAGGTGAGCTCTACTGAAACAAATGGATGTCGCCTAGTAGCCACATTTGGCCGACTGGTGATATGTGCCAGTGGACTCCTGGACCCTTCTGAGGCAACAGTTCCATCTCTTGGAGCGAAATCATTAGGAGAGCATCTCTCCTTGTTTTGAAACTAATTAAACATTTGGAGTACTATTAGTACAATGGATGGCAGTTTTACACAGCATCAGCAACTCTGAAGAGAGAAGGTGAATGGATATTGTGGAGTAATGAACTGGGAGTCGGGGGCAGAAATAAATAAGGAATCGCGTTCAGGAGACAAAGAGCTGTTTCCTCCCCAAATCCCATGAGAAATTAACTGTTTGTCGGGGTTTTCCTGTTCTTCAGAAAACCCGGAGTAAAAGAGCTCAGACTTACATACTCTTCTGCCTGCTTTAATACTCTGTTACTCTTATTAATTGTGTAAACATTTTAAAAAAACTATTTCTGAGGGGGTGTGGATGGACAAAGATAAATGTCAGCCCAGTCCTCAGCAGGGCCTCTATTTATCTGGTCCGGTGCAGCAATCACCTCACCATCTCTAACAAGGGCAACTGGCAGGGCTTTTTCCCCAGCTGGAACTTACCGGAACTCAGTTCAGGCACTTCTCAGGTGGGCGTCATTATGAGAGAACAGGGGAGGCGTTTGTGATGAGTTCTGGCACCTCTTTTTCTAGAAAAATAGCACTGGCTACTGGTAACCAGGTTTACTTTTTATGGTTTGCAAACCAGCTTCTAACCTTGGTTCCAACTTTCAGTTGAAAACATAACCTTGGTTAGCTTTAGCCATGGTGAGTGTGAATGCAGAAATAAATAGGGTGTTCTCCAGTTTGTGCCTTTGAACCCATGAAAGGGCTTTTGATCTGTGCAGGTGTCTACTAATGAAAGAGGAAGGGGTGCAATTTTTGGAGATTCCCCTCTGCCCCCTGAAGCCACCTTCCACCTTGTTCTGAATGGTTGCCATCATCCCAGACCATTGGCCAGGTTGGGAGTTGGGGTCTGACCACATCTGGAGGGCCACAGGTTTCACCATGGTTTGATCCTGGCTTGTTCTCTCTTTAACTGTAGTTAAAAACAAAAAACGACCATTTCCCAAGACTGGACATAATGGGCATAAAATCAGAAGGGGAAGCTTTTGATCTTTTAACCAGGGCTACGAAAGAGGAAGAGGAAGGATGCAAAGACTCTCTGTAGCTCTTTCATGTAATGGGAAGCTGCTTTTTTGGTTATGTTCAATGTTAGCCATCAGTTGATCTGAAGGCTGCTTAGCTGGGACAGAAAGCTGAATAAGAAGCATGAGGGATAAAGCCAGAGCAGCAAAATCTTTAAAAACTACAGCTCCTTCCTTCCTTGTCACAGCTGTATTTGTGAAGTTCAAAGATAAGGCACATTTTTTGTGTGTATTTTAGAAAAAGGCTATAATATGCACCTCTTCGCACTGCCTGGACAGCACATTCCCTGCAGTGATACTGCATACCGCTCTGTCATCCCAATTTACCTTCACAGCCCAACGGGATAATCCCCCTTTTGTTTTGCCGAACAGCATGAAGGCAAAATATTGGAGAGTTCTCAATGAAGCCATTGTTGGTTTCTCTGAATGGCATAGTGCAAACATACAAATCATAGAGACAGGAAGGGGGCATCTTTCTGAATAAAGACATTGTGTCTCACCTTGCTTGGGAGAGACCGTAAAAGGGATCCCCCATACCAGAAGGTGAGCATTGGACTAGTTGGGTACTCAGGTTTCTTGACATTAAAGGAACTTTTTTTGACTTTTCAACAGAACGCCAAACAGAGAACTTGATGGCCCATTTATTAAAAAAAACAAGCCCTCCTTTAGCTGCAGCTGTGTGTATATACTTACCTCCTGGGTTCCCTTCACAACCTTCCTTGAAGGGCACTTGATGCTCTTTGGAGGATGTTGCCATGCAGCCAGCGAAGGGGGTGCCAAATATTCTCTCCCTCTGCCCGTGTCAGACAGAATATTGCTTCCTAGTTAAAAGCGACCCAGTGCTATGGGTGACTTCAAAGGTTAAGTTGGTTTCCGGGGTTGAAAACTTTCCTGGTATGTTCTGAGTAAACATTTCATCCCACCAAGGACACCAAGGTGCATGTTAGGTAAAACTGTATTTAATTGTAGATCAGTCCTTTTGCTACTGGAAAAGCCACTTCAGGAGGAGTCAATTGGGCCTGGGAAACTCACCCCTCCAGTAATGTACAGTCATACCTCGGAAGTCAAACGCCTTGCAAGTTGAACGTTTTGGCTCCCTTATGGCACAAACACAGAAGTGAGTGTTCCGGTTTGCGAACTTTCTTTGGAACCCAAATTTCCGACGTGGCTTCCGATTGGCTGCAGATTGGTTCCCGACGTTTTGGAAGTCGAACGGACTTCCGGAGCAGATTCCGTTCAACTTCTGAGGTATAACTCTAGTGACAAATTCAGAAGTGCAGGGTCCCTTCAGGGTATCTGTAGCCAAGTCTCTCACAGCCACACTTCTTTATAATTAATAATAATTTAGGGTGCATTGCAATGATCAGTGCAGACCTCCATGTGTTTCCTTTCAGCTAGACCTACCATTTTCTGTGTGGATAACATGGGGAAATAATTTGGAGTGCTCTTTCACAGTGACTTGAGCCTTTATCAAAGTCCCATTGTTCGTAACAGAACTTGTAAACCGTTCTCTTGAAACCTTGCGCTTTCAGTGTTCTTAAAAGCTTAGCTTTGGAGTGTACTGAACACCTTATTAGGTATGATGATTCCAACCAGCACCAATTTGGATGCCTCTGAAGATCTTGTTGCCCAAGTCATACTCCGCTGGTAGAGCATGAGACTTGACCACATATCACCCTCATGGTCCCTTCCAACTGCACAAGTCTGTGATTCTATGACATCCTTAAATAAGCAAATAAATAACAAACCATGATGCCTCTGAACATATCAGGGGAAATCCATCCTGATGGGTGGGGTATAATAAATAAATAAATAAATAAATAAAATAAAATAAAATAAAAAACATAAAAACATAAAAAATAAAATAAAATAATAATATCGCTGTCATAATCATCTACCTTTAGACACCAGACACCACATCAAATCGAGATGGCAGTCCAAATAAACCATAATTAAACTTTAGACACACACATCCCATTAATCCAGAGCTGGGTCAGGTGTTCTTTGGATCAGGTCAGAGCCTAAAACAATATAAAACGTGTAGTTTAAAAAAATCACAATATGTGTTGGTTTTCTATATAAAAAATCACAGCATCTATATAAAAAAATCACAACATGGTTTCCTCGGATTCTTGGTCAGTACCAGATGTTTCTTGCTGGAATATATATATACCGTATATACTTACCAGTGTTTGCTCTCTTGTTTTTTGCAGGGCCCTGTCCGTATGGCTCCTGATCTTGCCGCGTCTCCTGCCGTGGGATACGTCTCCATAAACCAGAAACCTGAAGCCGTGGTGCACGCTATGAAGGTAAGGGGAGGGGTGTTTTGCACGCATTCATCTGGGCTTTGCATTCCAGCTCAAGAGAGGAAGACAATGCGGAGGGGGAATCAGAGACTCTGGGCTGAGAAATAGCTGAGCAGGTGTGCTCTTTTTATTGACATAAAAAGAGCTTTGCTAGATCAGGCCTAAAGCCCATCTAGTCTGCCACCCTGTTCTCCCAGTGACCAACCAGTTGCCCATGAGAAGCCCACAAGCAGGACCTGGGCACAAGAGCCCTCTCCCCATCTGTGGTTTCCAGCAACTGGCATTCATAGAATCTTAGAGCTGGAAGGGACCAGGAGGGTCATCTAGTCTAATGCAGGAGTCTCAGCTAAAGCATCCATGGCTGTCCATGGCATTTCAGATGGCTGTCCAACCTCTACTTAGAAACCTCCAAGGAAGGAGAGAAGTATACAGCCTGTGGCAGTAGGCTAGTAGCCATCGATCGCCCTCTCCATTAATTTGTCTGACCGTCTTTTGAAGCCATCCAATTTGGTGGTCACCATTGCCTGGCTTGCAACTGATATTCAGAGGCTGACTGTCTCTGATACAAGACGTAGCACCCACCAACATGGCTAGCCTCATCCTCCATGAATTTGCCTAATAATAATAATTTATTATTTATACCCCACCCATCTGGTTGGGTTTCCCCAGCCACTCTGGGAGCCTCCCAACAGAATAATAATAATAATAATACAGTGGTACCTCTGTTTATGGACGCGATCTGTTCCGGGGTGCTGTTTGCACCCCGAAAAGTCTGAAAGTAGAGCGCCACTTCTGCGTGTGACGCGATACAGCGTTCCTGTGCATGCGCGAAGTGCACAGAACGCTCCTGCGCATGCACGAAGCGGCGAACCCAGAAGTACAGTGGTACCTCGGGCTAAGAACGTAATTCGTTCTGGAGGTCCGTTGTTAACCTGAAACTGTTCTTAACCTGAAGCACCACTTTAGCTAATAGGGCCTCCCGTTGCTGCCGCCCCACCGCTGCACGATTACTGTTCTCATCCTGAAGCAAAGTTCTTAACCCGATGTACTATTTCTGGGTTAGCGGAGTCTGTAACCTGAAGTGTCTGTAACCTAAAGTGTCTGTAACCTGAGGTACCACTGTAAACACTTCCGGGTTTGCCGCATTCGTAACCAGAAAAAATGCAACGTGAAGCAAACGCAACTCGAGGTATGACTGTAATAATAAAGCGATAAAACATTAGACATTAAAAACTTCCCTAAACAGGGCTGCCTTCAGATGTCTTCTAAAAGTCAGATAGTTGTTTATTTCCTTCACATCTGATGAGAGGGCATTCCACAGGGCGGGCGCCACTACAGAGAAGGCCCTCTGCCTGGTTCCCTGTAACCTCACTTCTCGCAGGAAGGGAACCGCCAGAAGGCCCTCGGAGCTGGACCTCAGCGTCTGGGCAGAATGATGGAGATGCTCCTTCAGGTATACTGGGCCGAGGCCGTTTAGGGCTCTAAAGGTCAGCAGCAACACTTTGAATTGTCCTCGGAAATGTCCTGGGAGCCAGTGTAGGTCTTTCAAGACTGGTGTTATATGGTCTCGGCGGCTGCTCCCAGTCACCAGTCTAGCTGCCTCATTAGTTGTAGTTTCCGGGTCACCTTCAAAGGTAGCCCCAGATAGAGCACATTGCAGTAGTCCAGTGCTACATTATAAAGCCATTGCTACATCTTGGGGCAGCAAATTCCCCAGATCACCTCTGTCTCGTGTACTTTATTTTGTCTGTTAAGAGTTCACACGCATGAGCTTAGGCTACTCCCTCACGATGGCAGCAGAAAGAGCATGACAACATCAGATAGGAATAGCCGAAGCTTCTCTGACTGGGCCCCGTGTTCCTCGGACCAGTGTTGACACTGGTGTTCCCCACAGGAAATGGAAACCTCTAGCTCTGCCGTGGGGAATTCTGGGAAAGAGGAGAGTCAGAAACCTCTTTTCTATGCTGAACGCTACAAAAGTGATCACAAACCAAATCCTCCACTTTGCCGTAGCCACGTACGCACAGACTAAATGTCACATCGCTGTATCTGTATCGTCCCCCCGAGACCATTGTTTTCATTATCCACGAGTTTCAGTGCTGCGCAAAGCACTCTTAATGTACCAGACCCGAGGGCACTTAGATAATCTTCCAGGGTTGCGATGCTGTGCATAGATACCAAGGAAAGGGGGGTGGGGAGGCGAGAGAGAAAGCTTGCTCAGCTGGCAGAATCAGCTTGTATTTCTGGGTCCAGAAATCTATTTTTAACAGAACAGACTCCGAACGCTGCATTTCATCAGGGCGCATTGACAGAGAAAACTGCTGAGCATCTTCCAGTGGCACAGCTGTTGGAGGCCCAGATCCCCTAAAGCGCAGCCTTTCCAAGGGTTGCCACCTTATATTCACGGCCCTGCTCCTCTGCCACTAGCAGCCCGAGATGCAGGAATTGAGCAGATGAGTTGTTTTCCGTTGTTTCCTTCGCGGGTCTTTAATAAGCTTCACCTTAATTTCTGTTTGTCAGGCTTCTGTCGAAGGCACAGGGCAAGGTCAGAGAGGAAAGGTGGCAACGCTAGGAGAAAATTGCCCGCTGAGTGTTGCAACCTTTCCATCCTGCCAGCGGCTTTGTGTTTTTCTACATCTGTATGATTTGGACTCGTTCACCTCTTGGGGGGGGGGGGAATTATCAAACAGCTTATAAAATCCATTAATAATAATATTGCTGGGCATATGTTTAACAGGAGCAGTTTCCTGCATCCATGCATCTTCATGCAATACAATGCAAGCAGATAGGAGGTTTTTTCCCCTTGCCACAAATCCCTGTAGTTAACATTTTACACTGGGGGAAGCAATATGAGGATGCAATATAGGGTTAGGTTACTGGAGGGTTTCATGCAACCTAATGGAGAGTCTCAGCCTGGAGTACATACATGTGGCCGTGTGCATTCATTCAGCTACCAGCATGATATTTCTGGGGCTGGGATTTGATTATCCAGGCTGATGAGTATCGCAGGCGTGCCCAGACCAACGAGTCGGTTTCGCAGCCTGCATCCAGCTTGATCAATAATTAATTCCTTCCTATTCATTAGAGATCTATTTTTATTTGCAAGCTTGTAAATGCCGCTTGCTTGCTTGCTTCCTCTGGTGTTCCTGCGCCCCCTTGCAAAAAAGAGAGGAGCCAACGGATTGAATTAATTTAAGCGAAACCGTACAGTCATGCAAAATTGCCATTGGTTCAAAATATGTCGGTTAAGCTAGTGGATAATGCAATTTCCAAAGTAGGTTAAGGGCCCTAAGAGAATGACCTATTTTTGTAACTGAGACTTCCGAGGCACGGCAGGAAAGGGAAGCATTGGTCCAGTTCAAAGCGGTCAGTGCGCAAAGCGCAGTGCCACCCGCTAGAACGCTGAGTGGAGAATTTGTGCCTGGTTTTACAGAGTGTTGTGTTCATCTGAATCAAAACAACCCACATTCGTTGCGGTGTTAACCATAATTCTGTCACCGAGTTTGGGGCGGGGGGGAGTGGAAGCTTGATTCTTCAATCGGAATTACAATGTGGGTGATTATTATGCTCGTGTCACAGCACTGTCAGGAATGTCCAACGTCAGGAATTAACTCTTTCTTATCAAAAGCACACTTGCAAGTTAGGAAAAGTCTTGCGTCTCTCAGGTGTGTACCCAATAAGGCAGTTGCGGCAACAGGGAGGGGCCCCCCAGCTCAGCTTATGTATCTCCCCCACCTGAGCAGGCAGAGACAATGTCTGTGTGCAACTTGCTTCAATCTTCTTCTAGCCCTGGGAGACAGTGGAGGCAGGTGGGGGCAGGAGGAGAGGTGTGGCAGCCCCAGCCTGACCTTTCCCTCCCTCCCTCTTGACCTGCTCTTGACTCTCCAATCCTGCAGCTCCTCCTGCCTCCGACTCTCGTCTCCTGGCTGCTACAGGCTACCACGGATCCCTTCTTCCCAGTCAGTCTCCAGCCCACCTTCTCCCAGTGCCCATGCATCCAGCCACCACCCCTCAGTGTCCAGCCAGTCCTTGACAGCTAGACATGAATGAGGAGTAGGGTGGTCATGTGTCTCTTGCTTTACAGAGGACCATCCTCTGTCTGAAGGAGTCCTCTGTCCAGTCCAGGCTTTCTTTATATTAAAGATAAAGAACTCCAAGAAGGGAGAGCAGGGGCCTTGAAGTTGCCCATATCCATACCTGGGAAGCAGACTGAGCAGGTACACACAGTCACCTGGTCTTCCCCATAGCAGCTAGATGTATTTCTGTTTAAAGTAATGATTTATCTGTTTGTGTCTGTACACTTTAATCAGCATCACCTTCTGCAAATCTGTATACAGTCGTACCTTGGAGGTCAAACGGAATCCGTTCCAGAAGTCCGTTCGACTTCCTAAAAGTTCGGAAACCAAGGCATGGCTTCCGATTGGCTGCAGGAAGTTCCTGCAGCCAATCGGAAGCTGTGATGGACGTTTGGGTTCCAAAGAACGTTCGCAAACCGGAACACTCACTTCTGTGTTTGTGCTGTTCGGGAGTTAAAATGTTCGACTCGCAAGGCATTTGGGATCCAAGGTACGATTGTACTCTTTTGTCTGCTCTTTGGCAGGTGATGCATAAGTGGCCACTCTGCTTTATGCAGAGCCACACTGTCCATCTTTGTAGCTCAGCATTGTCCAACTTACTGGCTCAGATTTAGGGTGGGAGTCTTGCCCTGGAGAAGTCAGGGATTGAACCTGGAACTTTTTGCATGCATGGTATCTATCACTGAAGCTCCAGTCCTTCCTTAACCACTTATGGACCACTCTTCCTTTACTGTCTTCTGTACCTAACTATGACAGCAGAAGTTTGTCTCTTTTTACCATACCTTGGCACGATTTTGGAGCAGGAGATCTGAGTCAGGCCACAGCTTTTTCCAGCTTAGTTACCTTGCACCTAATTCTCTTTTGTGCCAGGAACTGCACAATTCAATGGCAATATGGGCAGCATCCAGTGACCATTTGCAAAAAGTGTGTATGCATATGTTGAAAGTAGATCACATGTTCTCCCCCCCCGAACCCCCCTAGTGCTAACCATTCATTTCTAGCTTAGTGATGTATGCGGATGGAACACTTATCTCAAGCTCCATATGTTTTACTGGCAATTAGACTTCCCACTCTCCTGTGTGTGTGTTGAGATTTTGCCCTGTTTGCCCTCCCAACGTGGCAGACAGCATGAGGATGGAGTGGTCATTCCACTTAGGGGTACCTTAGGGTCTATCACTGTGTGACATCATTTTACAATTTCATGTCCATTGTGTTTGTAGGTCCTTGAAGTCCATGAGAATTTGGACAGGCAAATTCAAGAAAACTATGAAGAAGACCTGAGTGAAAAGGAGAAAGCAATTGTTCGTGAAATGTGCAATGTAATGAACCCATTTTCACAGTCTTTCCCATTTCAGTTTTTCACTTCCAACTGTGGTGTTAAATGCTGTCCAATATCTTGTTCTGTGTGTGCAGGCTTAGTCGCTTGTTGTCTTTGCAACCTGCAGAGAAATTGGGTTACGAATACTGTCAGTCAAAACGTTCACACACTCAGAATGCTTGTGGGTGTAAGGTGGCAGAGGCTTACTGCAGTTTTACAGAAATGTGACCATCATGGCTCCTTCCATCCTCCCAGTCATGGTCATTATAGTTCAACATGGTGATGAGAATCACCTATTGAAGATCTTTTCCCTTATCTGATCCCAAAACCACAGTTCTTAAGGCTTCCTGTGAATGGGAATTGTTATTAAATCAGTTAAATCTACAATCCTATATACGGTTACATGAGAGTTATAACATCTGAAGGGCACCAGGTTGGGGCTGACTTAGACCTCACATATGGATATATGGACTGGTGTATTTTGTGTGTTGAGTTATGGTTGTGGTTTGGCTTCCTTCACTGAAAAATGTGGGTGGGGAAAATTCCATTCATGAATCAGGATTCCCATAGCCAGAATGGATCAGTGCCTGTGTGTCTTATTGGACTATAATTCAGAGAGTGTCTTAGTACTCTAGAGCAGCCTTTCACAACCTTGGGTTCCCTGATGTTATTGGGAGTCTCGGAGAAAGACGTGCTCTCCCAAGCCCATGTTCCCAGCATGTGGCACTCCTGTCTCCAGTGCCTGGAGGCAGACAGGTTGTGCTTCCATAACAGTGACCAGAGGAGGAATGGGCGCTGGGAGGAGCACAGAGAGAAGAAACGCCATGGTGCATCTGCAGCAACACAACCGGATGCCTTCATCTGCCACAGCTGCAGTGAAACATGTCTCTCCCGTATCAGTCTCTACAGCCGCAGTGGGTGCTGTAACTCTTGACTTCACCCTCAAGAGATGTACTTCTCCATTGTCTCCTGAGACAGATGGATATCAACAATCAGTCACATTATTTCTGACCGCTGCCCCTGCTGGTAATGGATGATGGGCATTGTAGTCCAATAGGATATGAGGACCCAAGGTTGGGAAAGGCTATTCTTGAAGGTTGTGCATAACAAATTGCTTTTGAAAGTCAAAAACTGTGGTCATCTTTTACTTCCCCTTCTTTCCTCTTTTGCAAGTGAAAAGCCTCCCTGGATCTTCAATTTCAGACTGACCCAGTGCATGTTTAGATAGATAGATAGATAGATAGATAGATAGATAGATAGATAGATAGATATAGATATTCTTGGGAACCTCAACTGGGGCTTACCTTTAGTTAACTGTGTATAGGACTGCAGCCCTGCAGCCCAGTCCTGTGCCAGTGATCTCTCGATAAGAGTGGGTAGGATTTTACCTCCGCCTTGAAATTCTCTGGTTTGCATCCACTTGTTTTGACTATTTCAGGTCTGTTCCCCTAAAAACAAAACATAAACAAAACTTTGGAGCATTACACCGCTCGTGGGGCCACCTAGGGTAACAGTTATGGTTGAAAGCTCATACTCCCCAGTGGGATCTGGTCCAATTTAGAAGCTTTCAGTAGATGGAAACCGCTAATCTTTGTATGATGTGAACACCCTGGGCTTGTGGGTTGCCACATGGCACGAAGCCATAAGCACCAATGACAAAAGAAGCCCTGCTTCTTTAAGCGCACTCTGTTGCACGGGAAAGGCATCGTGGTTTTTCCCACACACAAAGAGTGAAAAAACGTTCCAGGATACGTCCCTGGAAAACCGCTGTGAACCTTAGACCTGGGTGGTTTCCCACAAACCATCTTGCCATTGCAAGTGCCATCAACTAATCCCCCCTCTGGGATGTGAAGCACTGCGGAATGTGCTCTGTTGTTCGACAATGAAATCTGTAATCTGTCTTTAGAAAAAGCTTGCTTTTGGTGCAGGGATGTGAGGGCTGCACCTCAAGAGGCTATCCTTTTTAGCTTCTCTTTTTAAAACAAAATAATGATGTTTGCACAGCCTGAGATATTACGACAAACGAGGAAATCTTCTCAGGAATGCTGCCGACACTTCCTGGTCTTTTGAAATGGACTCCCCAAACAGACCTTGCCAAACAGACCTGGCCCAAGAGCCTGGTTTGGCTGGCGAGCTTTCTGGAGACCAGGGATTTTTAAAGGGCTCAGTAATCTGAGCCCTGAACTGGTAATGCAGCCCTTCGTAATGCAGCCCTCTCTTTCGCTCGGTTGCTTTGGAAAAGGAAGGTGTCTTAAGGAAATTGTCCAAGACGCGTAATTTTGCTGGGGCAGAGCTATGGCTCTTGCCTGGGAGCAGGGGTGGCTAATAATAATAATAATAATAATAATAATAATAATAATAATAATTTGTTATTTGTATACCACCCATCTGACTGGGTTGTCCCAGCCACTCCAGGTGGCTTCCAACAAATTGTGAAACCACAGTAAAGCATCAAACATTAAGAACGAATAGGCTCTAGTCCAAAACAGCTGGAGGGCGCTCAGTTGGAGATGGCTGCTCTAAGCATTTTTGGATTTCTAATGCAAGGCAACTTTGTGTCTGAAGGGCACACAACTTGCTCCGCTTTGGAAGCAATGCTTGATGAAGGGAACATGACTCTTGCAAGCTTGCCAGCAACTGACCTAGCTCTGAACTCAACTTCTGAGCCTAATTTGCTGGTTTGATACCATTACCTAAGGCATCTCTCCCTCTCTAGTTCTAATTTTGGGAGACTTTAACAAGATCAGCATTTTAAACCTGTCAGCCAATGTTATCTCGGGATCTGGTTGCCACCTAGTGGATCAGAGAGGAATCTCGCAAACCCAGCTGGGGCCAGGAATTCCTCGGAATTGCAAGCGCTTAGCTGCCGTAGGGTCATTTACGGCCTTTACCTTTATCGTATCTTCGGACAATGAAGTCTTAAAACTGTTGTAGGCCGCCCTGAGTAGCACATATAGGCACTAGAAGGGTGGGATAGAAAACTCTGTACAAATGCAGATAAAATAAATGGTAACAAGCACCCTCTCTTTCCTTTTGCTCTTAGGTCGTCTGGCGGAAACTGGGAGATGCAGCAAGCTCCAAACCGTCCATCAGGCAACATCTTTCCGGAAACCAGTTCAAAGGCCCGTTATAAGCACCTCACGCAGCAAGGCTGGGAGAGGAAGAGCAACAGGGACTTCTCTGCATCTAGCTGCCAGGGTTATCTTTTCCTACTCGCTCCCATCTTTCTGTAACTGTTTATAGTGTAAATAAGGCAGCTTGGAAGGCTTTGCCTGCAGGCTGCGCTGATCCAGGACAATGTTAAATGGGTTAATAACTATCCTCCAATGGCCGATTTGTGTCATTTGTATTGTAGTGACAACCTGCTTTGTTGTACGGTCATATGTAGAGATACCTGAACCCAAAAGCAAGGGACCTTCCTCGCCTGGACAGTTTCCAGTCCGTTGCCATTTTGCGATCGCAAATTTTGGTTGCGCCCCAGGGAGTTGATTGGGAGGTCATGCACAACACAACTGCTCCATTCCCCCGCCTCCCCCAAAAAAGATTGGGCTGTTTGCCATAAGGAAAGTGATGGAGAAATGCTTTGGAAAGTGCACTTTTTTGGTGCAACACCACCCTGCAAACAAATCAGGACAAATGCGCAATAAAACAGGTCGTCCAAAAGCTCCCGCCCTTTCTTACTTTGCCCTGTTCACGGAGCTACAACCCCAGCTGCGTTGTTTTAGAAATTAACATGGAATCCACAACACCAAAAGTAGCTCTGTGATTTCTCTGTAGCCTTATTATTTTGGCAATTACCTGCTGAGAGTGATAAGCTTTTCTAGAGATCTTTGGTTGGTATTAAAATGAGCGTTTTGAGAAGCAATCCCCGGCCTGCACAGCTGAAGACATTGTGACTGCCTTCATGTTTCTAGGTCACATGCCCCACCCCAAGCTGAAGTTCCCAAATCCCGCAAGTCATGGTGGCTGCTTTAGATCAGGAATGGGCAGAAGGTAGATCTGCTGGGGTCTGATCTCTGGCCGATTTGCAGGGGCTCTTGACCACCCATTGTTTCAACAGTAGCAACAGCACCTTACTTAGGCTGCCTGACACAAAGAAAGCTTTTGAATGGGTTTTTTCTGTAAGCTCCGTTCAGTTCTGGTGCTGAGAACAGATTCCTAGGCTCAGAGCATGTTTGGAGGCACCACGTTCTTATATTCTCACAGTTATCTGTTTTGCATCAGATAGATATTGCAGTTCTTGCAGAAAGCAAAAGAGCCCCAATAAGCCTGATGTCTCCTATCTCTCTTGCATAGCAGCTTCCGGGCGAGGCACTCATGCGAAGGAGACCCCCACTTGCATAAACTTACATTTTTTCATGTTGCTGCAGCGGAAATGCTGCAGCTTCCAAGCAATAATAGCAGGCACTTAATGCAACGTTGACATACGGCGTATGGTAGGCTAGAGTGATCAAGTGCTCAGGAGGACCAGGCTCAGGTCTGGTGTCAAGGGTCACAATCAATGACCAATTGGCCGAGGCCCACACCCTAGCCAAGGTCCCACTGCCAATTCTTGGGGTCTTGTGGCCTTCTTGCTGCCTGTTCCCCAGCGGTTTCTGAGTGAGCGAGGAGGAAAGGACCCTAACATTTACCCCATGGGTAGGCAAACTAAGGCCTGGGCACCAGATCCAGCCCAAACTCCTTCTAAATCCGGCCCGCAGACAGTCTGGGAACCAGCGTGTTTTTACATGAGTAGAATGTGTGCTTTTATTTAAAATGCATCTCTGGGTTATTTGTGGGGCATAAGAATTCGTTCTCCCCCCCCTTCAAATATAGTCCGGTCCCCCACAAGGTCTGAGGGACAGTGGACCGGCCCCCTGCTGAAAAAGTTTGCTGATCCCTGATTTACACGCCTTTCTCTGCGTGTGTGCAGTGGTGCTGATTTGCATCCAAAGGAGAGGAAGGTGAATTGGCAAGAGTGGCGGGAAGAAAGAGGAGGCGAGCCCAGCTTAGAGATGGAGCGCCACTAACAGCATTTTACCCAAGGGCGCTGGCATTGAGCAGGCTCCTAATAGTTGCATGGAAGAGACTCGTTCAGTAAGTGGCGCCCCCTGCCTGCAACCCCGCAAACCACTGCTAGGCTGTGGAGAAAGTACTGAACTAGATTCCTCAGTGTAAGGGCAGCATCCCATTCTCACCTGCCTAAACTCCCTCTTTCATGCAACTCTGCATCCGACAATGAAAGGTACAGTTGCCTTGCCTACCTTTGCCTCACCCTCTAGTGGACATGCTTCTGTCTCTGTTGTTGCTTTTGCTTATCCAGACGTTAGCTCCATGCCAGAAAGAAAGAAAAAAGATTATGTGTGAAGCAGTTCTTCAGTGTCCCCTCTTGCCTATGCTTTACAGAACTGAAAAGAAAATGCCACCCCTTCTCTCCATTTTTTAAATATTTATTTCAGCCTTGGCATGACATTGCAAAGAGTGTCTTTCTTTCTTTCTTTCTTTCTTTCTTTCTTTCTTTCTTTCTTTCTTTCTTCTCACTGAAATAATGCGCAGAATGGTGTTATCTAAAAATGTAAGCGGAGGAGCAGCCGTTTGTGTCGCACAAAGAAAACGCTGTCTTTCAGAAGTGCTGCCTCCGCGGTTCAGCCACTCGCCCACATCAAGTGTCTCTTTGAACTGCTGCGTATAAGGTGGAGGGGCCGCCGGTATTCTATTATGACAATGCAGCTCTTTTGTAACCTGCCAAAGACTTTGATCGCTTTCTCCCTGTTTCATCGCATTTCTTGGTACATCTTCTCAAATTGTATAGCGCAGGCAGAGCCAGCAGAGTGAGCTTCACACATTGCTAGAATACAACGCCGATCACCCTGAACACTCACTGGCTAAGGCTGTTGGGAGTTGTAGTCCCAATGGCATGATGTTGGCTCTCCCCAAGAAAGCATAACAACTCACTAGTCGGCTTTGAAATTCCACTTGTGTAAAATAACCAACAGAACGGGAGGTTTGGGGGGCTAATGCTCACTCTTCAGATATTTGCGTTTTTCCATTACCCTGAAGTTGCCAAACCTTCAGCCGTTGCAGTCTGGTCTCAGAAAGAATTTTGGCTATTGTGCTGCTAGATCTTTCTGTTTTTCAGGCCTGCTTCTCTTGGATGCCACTATTCAGGGTTTGTTCTTATTGAGGACCCGCATAGATATGCAACCAATAGATAAACCGAAAAGATTTGACTCAAAGTCTTCCCAGTATACCTCTCCATTTGCATTTCCACTTGAATATGTTCCAGCCTTTCTTGGCTTTGCACATCCTTCCCATACCCAGGTCCTGGGCCTATTTGGATGTTGTTTATGACCTGGGGCATCCAGACGGTTGCTGGGATTCAGTTGCAAACCAGCAAATTCAGGTCGTGCAAGATGGTGAGGTCTTGTGCATCAAACAAACTCACTTCCTCAAAAGATGGTGCTGATTGCAGTAAGGAATGTGATGGGGACATGCTCTGGACAGTGTGGGAAAACACTCGTTTTGAAGCATCATTATCTAACCTCCCCAGAAACAAATCAAAATAAATGCCAGTGTTGACAAGTCAGGGTGAATGAATACTCAATAAACAGGTCACCTAGCAGCACCCCTGGGAATTATCCGAAGGAGAGATCAGGTGGGGCCTTGAGCTCACAACACAGCCTCCCTCCTTCCTTTCTCTTCTCACCACAGGCAGATATAACAGTGATAATCTCCCTGTTGTTCTCTCCCCCCCCCTTTTATTATTCAAGTAAGAGGAATGAGGATTGGGACCCAAGGCTTTTTTCTAGGCACTCTCTCCCAAAAAGCCCTTAACCTACTCAGGTGAACATTCACTTAATGAAAACTGCAATAGCAGAAATATTTATGGCCATGTGCCCTCTCCATACCTGTAAAATCCAACTCATCCATTTAAATAGGCCCCAACTGACCCAAACCATTTTCAGGTCAGTTGTAGTTCAGCCTTTCGGAACCCATTTCTCATGTGAGCCAAAGTCCAAGAGAGCAAATTGGTCCCCCTGCTGGGAATGAAACCACTGATGGCTTACATTCTTTTTGAGTGAAAATGGTGAATGTGAGAAGCTCAGGTGTGCAAGCATGTATGGACAGTACAGGTGGAGCAGTTAGGGAATCTGGATTGCTTAGAATGGACAGGAGGCTCAGGGATGCCCAGGTCAGCTGAGATCTGACAGTTGAGATCCCCCGCATGTACACAGAAAATGGCTGAGGTGGATGCATAAAATGCAAATGAGAAAGGAAAGTGTCCTGATGTGGTCTCAGTCTCCTCTTTTCCAGGCTAAACATACCCAGCTCCTTCAAGCACTCTGCATAAGACTTAGTTTCCATACACTTGATCATCTTGGTTGCCCTCCTCTTGCACATGTTCCCCTGTGTAACATCCTTCTTAAATTGTGGTGCCCAGAACTGGACACAGGATTCCAAGTGTGGTCTGACCAAGGCAGAATAGAGTGGTATTATTACTTCCCTTGATCCGGACACTATACTCCTGTTGATGCAACTTAGAATAGCATTAGATTTTTTTGCTTCTGCTGCATCACACTGTTGACTCATGTTCAGCTTGTGGTCCACCAGGACCTCTAGATCCTTTTCACATGTACTGCTAGTAAGCCAGGTGTCGCCCATCTTATATTTTTGCTTCTGGTTCTTCCAGTGTGGTGTAGTGGTTAAGAGCGGTGGACTCGTAATCTGGTGAACCGGGTTCGATTCCCCGCTCCTCCACATGCAGCTTCTGGGTGACCTTGGGCCAGTCACACTTCTCTGAAGTCTCTCAGCCCCACTCACCTCACAGAGTGTTTGTTGTGGGGGAGGAAGGGAAAGGAGAATGTTAGCCACTTTGAGACTCCTTCGGATAGCGATAAAGCGGGATATCAAATCCAAACTCCTTCTCTTCTTCTTCTTCTCCTTCTTCTTCTTCTTCTTCTTCTTCTTCTTCTTCTTCTTCTTCTTCTTCTTCTTCTTCCTGCCTAAGTGCAGAACCTTACATTTATCCCTATTGAAATAACATTTTGTAGCTTGCGCCTAGTTCTCCAAACTGTTAAGGTCATTTCGAATTCTGATTCTGTCTTCTGTGGCATTAGCTACCCCTCCCAGTTTGGTGTCATCTACAAATTTGATGAGTAGTGTTTTGGTGTATAGTTCAGGCCCTTATGGATCCCACTCCAGATGTTTGGGTGGGCTGGATTTTTCTTTCAGCTTGTTGAATGACGGGGGAACTGGCAAGCCAAAGGAAAACACTTACTTGCATTGCATTTTATTTCATTGGGTAAAATTCAAACTTTAAAAACACAACAGGGATGAAGTGTTGGCCATGAAACCAACAAATGCCATGAGCGCTACCTTCACCCCCCCAAGCAATCTGAAAATGAGAAGACATCCAGGACTTAGTAAACTCGCTATAGTGGATATTGCACAAACCATATTATTATAATTAGCCCTATTCAAGCAAATAATTCCCCCTGCTCCCGAGTACTTTTAATATATGGGTTCTTTTTTTCTTTGTAACAAAAAGATAGTCTATGTTTTCATAGATGAAAGCATAAGGTACACTCAGATGCAAGATATGCATTGTAGAGGTTACAGATGTAATGCTATATGTAATTTTGTTTTGTTTTGTTAATTGCTGCTTTGTATTTAGCTCAACCTGAGCTAAAGCCAGTGTCTTCCTTGGGGATCGGGAAACGGGTGGGAAATGTCACTCAACGACTTGGCAGTATGACTTGGGTGCTGAAGTTTCAGTTGTCCAAAACAGCAAAAATAAACATTACACACTGTGCTCTAAAGTGTGTGTTTTGGGGTATAAATCTTGCTCTTCAGCTGAAGGGACAGCCACACCCCTGCTACAAATGATGGCCATTTAAAAAAAAAGATAGTTCAAAGCTACAACCTGCTTCAGAAAGCTGGGACCAAATTTTTATACCCCAGAAATTTGTGAGCATTCAGTTTTGTATTGCAACTGCTCTAAAATGTCCGAACAAAATTCATGGTTTTCCATCCTCTACCCTCCTTTCTTTTGAAAAAAATGGGTAACATTTTAACATTTGCAAGTCGGAGGAAAATTCTTAAATGGCAAACTCCAAGTGGGCTGGCTCCCTGTACCTTTGTGAGGAAGAGCACAACCTTGTTTCAGAACGGCACATTTTTTTTTAGTCAAATGATAGCGATAAATCAGTGTTTTAAAGTGACCTTTTACCTTTTTAGAAACAAGGTGGGAGAAGTACTACTGATCTTTTTCAAAGTGCATGACTGTAAAGTGATAAAATTGTATATTTTTCATAAAGTGGGGAAAATTTGTGCTGCTTTTGGAAATCAGTATGAAATTATGATTTCTGCTCAACCTGTGATCTTACAGCCCCGCTATATTTTCTGTATATGACTGACTAAAAGAACTGGAATAAATTAGTACCTCTGCTCATGTATATATAAGCAATGTCTTTAGATCTTAGCACACACGTTTATACCTTTGAATCACTTTGCTTTTGTGAAGTTGGGATGGGGCGGGTGGGGAGGAGAGAAAATGTAAGCAGATTTTTTGATAAGTGTGTAAAACTTCATTTGAAATATTTTAGTAAAAATTAAGTAAGAGATTGTGATAGTGCATACATTCAGTTGAAGAAAATAAAATACCTTATTTGTAAGTGAGATGTGATTTTTTTTGCTTTTTGACAAACTAAGGGCTTTAAATTAATTGGATTCAAATTAGGATAGGAAATGGTTTCTGTTCACCCTGTGATCTTGCAGTCCTGCAATATTTCAACTTAGTTTGCAGTTATAGGAATATTTTGCAGAGACACTGTCACCTGAATATTTTAAATCAGATCAGTATTTAACGATAATTTACTCCTTTTGTCTTTTTAGCTAATTCCATTGGCCCCAGTGAGTACAGTCAGTATGCAAGGATGATTATAATTATAGTCCAAAATAGCAACTGGGTGTCTGCTTCAAATATATACAGAAGGGATGAAGTTGATTAAGTAGAAGGCCACAACACACATTTCATCCACTTCTGAAAACACCGACTACTGATTTCACTTTCACTGAGCTACAGGGTTTATATTCTGGTTTTTTCACAAGCAAACAAAATTATTTACAAAACCAAAAGTTGAAATTGCAGTGTAACCTTCCAGAACCAGCAGGTGCTTGCTTCTACCTGGAAAAAAAATCTCTCCTGTTAAAAGGCATAACCAGAAAGCATTCACTAATCAAAAGAAAAGTGATGCTTTCTGAAAGCAATTTCTCTTTTACATTGTCCAGAAAAGCTTAGCTAAGACTTAAGTCCCCTATTATACAAACTCCAGCAAACCAGCTCCCGTTGACTTTTCTTCTCCAGCTGTAAAGATTGCCGTGTTGATCATTTCCCAGGAAACTGTGTAATAGTCTTTGATAGCATGGTGTGGCTTTTATGAAAGTGTTACACCGTGTTCCTTGCTACAGCTGATGACCTTTTAGACAAAATTTATTGGAGAGTGCCAAGCCTGCAGCAAGCTGAAATGGATCTGCTTGAGCTCTGGCGACATCTGATGTCCTGCTGTCGATATAAACAGTGCAGAACCGTGTCATTGACCTGCTGGTTATTCCTAGGCAATTGCAGTATTTCAAAAGGAGCAGAAATCGAAAATATATATCTATACCTGGGAACAAACATGTCATCGAAAACCATTCATAGGCACTGTGGAAAGATGAGTGTATACGAGTTATATGCAGAAATGTTCTCTACCCAGCAGTCCTTGCCATGTTATATGCTGCTGCTGTTGGCATCGGTCTGTCTCAAAAGACAATGGAGTGTGCCTCCAGGGGTGAAGTCAAATAATGCTCTACCACTGAACGACGTTTCTTTCCCCCTGAAGCTTCAGCAAGTCAATGCAAAGATGTGATCATGGAAAAATAGAAGGATGTGATTTCATGAATTGCTAAGGGTGATCGAAATACGTGTTCAGAAAAAGACTTTGTTTATGCCTGTTATTGGTGAACATGCCTAAATGTCATTCTTTATCCTCCCACCATAATGCTCTACAGCAACCCGTTTCTTTTGGGGGGGCCAGGAGTACATCTGGAAATTGAAGAACCTGTTGTAGGTTACACAAAATAGCCATTTCATAGAAAGAACTAGTGATGCTCAGACTCTGCCATCCAAAATAAGCAAAACATCTATCACCATCAAAACAAGAAAAAGCAGCCAACACCTTCACAAAGAGGCAGGATCCTTAACAATCCATGAACACACACTCACACTCATTTTAAAAAATGGAGAAAGCAGGAGTCTTGTTGGACCCAACGTCAGGGACCCCCAGCTCTGCAGCAACACCACAAACAAGCAAAGGACCAGGTTACTCTAATGAAGGACCTTCTAGTTGATAGAACTGGTTCTCCTTCTCCTGGTTAGCCAATTGGTACCGGTATTTAACCAAAACCATTGGTTGCCATCATCTGGCTGCCCAGTAGCTGACTGTGACTTAGAGCAGCAAGCAAAATATATCAACTGCTAAGGCATTCCTTTCGTCTCTTTCTAGGAATGCCTTGCAGAGAGACACAGAAAATGTGGTAGGAAGGGTGAAAGTATCAGAAGAGCAGTTAAGTAATTCAGAGAGGTGATGTGACTGCGAGTAGCACAATTTGAGTTGGAAGGAGAGGCACTGCAACCATCTAATGGTATTGGGATAAATGACTGCTTTTCCACACTAGAGTCCAGGACCAGGTTTATTCGGGTACATTTCCACAAAGTCAGCCTTTTTTTTTTTTTTAACCAAGTTGTAAATCACAATATGCCATTACATTCAGACTTCCACACTTAGAAAATATAGATATTTATGTACAGGAATTTGCATGTAGGTTTAAACATACATTACAGGTCAAGAACCCAGTACATTCCAAACCAAAAATGACAGAAAGCCAGACACCAATGGAGGCTCATCAGCAATCAGTTGAGTGTTATATATGTGCATATATATTAAATAAAATTGCCTCTAAGTGTTGCTGGAACACTACATAAATGAAAACCAGAAAGGGTCTCTCGGATGGAATGCTAACCTTAATCCCGACACTCAGTAAGTAGGCACTGATTTCTAGAAGCAAGTTTTCTTCTTACCAATATAACTTAGCCAATATGGCTTTTAAAACATCTTCACTAGTGCAAAGTAATCCAGTGCTAGAATGAACTCGGAACAACTTGGATTTCAGTTAGCTTTGCAATATTGAAACAAAAAGCCTGCATTGCCCTCTACTAACCGTGAACAAACTGGTCAAAATTCTAAGTCACTGCCTCCTAGATTCCATACACCAGCCTCTTCATTATACAAACTATTCCCCTAGTTGCCGCTCAGCTATCCTGCTTAAACCATTTCCCTCCCCCACCCCCCAGGTTAAAGTGTATGCTATGTACAACTGCTATCTCATCCAGGTAGCACGTCCAAGTCCAGCAACAGGTGGCATCCCAGGTGGCGGTATGGGAGGTGGCACTGGCGGCTGCCCACCAGGGGGCACGGCAGGAGGGGGGTAGTTTGCTGGTGGCATTCCCAGTCCTGGAGGAGGATGAGGCGGGACAGCATGAGAAGGAGGTAACCGGGGAGGGGGGAAGTTAGGATTGTAGGTAGGCGGTGGCGGGTAGCCCGGGGTAGGAGGAGGAATAGTTGGTGGGGGGAATGACGTGGGTGGCGGAACAGGAGGAGGAGGGTTGGGAGGGTACACATGCGGGTGGTATGGTAAGTGAGTTGGGGGTCCATAGGAGGGTGGCAGAGCTCCGTAGGTCGGCGCTTCGGTCTTCATCATTGACTGAAGGCTCTGATAGCCCTCTCCTGACATGTAAGAATTGGTGGTGGACATGCCGGTGATGTAACTGGACGGCGGAGGCGGAGGTGGCGGGCGGTGAGGCATAGGGGGCGGCTGATGCACAGGAGCGGGATGCGACGGAGGAGCAATCTGCACCTTTGCCATGTCTACAGAATCTGTTGTAGTCGTCTGATCGCCTGCCATGGAAACAGCGGCAGTCAGAGGCGGCTTATGCTCTGAAAAACAGCAACAAAGAACACAACACTTCAGTCACAACTGCATCTGCGCATGACAGAAAGAACACTGTCAGCTAACAGGGCAATTGATCTGTACGTGTTAGGAGCTGATACATATGTGTTAGAATATTCCGTTCCACCTTAAGAGGAACAGGCGTGACTGTTGTGTGTCATAAGCCTGTTTACACTCCAGCACAGCTTGCTGGGAACTTCCGTTTTGTGTATAGCTATTGCTTATGCTGCTTGCTTGGACATGAAAGGGAGAAGACATGTTTTTTCCTTTGTCCTGATGAGGTTGAACTCGACCTCAACCAACAGTATGCTCCCAGGAAACCGCTGAGGTCCATGTAACAAAACCTCAACAATGCACAATAACCATTTTGGCCTAATAGACTCAGCTGCCATAGAGACTTATAAACTCCCTTGCTGTGGGATTATGTGTCCAATGTCTTTTGTCAAAACAACAGCAGAGGGAATCTTCAGCAGAAAGGGAGCAATGGAAAAGGAAGTTTTTGGTTTGAATGCCATCTTTGGTACATTGATCGGGTTAGTGGAAACATGAGCCGACATCCATGATGTAAGAGGGAGGCCGCCAGAGACACCATTGCAATAGCCATCCAAATCCTGGGCTCCTGTGGGACGTGCTGGGTATGGGCTAATCATATGCTGACAATTCCAGCCTATGTAGAGTTTCAGAGAAAAACAGAGGAGGCAACACACACTTTGCAGATGGCAGCAGAACTTACCAGGTGGTGGATGCGCAGGGGGTGCTGGTGGGTGTGAAGTCTCAATTTTAGCAATTTTAGGAGGAGGAGCCTCTGAAAATAGAGCAAAACAGAGATGATCTTGTGAGTGTCACATCCAAAAAGATAGCAACCAAGGTTTCTTCGAAGAAAATAATGCAATTAAACATTCATTGTGACTTAGCTGCGGGTAGTTATGCATAATTTAAAAAGGTAAAGGGACCCCTGACCGTTAGGTCCTGTTGTGGCCGGCTCTGGGGTTGCGGCGCTCATCTCGCTTTATTGGCCGAGAGAGCTGGCGTACAGCTTCTGGGTCATGTGGCCAGCATGACTAAGCCGCTTCTGGCGAACCAGAGCAGCGCACGGAAACGCCGTTTACCTTCCCGCTGGAGCAGTACCTATTTATCTACTTGCACTTTGACGTGCTTTCAAACTGCTAGGTTGGCAGTAACAGGGATCGAGCAACGGGAGCTCACCCTGTCGCGGGGATTCGAACCGTCGAACTTCTGATCGGCAAGTCCTAGGCTCTGTGGTTTAACCCACAGCGCCAACAGTAAACTTTAATAATTCAACGATTGTTTTACCATACAAAACAAGGTCATTTAAAAAAAAGGGGGGGGAATACCTGTAGTTTTGGTTTCGTCCTTTGGTGATGCTGCCTGTTATTGAGAAAAAATTGTGCAAATCAAACACACAAATCACACCAGCAGTATTCAAAGCACTGAGTATCAAGAAATCCGAAATTAGCCACTCTGGACATCAAATGTTGGTGAGTTAAGAGTTAGGGTCTTATGTAGAATCATATTTTAAAAAAATATTATGATCAAAATCCTTAATTTCAATCAATCAATAAAACTGCAACACCATGTACGTTTCCATATTGTTCAAGGCTTTCTGAAAACTTTAGATAGTTGTTTATTCTATTTATGTACAGTGCAAAGCACAGTTAAGAGCTTTATGTAAGTACTGTATTGCATAGCTTCTCCAGAAAGACATCCTGTTACCAACGTCTGATTTAAAAAATGGCCACTGTACTTTCCAATACAATAATATCATTTCTGTTATTCTTACCACTGGTCTTTTCGCCTGCCTGGGAGGACTTGACTGAGGAGATGGTTTTTTGGACGGCTGTGTTTGCGGAGGTGGGGGTGGGGGCGGCTGTCCTGCCTGTTGAGACTCTTTCGGCTGTTGTGCCTGTGACTGCTCTGAGCTTTGAGACTGCTGGGTTGGAGGCACCGGAGGCGTCGACTGAAGGGAAGGAGGCTGCTGCAGCTGATGTGGGGTGTGATGAGGCATTTGTTGCTTCCCCTGCGAGTACAGATCCAGGATCTGGTGACAGATGTCTTTTAAAACAATGAAATAAAAGACAGAAAGTTACACGCCCTGGTGGACAGCTAAAGCGTGAGAATTATATTTGTAAGTTGTGTTCAAAAACACACCAGAAACATTTTATCTAATGCTTTTCCAAGGAACCACAAACTTCATTTATTTTCTTAGCTTTCCTTTATATGACATTCTGAGTGCCTGCCAGCTTCTCAGCTGGCCATGACAAACAACTGCCCCCCTATGAGGTTGTTGCCGATTCCCTCTTTCCCTTGCAGCTCCCCTGTCTCCCCCATCACCTCTTCTGTGCTGCTCTCTCGCGCTTGCCAGAGCAAATTTTGAGGGGGCACAGAGGGCTTCAGAAAGAATAAATAAATGAAACTTGCCCCCCCTTATCCAGCAGAGCTTTATGTGAGTAGAACTCTGCTCACAAGATTTGAGATCAAAACCATCAGAAGGCAAACTGTTGAGTGAATGCTTCTTTAAAAGTATGGGCCCTTTTTAAACATGGTTTTACTGAAGGACCCAAAGCATTCCATACCTACAAATAAGGTTCAAAAGGTATGATATAAACACTGATAAATATTTATCAATATTTGGAAGGAGGCAAAGAGAACATGAAACTACTTTTCCCAGACAGGCTCTGAATGAGGGCTGTGAAGACCCCAGTTTATTTAAATAGAATCACAGAATTGTAGACTTGGCAGGGATCCCGAGGATCATCTAGTCCAACCCCCTGCAATGCAGAAATATGCCGTTGTCCCACACGGGGATCGAACCTGCAACCTTGGCATTATCAGAACCATGCTCTAACCAACTGAGCTATCATGCTATATTCTGGTTTATAATAAACAGCAGTTTGCATCCAAGTTGTACAAATCATGCCTATTTTGGGCAGCAAATACTTTTGGTACCTTCCAGGACATCCACAGGTACATCTTGCACAAACTGCTCCCACCACCTTCTGTACATTGGCTTTGATGTCCACTCCTGAATCTCAAACTTGCACAAGCGGCCAGCCAGATACATGACAGCAACCGCTATGATCTCAGGCTCCCACTGCAGCGACAATGTAGTGCACAGACTAGAAAAACCAAACCAGAATCCATTATCATCAGACACTGGTATATGGTATTATAAAACATAAACCACTGGGAGTCCTTTAGGAGGAAGGCAGTAAATAAATCTTACTAACTGAAGCTTCTGGACTATTTACAAAAGGCAGCCCCATGCACAATGCATCACAGTAGTTCTAATGGGTCTGGATAACTGAAGTGAAACTATCCCTTGCCCAGGGAGGGCTAAGCTAGTAAATAGCACTTCAGACCAGAGGCTGCTTGTGTCTCTTGTGACAAAGATGGATTAATGAGCACTTCAGGACTATAAACCTGATCCTTCAGGGGAGTGCAACCTTCTCGACAACAGGTTGAATGCCACTTAACGGAGCCAATGAATCATCCACTGTTCACATCCCCATCTTGTCTGGACTGAGCTTTAGTTCACTGGTTCCCATCCAGCCCATTACCATTTCCAGGTACTTGATTTAGCACTTCCACATCATGTTCCTCTTCCATCCACTGCACACTTCAATATACAACTATAGCCACATTGCAGAGTACTTGTCATGTGTGGCCAAGGATGTGGGATGGGGTAGACTAAAAGTCTGAATGCTGCCATTTTCAAGTTTTTTGGAAATGCTTCAGAAAAGAAAGTGAATAGAAGCCTCAATAAGTGATTAACTACTGAGCATAATGATTTTTAGTAAAAATTAGCATATGACTGCAGGGTTTTTACCTGTCGTTTACAAATGTCCATGCCATTTGAACCAGTTTTTGAATTTTGTTCTTGTCACCTATTAAGAAGTGGGGGGTTACGTAACAGAAAGGGGAAAGGAGAAAAGAAAAGGATTACTAAGAAAATGAAACAGCCTGGTGATTATCAGATATGTAACACAACCTTATGCATTTTCACTCAGAAGCCCCATGAAGTAAAACTGGCCTTCACATAAGTGTATATAGGATTACAACCAAAGAAATTTGTTGTGTTTTTGCAGTTTGCAGGCTCAGTAAGAAAAACAGCTTTACATGTTTTCCTTACCTACATTGGGACCAAGTATATAGAGGCAGATTTCTTTAGGGCTATCTCCATCTAGATGGTGAACTTTGCACACAACCGCATGAAGCTTTTGATTCAATGGATTGTGCAGTCAAAGCCCATTTGAGAAGGTTACATTCTGCCAAACAAAAGAGGCTAGAATCAGAGACCCCACCTTCCACTAAACAGCGAATGTGCAAGTCTAACTTTTTCAACAATAGCTCTCTACACACAGCCCTCAGCTGCTACTTGGAATTGTGGCAACTCCAGCTAAAAAGAAAATGAAAAAAATGAGACGTGTTCCTTGACCTAAGCAGAATTAGATGTCTCTTCCTCCTTGGAAGAAAGAATACACTGCAGTTTAACTGCAGGGAAAAAAATAAAAATGTGTGATGATCTACTACACAGTTTTCATACTTTCTACTTTATCAGGAGTGGGGAATATGTTTCAGCTGCTGGGCCAGATCCAATTGTGACCAACCTTCTACAAGTCCCATATGACAGGTGTGCAGGGTCCATCCACCAGTTAATCATCTGATACGAGGAGCATCCAACCCACGCAGTGTGGCTTGCATTCAGCATCAAATTTGAATGATGCTGAAAGCACTGTCAATTGCTCCTTTTCAACCACAGCTTTATCTATCCCATGCCTGACATCATATGACATCAAGTGAGCTGCAGGTAGGCCTGACTGAGGGACAATTGCCTCATGAGGCAAATTAAGAACCGTAACAGGCTTGATGTTGTACACATACAGGGTTTTACATTGAGAAAAGGCATGCAGAAGCCCCTGAGTAAGTGTAAGCTCAGATCTCAGTCTACGAAACAAATGGCATACATGAAAACACACACATTCAGCGCAAAATATGCTAAATGGCCTATCAGACATTTCATCTGTCTGCCTCCCACTCTTCAATAATTTCTTCTAAAAATGTGGCAAAAAACAGTGGGGGGAAATGAATATGAAATCACCTATACACACCAGCACTGAGAAATGCAATGCTATTCATACCTTTGAGCTGCTTAGCATATTTAAGCAGGAACTGGTAAGGATGCTCCACTTGCAAGTCAAATTTTATTGTCTGCAACAAGATCCTCTCTAAAACCATAACTTCTTCCTAAATATCATAAGAAGAGAGCAAGGACTCCATTACTCCAAAAAGCCAACTGATTTTTATTTTTTTTACATTTTATAAAATTCCAGGTGGCATTACACAATAATGCCAAGTATAGCCACATCGAGGGTTATCTACTTCTGGGCTTGTCTGCAGTAACCTCACCTAATTTTAAAAACTAAAATTTTGCTTTTAACAGCTATATAAAATGAGTGCATATAAACACCCACATTATTGTGGTTGTGCAACAACGTTCAGCGACTGGAAATCACCTTCTACCTCACTGATGACCAGAACCATTCAATTATTTTTTCAGATCCTATACTTGGCATCACAGTGGACTTGGAGATCATAGGGACAACAAAGAGCAGAGCATAAGGAACCATGATTAAGATCAAGCCTTGTGTGCCTCCAGTTTCCACTTCTGGCAAAAAAAACCACCCTCTTGATCTGCTGGCAAAGTGTCACAGAAAGGGAAAAATAGGGGAAGAGAAGAGGAAGGTGGAATGGGGGAAGTCACAAGTTCTCACGGCAGTGAGAGAGCTTACTTTCCTAGCTAGTACTATCTCCACAATAAAGCCCAATGGCAAATCCTGTTGCTGATCCCTGCTGCACAACCACATTTTTGTCTTTTTCTTTTAAAAAGTCCATAATACTGCAGCACAGTTTTGGGGAAAGAGTGAAACTGCACAGAAGTGCAGTCAAATGCTAATTACTAGGAAAAGAAATGCGAGCTTCCGGATTTCAATGATTTCAGGAATGACTTCCAACAGCCAAAGTAAAATATCCATCATAAAGGGATACTTTGGAAGTTGACAGTACTCCCTGAGCATATTCTTTCATTTCCCCCCATTACTTATAGCACTAGGTGCAAGAGCTAGGCAACCATCCATGGCTATGAGAAGATGGTAGGAGTGGAACCAAAAGCTTGTTCAGCCATCAAACTGTGATAGGAGCTTCTTAGCCTAAAACTCCAAGCAAAGTTGGAGGAAACATTCTCAGAAGTCAAAGTGGACAAGCAGTTCCTTATTGCTAATATTGGCTATCTGAGTGCCTTATGACTAGTTCAAGACTTGGGTCTACAGAAATTTACACAAAAAATAGACAACCACAGTGATATTTACAAGGAGTTGCTCCAAGAGGTGTTCAAAAGCTTCCAAACATCCAAAGTTACTCACAAATAACGCGACAGCACTGTCTAGCAAGACATGTACACTGTTTACCAAATTATGCAGAAAAAAGCCAATGAAATACTATATTCATGCTAACCTGCAAGACTTTCCAGCATATGTTAATTTTTTGAAAATTAATTTTATATCTAAGTCATCTGAAGACTTCGTGGCTAACAAAATGCCTATTATAACTATAACAAAGAAATAAGTGACAAAAGTGTATTTGTTCCAGTTTGCTTACTGTATGCATATGGCTGCACTCTGTGTGGCCAGTTTCACTGCTTCCCCTGTGCAGTGGATTATTTCTTTGCTGAAAAGACAGGCAAACGCAAAGGAGAACAACACACAAGCACTGCAATACACATCGCCTTTGAAAATAACATATGGCAAAAATACTATCTAAATGAACCCAACCACTGAAATATCTTCCAGCTGTTTAAATACTGATGAAAGGTCCTGGTAATATTTTATTTTAAAAGTATCAAGTTTTTTTATCTAGCTTAAGAAGACTTCTAGTTCACACTATTTTACTCTAACACCATCACTAAAACCATGTGCTATACTAAATATCTACAGACAATATTACTAGGGTTGTACCATGTTAACTTAAGTTCAAGCATCCTTAGCACATGTCCGTTTACCTTTGGATCATCTCCAAATTGCCCGAACTGCACGTCATTTAATAAACTACGAGCTGTTTTGATTATATCTTTACATTTTTTGGGTGTTTCTTCAACTTTTCCTGCTAGGAAGAGACAGCAAGCTCCAGTCACCTATTGAGAGAGGGGGGGGGAGAGAGAGAGAGAGAGAGATCTCCTTTAGAAAGTTGCCCAAATATAAAATTCAGAGGAAATAATAATTTTATTTTATAAAAGAACAGATTATCCACTCATACAAAAAATAATAATTATATCTGATCAATGTGATGGGGCTGTCAACCATTTGGGGCCCATGGACACATTTGCAAACTGGAAAAACTGTCAAGGGCACAATACTCAGACTGAAACCAAGCAGACAATAGAACCTTTTCTATTTGCTGCAATAAAATGCTTCTTTCAAGCAATGAGAAGCAATGAGAGGGAGGAGGGTCCTGCGGGTGTCAGGGAAGGCCTTTGCAGGCACAAGTGGGACTATGCACACCACACTGAAGCCCCTACTAACTGTTCACCATCACCACCAGTATTTTGGAAAGTTGTATAAGATTTTATTGCTGTACTTGACCAAGGTCAATGCATCATGATAATAAAAGAGCTGCCAGAAACCATAGTAGCTAACATTGCCATGAAATAATTTTGCAAACAAAAATGGCATTGTGTCATGCCGGATTTGTACACACAATAATGGGTTGTGCCACTTGTGAGAGCACACAATGAAGTGTAACAGTGGCATTCATATGACCTTTACACCTTGGGACCATAGGAACATGATTTTACATTATATTCCACCTAGTTCAATCTTCTGTTTCTAATAGGCCACCTACTGGCAATGTAATCACTATACCGTTGTACGTACCTTGGATCCCGAACGCCGCAAATCCAGAAGCGAGTGTTCCAGTTTGTGAACTTTCTTTGGAATCTGAATGTCTGACATGGCTTCTGACTGAGTGCAGGAAGCTCCTGCAACCAATCGGAAGCCGTGCCTTGGTTTTTGAATGTTTCCGGAAGTTGAATGGACTTCTGGAACAGATTCCGTTTGACTTCCGAGGTATCAGTCGTACCTCAAAAGTCAAAACGGAATCCGTTCCGCAAGTCCATTTGACTTCCTGAACGTTCAGAAACCAAAGGGTGCCTTCTGATTGGCTGCAGGAAGCTCCTGCAGCCAATTGGAAACAGCAGAAGCCCCGTCGGATGTTCAGCTTCCAAAAGAACGTTTGAAAACTGGAACACTCACTACCGGTTTTCAATCATTCAGGAGCTGGAATGTTTGACTCCCAAGGCTTTGGAAGCCGAGGTACAACTATGAAATCACCAATTTCACCCTCAGATTTTCAACTGGTAGAAATTTAATTTGCAAAATAAACTATCCCTATTTAATGTAGCATATTATGGTATGGTCCCAGCAAAAATACTAAGCTATAGCCTAACTATAGTTTGAATTATGGATTGTACAGGCAACCCCCCCCCCATTTATGTGGGGGCTACGTTTAGAGGCACCTGCACATCAGCGAAATCGCATATATTTGAACCATCAGAGTACTATTAACAGTTTTTGAATAAAAACAGCATATTTATACTTACATATCTTGGAAACTGCTTGAAGGAATGGAACATATAAAATCGATGAAAATAAATTATCCCAGTCGCTAGCGTATCGTAATGTCTGGATTACAAGATAAGGCTCTGAACAGATTTTAGCTCAAACCCAGCTCTAAAGATTAACTGCAAATGAAACTGAATGATGCATCAAAACGCAATGATGACAACTTAATTTTTTTAATGATGATGCATCTGCTTAGGGTTGTTTGCCAAGAATGCACTCCCATGCACAGTGTCAGTGTCACAGATCCATTGCAACAAACTTCTCTTCCGTCCTGGATTGACACTTTTGCAAGATAGCAGTTTCATGACTGTCCCCAGTATTAGGGTGGAAGGGGAAAGCGGGTACTCTCCCTCCCATCCTATAAGCCACTTCACCAGATGACTGCACACAAGCTATTGAAACCCTGACTTAAGTATTCAGGTGGAACTACTCAACACCTACTTTGCCTGACTTTAAAGTATTCAGGTGTTTAAGCAAGAGCAATCTTAACTGAATTCTCAACTGCTAAAAAAAAAAGCAACACCCAACCAACTGTGCAGCACCCAACTCAAAGGATACAGTCCCAAACGGGTTCCTACATCAAATATGAAGCGAGCACCTTCCCTCCGATATCTTGCTTCGGTAGCTGGATCGAGTCCTTCTAGCTGCGATGGCGTATGAGCCAAGTCTTTCTTATCCCAGTACCAGCATGGTTTCGTGTGGTCCAGGTTTGCCGATGTTACAGAAGGGCTGGAGTTCTCTTTTGTTTCCTTCATTTATTGATGCCGAACGGTTCCTGGTTTTCCAGTGTTGGTTTTTTTACAGGGCGACTGCCAAACCTTTGGTGGGGGGGGAAAGGATTTAGTTTTATGACGAGGAGACAACTGTTTCCCACACAAAATGTCACACACACAAATAACAGGAATCTACCAGAGCCTTTTGTGGCACCTTAAAATTTACTATTTTATTATGACATAGGTTTTTGCCGGTAACATCCTTTACATCATTAGCATCAGATGTCAAGGAAATAAACAACTATCTGACTTTTAGAAGACATCTGAAGGCAACCCTGTTTAGGGAAGTTTTTAATGTTTGATGTTTTATCGTTTTTAATATTCTGTTGGGAGCCGCCCAGAGTGGCTGGGGAAACCCAGCGAGATGGACGGGGTATAAATATATTATCATTATCATCATCATTATTATCAAAAAACCTCCTCAAGAGCCCTTTTAAGGCGGTTTCAGGAGGGGCTGAGGCAAAAACGGGAAGAGTGGAGCAAACGCTTTTCCAACCATCATTACTGTCGCCGCCACAAGCTCTTTCTAGGAGGGAACCCCTTTTTAGGAGACTTCCGGGGGGCCCGTAACCCTCTTTCAGCAACTCGCATTCCCCAGAACGACTCACAGAAGCAACGCGCCACAGGGAGCCAAACGCGTCGAGGCATCAACGACAACCCCTGCGCGGCGCCATCTTGGGAGAGAGCCTCGACAGAGACGTTGCCGACGTCGTTGCGTCACGCAGGCTACGGGAGAATCGCCAACGAGCGAGTCACCTCCGCCAATCGAAACGCCACCTTAAACTCTTAATCCCGCCTCCTCCATTTTCCCGGCGCGCGCGCGCGCGCAGGCGCTCCCTCTCCCAAGCACGTCCGCGTTTGAGCGAGATAGAGACGAGGCTTGGTTTTGTCTCTCACCCACTCTGCTTTGCCCTAGACTCCGTTAGCCAATGGGAGGGACGCACGGGAGAAACGAAGGCGGATGACTCCAGCCAATGAACTCTCCAAGAGGCGGGGGGGTGGGGAAACGAAGAAGACGTACGGGGCGAGGAAGGGGGCGGTATTATTGGGCGGTGCTCTTATCCCTGCCAATCAGAATTCGCAACACCACCACCCCCTTCCCTCGCCCGCGCTCCGCTGCCCTTTCCCTCCCTCAGGCTCTCGCGCACGCGCCCCACCCTTTCAAAAGAAGTGTGTGTGAGAGAGAGGGGGAGGAGGGGCGAGGAGGAGGCGCGCCGGATTGGCTGGCCCGCCCCAGTGCGAGGACTGCGTGCCAATGGCAGCGGTGGAGGCCTGGGCTCCGCTGGAGGGGCGGGCGAGCGAGGCCGCAGGCGGGCCGGGGCCAGCGCTGGGTCCTCAGAGCCACTGAGTGAGTTTGTAGGTGTGTGTTTACGCGCACGCGCGCGGCGGGGCTGTGGTTGGCTTCGCGGCCGCCACCACCGCCGCCGCCTCCTCCTCCCCCCCTCCCCTCCCCCCTCCACACCCCGGGCAGCGCCGTCCGGTGAGAGGATTTTGAACCCCGTGTTGTCGTCGCTAAAAAAGGTAAATGGGGGAGGCCTAATCCCGACCCCGTCTCTCTCGTGCGTCGCCTCAGAGGAGGGCGAGGCGGGTGGGGGCTAGTCCGGCCCTGGCGCCTTCCTCCTCCTGTGTCTTTCTTATTTAAATAAATTTTAAAAACCCATGTGGCTGAGGGCCCTCACACGCCACTGAGGAAGACGCTCCCGCCGCCGGCTGCTCTCTTCGGACACCGACACACGCGATTTCAGGAGGTCGCCTAGATGCGTCATCCCGTGTCAGCCCCTGTTTCCCCGCCCCGTTCACACGATCTTCCTTGCACGCTGTCATGTCCGCGCCAGTGAATTGGTCTGGGAGAACAGTCACCGCCGCTTCCCCTGGGCTGTAGTCGGGGTCGGCCCACACCCCTCCCCGTAGTTTTCTTCCAGAGGGCTAGGAAGGGGTGTGGGTGTATGTGTGTGTTTCAAACCACTCGTGCGGTGCCATCCTACAAAACATAACGCTCCAATTTCCGAAGTAAACATGCGTATCTCAACGGCGGGGGGTGGGGAGGAAGAGGCGTTGCGCTCCTCAGTTCCAACGGATCCTGAAGATGCGCCCCTGCAGCCGCCCGCATGGTTTATTTTTAAGTCGGGCCCATGGGTTTTTTGGGCAAGGCGTTCCTTCCAAATGAGTGTGCATAGGATTGCAGCCTTCCTAAGGGCCTTGCCCCTCCGCCTCTTCCATTTCGCAAACGCATTTGCTGCACGCACCGGCCTCCTCCATGCATATTCATCTCCTCATATCCTGGCCTGTTCTATGCCCAATTTTGGCTTCTGCCTCCTGCCGTCCACCATTTCTGCTCAGCTTCTACTCTCTCTTCCCTTTCTAATAAATAACAGGTAAACACTGCTTCAGAGGCCTGCATGACAGCTGCTTATCACTGTATACAGTTGCCTCACAGTCTCTTTGGCATTGACGTTTTTCCAAATATTACCTATTGTTTGTCATAATGTGGCTTAGCTGCCGGCATGCATGAAACTCTCGGTATTTACTTACCTACCTTGTCTATTAAATCAAATTCATGTCTTTATTCACACACACACACACAGTAAGGCTGTCATAAATACTTCTCTGAATCTCATCGTTCCTTGATGGTTTTTTGCTTTTACTCTAATCTTGACCAGGCCTCTTGTTACCATTCCCCTACTAGTCAACATTATTTCCTGTTCCTATCTTACAACACTGGGTATTGCCCTTTCCTGACAACTCGCAATCTTTCTGTGTTATCCCCTGTTAGTGGGTTCAAGATTGCAGCCTAAGACTCAGAAGTAAGCTCCATTTTGTTCTCTAGGGCAGGAGTCAGCAAACTTTTTCAGCAGGGGGCCGGTCCACTGTCGCTCAGACCTTGTGGGCGGCCAGACTATATTTTGAGGGGGGGGGATGAACGAATTCCTATGCCCCACAAATAACCCAGAAATGCATTTTAAATAAAAGGACACATTCCACTCATGTAAAAACACGCTGATTCCTGGACCGTCCACAGGCCAGATTTAGAAGGTATTGGGCCACATCCGGCCCCCGGGCCTTACTTTGCCTACCCATGCTCTAGGGTAAGGGTGTATAGGATTGCAGCGCATTCAGCTTAATTTCATGATTATCATATCTTTCTCAGATTAAATTGCCTATAGTTCCAGTATTTTGCTGCTTGTTTTCCAAATTTCTCAATGGTACATTTATCACATCTTGACCTTAATGCCAATTCCATTTCTCTTACAGGAATCATACTGACATTAGTAATTCTCTATGCAACTGTTTTGATTGTCTCATACACAACTTCCATTCTTTTCTTTAAATTTCTGTCTTGTTTTTGCAGATAATTCTTCTTCTTTTGCCTATTCCTCATAGGGATGAAGCCATAACTTTTCAATTCTCTTCTCTTCTGTTTTTTTTTATGCTAGTTTACTTTATACAAACTCTAGGGGTCATTCCTAGAGTGGAAGAAAGGGGAAATCACAGAGGAGGAGTATACACGTGTAGCCAACAGTTGCAGGGGAAAGTCAGGCTGGCTAAACCGCAAAATGACCTTAGGCTTGAAAGAGAAGTTAAAAAGAATAAAAAAGTTTTCTTCGGCTATGTCTGAAGTAAAAGGAAGAACAAGCACGTGGTAGGTCCTCTGTGTGGGGAACACAGAGAAATGCTATTGGATGACAGAGAAAAAGCAGAACTACTCAACACCTACTTTGGCCCTGTCTTCACCCAAAAGGAAAGCGATGCTCAGCCTGGTGATAACAGAATAAATAATGTAAGGAGGGAGCTGCAGACCAAGATAGGAAAAGAAGTAGTGAGGGAACACTTAGCTACTTTAAATGAATTCAAATCTCCAGAGCCTGATGAGCTGCATCCAAGGGTACTAAAGGAGCTTGTGGAGCCTTTGTCTATTATCTTTGAGAACTTTTGGAGAACAGGTGAAGTCCCTACAGACTGGATGCGGGCAAATGTTGTCCCCATCTTCAAAAAGGGAGGAAAGGAAGACCCAGGTAACTACTTGACCGGGGAGCCTGACATTGATACCAGGGAAGGTCGTAGAACAGATGATTCAACAGTCGGTCTGTGAGCATTTAGAAAAGGATTCTGTGATTACTAAGACCCAGTATGGGTTTCTCAAAAATAAGTCATGCCAGACCAATCTGATTTATTTTTTGATGGAATTACAAACTTGGTGGATCGGGGAAATGCTGTGGACACAGTGTATCTTGATTTCAGTAAGGCTTTTGACAAAGTACCTCATGATACTCTCAAGAGGAAGCTGGTAAAATGTGGTTTGAATGAGGTAACTGTTAGGTGGATTTGTAGCTGGTTGACTGACTGAACCCAAAGAGTACTCATTAATGGTTCCTCATCATCCTGGAAAAAAGTGAAAAGTGGGGTGCTGCAGGGTTCTGTCCTGGGCCTGTTGTTGTTCAGCCTCTTTATAAATGACTGATGAAGGAATTGAGGGGATGCTCCTCAAATTTGATAACACCATACAGTACTGGGAGGGGTAGCTAATGCCGCAGAAGACAGAATCAGAATTCAAAATGACCGTAACAGTTTGGAGAACTGGGCGCAAGCTACAAAATGTTATTTCAATGGGAACAAATGTAAGGTTCTGCACCTAGGCAGGAATAACCAGATGCACAAATATAGGATGGGGGACACCTGGCTTACTAGCAGTACAGGTGAAAAGGATCATGGGGTCTTGGTGGACCACAAGCTGAACATGAGTCAACAGTGTGATACAGCAGCGGGGGGGGGGGGATTAATGCTATTCTAGGCTGCATCAACAGAAGTGTAGTGTGCAGATCAAGGAAAGTAATAGGACCACTCTATTCTGCCTTAGTTAGACCACACTTGGAATCCTGAGACTGAGAGGAGATATGATAGCCATCTTCAAATATCTCAAGGGCTGTCACATGGAGGAGGCAGCATGCTTGTTTTCTCCTGCTCTGGGGGGTACGACTCAAACCTATGGCTTCAAGTTGCAAGAAAGGAGATTCCAATTAACATTTGGAAAAACTTTCTGACAGAGCTGTTCAGCAGTGAAACAGACTCCTACAAGAGGTGATGGACTTTCCTTCCTTGGCGGTTTTTAAACACAGGTTGGATGGCCATCTGTCATGGATGCTTTAACTGAGATTCCTGCATTGCAGAGGGTTGAACTGGACGACTTTTGGCGTCCCTTCCAACTATGATTATATGATTCCAGACCTTTTCTGCCATATGAATGTACAGTTTCCCCCTTTTACTTTAACCTGCTCATAAGCAAATATTCATTGTAGTGTGATTGCACCTGCTTCCATCTTGAATTCTCCATTCTTATTCATTGATAATTTAATGTCCCTTTCTCTGAAGTTTTGTTTCCTCTCTTCTCAAAGTCTTTTTTTGTAGTAGGTTTAACTTTTTACTGCATTTATCCATCCACCCGCTTAATACTGTCTTGGCAGAGATATGGCTAGTCATATATGGGTAATGGAGTGATGCTGTTTACCGTGCCAAGGGTTCTTTGTTGTTAGTTCCTGGGGGAAAGATAGGCAATCTACTTGTGGCTCATGTGGGAGGCAAGCGGAACACAAATTTAACAAGACTTGATGATGCATTAAGATCTTAGTTGTAGTTTGGAGGCATTTTTTATTTTGTGAAATCTTGGTTCCCTTCCTGTCTGTTCAACCCAACTGATGTGCCCCTCACCATGAAATATTAAAAATATGGCAAAAAAATCAAGAGAAAAATGGGAGAGGGTTATTGCATTCATGCCCTGCATGTGGGCTTTCCATAGGCTGGTTGGCCATTGCAAGATTTGAATGCCAGGCTGTGCATGTCCTTGATCTGCTCTCAAGGAAACTGATAAACATCATTATGCTTCATCTCTCATTTGGGAATCATTTTCCTTTAGGACAGGGATGAGGAACCTTTGACTCTTCTGATGTTGTTAGACTCCACTCTCATCAGTCACAGTGAGCATATCCAATAGGGATGATGAGAATTGTTGTAGTCCAGCAACATCTGAAGGGCCACAGAATCACAACATCTGCTTCAGCAAAATGGCTAGCTTGTTCTAGCCATCACCTCATTTTACTATTCCTTGTTTTGTGGAATCTGTGACATGATTTAACCTGCTCATTGCTTATGGCAGACTGTTAGGTTAGGAATTTGAATTTGCTAAATGCTTTAGATATGCTTTACAGATCCTTTCTTTGGGTTGTATCCAAAGGTGTCTCTGCACAGGTAGAACAGACTTCAATATACGTAAGAGAACTTCTCCTTGCTCTCCTGCTGCCCACCTCCCCGAAAAAGTCTGCTTTGGAGAGTTTGGGGAATGGCAGGGAGTTAGGAGAAGGAATGAGAAATACTGTTGCAAATCAGAAGTCTGCTTGTTTGACATTGGATCTTACTCTGTCTTCTGGTATATGGAAAGCCTTTGTATGACAAAATTGTGAAAGAGTAAAAGCCAGCAAACAGGCTTGTGTTGCTTATTGTGACTTTCATTTATTTTTAATTTGCTTAAAAATACCCTGTTGACTACATGCTATCTCAAAATAAAACACCAGTATAAGTTTGTCTCCTTGCTTGTATGGTACAACTTCATTTATGATCTTTAAAAATTCCATATTCTACAAAGAAACTGGAGAATTACAAACTCTTAGCAAATTAAGTGCAGAATTAATATTCACTTTTTTAATTGATAATATACTTTCAGTAGGTATATTTTTTTATTAGCATAAATTGGTTGCAACCCACATGCGTCCAGAATCCCAATTAATTTTAATGATTGTTGAGAAACTGCATGTACAAAACATGATACACCATGTTGTAATTAAATGTCAGGAAGATGCCATTGTTTTCTAGTGTGTGAACTTAACAAGAGAAATGCTTTTTCTTTGAAAGTTGTTGTGGACTTTGCTACATAGATTTGCTGAAACCTAATTTTTCTTGATTGATTTAAGTTCTTAAAAGGGGAGCTGGTTCAGTTGACAGGCAAACAGTCATAAACCATGCTACTGTGATAGCTAACACAAGTAGAATTTATCTTTGTAAGAAGAAAGTACTGTTTGGGTATTCAGTCTTCTTATGTGGGGGGAAAAAACACGCAAGGAGAAGCAGGGTTATGCAGCCCAGCTCTGTTTTAATAGTAATAGTAATAATTTATTGTTTATATTCCGCCCATCTGGCCGGGCCTCCCCAGCCACTCTGGGCAGATCAACTGTACACAGTTTAGAACCTTCAACGAATTTGGGGTCTGAACTAGAGAGCTGCACAACATATTTTAAAGCCCTTCAAAATCAGAGGTTTAAATCACAGAGTTTTTGGTTTTTTTAATGCTTTTCAGATTTATACATTTCACTAATTTTACAATCATTTTAACATTTCAAAACTTCATTTCCTTGCCCCTCTTTCTGCAGTTCCTTAAGTTTATTTTTAATATCTTCTGCATATCCACATTAACTTAATTTGCTCATTTATTCATCTACTTTAAATATATACTCTTATAAAACTGCAGGTTATTACAATAATCCTGCCTGTGTTCTTATCTGTTTACAATTTATTTGTAAATATTCAATAAACCATTTCCATTCTTTTATAAAAAGTCTGTGATCTTGATTTCTTATTCTTCCAGTAAGTTTCACCATTTCTGCATATTCCATAAGTTTTTGTATCCATTCTTACTTTGCTGGGACTTCTGCTTCTTTCCATTTTGGGACAAGTAACATTCTTGCCGCTGTAGTAGCGCAGAGATTCTTCACAAGTAGAATATGTGTTCCTCCTTGTGTCTTTCTTTGAATGTGATCTGTTCCATAGTAGAACAAACTCCCTAGGGACTTTACTTCCTTGGAGCTTTTTAAGATTCTAAGACTGAGCCCCCAAATAGGGCAAGAGTTTCTGATGCAGTCTGTTGTCAGTAGGCAGTTGCTTTGTGAAGGAAAGTAGCTTCACTGCTGTATCAGTTACATCAGCCCAAGTACTAATTTTGGGACATTGCAAAACATACTGACTGTTGCTGGTGGCCTAAGTTCCTGGCTTTCTCTGCAGTAGTAGGGTACAAAGGTAACAAATGGTAACAGACCGTTACAAATTCAAGTAGACTTGGTGACTTTTAGCTACAAGAAATAAAATTGAAACCTCTGTGTTCAGTGGCAGTACACCTCTAATGATCAAATGCTGGGGTCGAAAAGGGAATGGGTTTTTTGTGACGTCTGCTTGTGACTTCTGAGGATTATCTAACAGGCCACAATTGAGTACTGAACTAGACTGGCATCTGGTCAAATAGTGAGGCAGCTAGAAGTGGAGCATGTTTCGCTAAAGAGCAAAAGAAGGGCTTTCACTGGCAGTTTCCTTGTTTCCCTAGCCCTTGTCTTGTTTCTGAGATTTTAAAGGATTATTCTGTATATTGTCCCCACAGTCATAAAAATCTCAGGATTTAAAGCATAACTTGTCTTAGCTCTCAGCAGTATTTGCAAAATAATATGTAATCTCATTTTCTGTTAAATGAACGATGACAATTTTTTGAATGACATCTAATGATACATGCCTAATTTGCCCAATGCAAAACTTGTGCAAAATGGCTTAAGTTTCTTTTCTCCACCCCAGCCCTCTGTGCACCCCAAAGCATTCTTTGTAGAATCCTCTGGGGCAATATTTTTCCCCAAGGTGGCTTCAAAGGGAGGACAGGAAGGAGAAGTCCTGTTGCGCGAGTGGATCTTGCCCATTGAGTGTACTTTCAGATGACACCTTAATGAGTAGGCTTTTCTGCAGTGAAACTTGCTTTGCTTAGTTCTTACAAATGAGCTTGGACTGCTAAAAGCCACTTTGTAAAATTGTGATCTTACTTTGATCTTGTACTGAAATAATTATGCTAGTTTGGATTTTGAAATAAGTTAGAATGGGAAAGAGTTGGAGATTTATTGGCTGTATCTAGAGGATTTGTTGTTGATGATTGTCTTTGTTTCCCCTAAAAAGATTTCATCTAACTTCCACTTTGATACTGGTTTAATTTAGTCTATTCTAGAGGTTTTTTTCAAAGACAAGAATGCCTTTGGGTTCTTATCATAAATGTTAGTTTGCAGCAAGTACAGTATTCTGTTTTATTACAGTGAGTAAGGAGGACAGGTTACAAAAGTATAGTTATGCATGAGGTGGGGGGGAAAGAATAGGTTCTCTTTCTCCTGATGTTTGAGCCCTGGATCATCAAGTGAAACTAAATAGTGAGACATTCAGGGCAGACAAAAGGAAATACTTCTTCAAACTGCATAGTTAAACCATGGAGTTTGCTAACATGGTAGTGACCACCAACATGGACAGCTTTAAAAGGGAAATAACCTTTATCTTCCAATGGACACTAATTGGACACAACCCTTTATGAGCAAATATTATTTTATAGTACAAAAAGAAAATTTAACAGATTCAGAATAGGAAACTTAATATAAATTACTTATTATACCGTAATTCATTTAACTCCATTATTTAAATCTAGGTGCTTTAAATCAATCAATTTTGTCAAACTTCTTTGCATTGCACCAAAGAAAATTATCTCTTCCTTTTTTTGTTGTTGTTTTTTGTTATAGAGGTGACCACTGTATCACAGTGAACTCAAACAGTTCTGAGATTCCTGTTAGAGGATAGTATTTCACTGTGCAGAAATTTCTTGTACTTTTGATTTAAATTATAGCAACAGCAGTTGGGAGTTGTTGGCATTTTAAAAAGCAACTCGCCAGAAGTGTGATGACACAATTCATTTTTAGACTTCAGGTGTTTTGGCAGAACTTCCATGCTGTAGTGTAACTTATCCTAAGTACATGTAAATGCAATAATCACATCCTTTCCCTGTTGATCCTGGCTCCATTTGTTTCCCTCTCTCTGTTGTCTGTCTGGTATCCTAGATTGTAAAACCCTCAGGGAACGGATCTGTTCTGTCATTATTTGTGGATAATGCTGTAGAAATAATACTGTGTGTATAGTGTTAAAATACTGTTGTGAGTTTGCAGCAGATAGGCTGTATGCCCTGAGCCACCCTTCCAATTCCTGGATCCAGCATGGATTCAGTTGCTGGAATAGCCAGACCATCCTGGTAATGGCCCACAAAGGGAGCGGCTCTGTGCCAGAGGGCAAAGGGTTAGCCCTCCCCTCCCTCAATTGTCTGTTAGAAAGACAAAAGTCCAGAGTTGAGAGTTGAGCTTTGTGAACTAGAAGCTGGATGCAAAAGCTACAGGCTGGAAAGGCAGAGAGACAGAGAGAGAGAGAGAGGCCTGATTTCCGCTGCAATCCAAGGTTGTGGCTATGAGAGAAGCAGGACTTTCTTGGGAGGTTAATGCTGTGAACCTCTCCATCGTAGGCTCAGGTCGCGTATATGTGTAAATTAAGCAGATATCATAAAGACTCAACAGTCTCTAAAGTGTCTCAAAAGAAAACACAAACCCTGGGTAAGTGCCTGGGACCCCTGGAATCTCACACCACTCAGAGATTGGGATGGCATGCAACAATACCTTAAATGTGTTTATGTGCATGTTTTAAATAAGAAATCTGATAAAAGTTAGCTGGAAATTCTTCTTAGACTTGGTTATGTGATAGAGATCTTCTCCTTATTCTTTCTGAAATATTTATGTTTGCACCAATTAATAGATTGTGCAGCCGTTGAGTCCTAAAGCATTCTGTTGAGAGCAACATGTTTGCAGAGTTTTCCTAATCCTATCAACCTAACTTTAGGGTTACAGGGTGTTAAGGTTGCAAAATCATGCACTAATGAACTTATTTATTGCAAAGTGAGTGCCTTCTGAAGGAAAGTATTGGGTGCACATTTTTTTTTTTTGTTTAAAACTGCCTGGGAAGGAAGAAAATTTTGTGCATATATATATATATATATATATATATATATATTTTCAAGGAAAGATTTTGGTAGAACAGAAGTTCAAAGCCGAACACCACATGAGATCTTTGCCAACAAGAGATAAGAGTGGGAGATGAGTTAAACTCTTGCTGCCACTGTTCTTGCATGCTATTTGGTGCCAAGTTCATTGGATCCTCTATATTTGGATATGCGACTTTGCTGCATGTACCAAGCATATTCATCAACGCTTGACAGTTTTTCCCTTGGAGAAAATTTCTGTGGTTTTCCAGAAATTTATGTTTTCGATATATTAAAACCAGCTAGCAGAGAAAAACATTTTAAGCACTGGCACTGGCTGTTTGCACAGGTAGGCACTACTTAACCTTGTTCAACAAACCAGCCCTAAATACATTAATGTAAATCTCATCAAAATAAATGAAACAGGAAGCAAGTCAGCTGTTCTTTTTTTATAGGTTCTAAATAAAACATTTTATTGCAGCTAGGATCAAACCCAATTTATTGAGCATTTTAAAATGTGTATATTTTTTATAAATGTATACATACATTTATGCTAACGTGACTTACATGGTTAGCTACCAGCGTTTTTAGTTATACATGGGAATGCTTTTCTTACACACTTCAGTAACAGAGCTCGGATAACTGGATGGTATAGAAAAGTCTAAATAATGAATAGAGTGGCACCCAAGTTCTTTGAGCAGAACAGTCTTCCATTCATGCAATCTGCTCCATAGGATTGGAGGACCTTCCTAAACAGATCTGGGAGCAGAAGCTGTACCTATGAGGCACCACTCACAGGTACAATTTTTTTATAGAGAATCAGGTATTTTCTTTCAAGCCTTCCAGATATTTGCTCATCTTCACCTCCCCAGCATTCAATATATTGGTATCAAAAAAAGAAAGAAAGAGAACATAAGTAGTAACAGAAACCCCTTGCTGATTTAACTACTATTCTCTTTTAGTTGGAAGATGGGGAAGAAAAGCCGAGTGAAAACTCAGAAGTCAGGCACTGGAGCCACGGCAGCAGTCTCTCCTAAAGAAATGTTGAATCTAATTAGTGAATTATTACAAAGTAAGTATGTTGTACTGCAGTTGTGGCGAAGGGGATGATCTCTATAAGTTCATGTGGGAAGTAGGCAGAGCTGAATTTGTTTCTATTCAGTATTTAAATTAGGAAAGGAAAGTCTATACAGGCTCTAGCCCCTCTATTCCTGTAAAATATATTAGAGGTTCATGGCTTCAATGAACATATGCTTTTAGTATTGGAGTTCAAATGGAAGTTATGAAATTGAACATATAAATCAATTTATAATACTCTCTTGATGTTAAGGAGAGGAGAAAAGTTAAATTTCAGTGAGCAATAATTTTTTGTTTTTTTATCTTTCCAGAATGTAGCAGTCCAACTCCAGGTCCTGGAAAGGAGTGGGAAGAGTATCAACAGATCCGAGCTCTTGTTGAGAGAATCCGTAAAAAACAGAAAGGTAAACAAGAAATTGCTAATTGCTTGTGGTCAGAAGTAATTTTGGCACTGCGTTTTGCTGCCTTCTGTCTTTTAAAAAGACTCTAATTAAATTCCAAGCACACTCTGAGTCACAAATATTTCTTATTTTAGTATTCTCAAAAAGACTGAGCTTTCATTCCTTTGCAAAAGTGTTGAACAGAGACTAGTCTGTATTGTAGAGTGGAGCAGAGCACCTGAGTGTTGAACTTTCAGGGACCACTTCAAGTATTATAAATGTTTAGTTGTGAAGCATGTTTGTTTAGTTGCTAAATGCTTTTTATTTGTAAGCATTCCCCTTATTTAAAACAAAATAGCTGGTCTTTCATCAGTCATTACATTCTTTGTGTGTGTGCTGACACCACAACTGCTATTTTTGCAGTGTCTGCAATGATAATTTGTATTGGATGATTCATTAGTCACATTTAACCTGGTAGGTTATGTTTGCGTAACATCTTAAAACAAGTGTTTACATTTGAAAAGAAATTTCCTGTTAAGATTATTGTTAATGCTTGAATAGATACCAAAAATTGGGCAGTCCCATTTGCAAGTGACCACTACAGGGAACTCATCACTTTGTTTCTAGAAACAATCCTTTTGTTTATGCTTTTTTCTTCCCCTTTATTTGTGGCATCACAGTAAAAATGTGAGTTTAATTATTGAAGTGCACATGTGGGCTGTATGTGCTTTTATTCTACATGGTAAAAAGAAAATCTGTCTTAGCCTGAGCTCCACATGCATATTAACTTTTTAAAATAAAAAAGGTAGAACAATCTAAAAGTGCTGCTGTAGACACTTCCTCGTTCACATTTATACAATAAAGTATTTTCCTCATGTTTTAAAACATTGCAGTACAGTAATGTTAAGAAACAGTTCGTTGACCTTGTTAGGAATGTTTAACATTTTATATCTCTAGCTACAGTAAATAATTCTGGCATTTCTAACTCTTCTCACTCTGATGGAATTCTACAGTTTTACCATTTCCCCTGTTTGCCCTAGCTTGTGAGGCTTATCCTATGCCTACTTGGAGAAAGATCTGTAGGTTCATAATGATGCCAAGGAGAACTTCATTAAAGTGAACCCTCCCTAAATATAAGGCAAATTAAGATAATGTAATCTGTGGTCAAGAAAAACAAAGGAATTGTGCCAAATAGCTTTTCATAAGCATGTGACTTGACTGGCAGGATATGTGGTGTTTTCGCTGAGGAATTTGGGAGTTGCTTGAGTTCACTTTTTATTGACACATTGTCTTTCACTCTGAGAATTAAAGCCTTGGTTGACCAAATTGAATTGAATTGATTGTACACCCGTACCTTGGAAGCTGAACAGCTTAGTTCCCGAACGTTTTGGCTCCCGAACGTCGCAAACCCAGAAGTGACTATTCCCGGCTTCTGCGGCTTCTGATTGGCTGCAGGAGCTTCTTGCAGCCAATCAGAAGCCGTCCTTTGGTTTGCGAACATTTTAAGTTGAACAGACTTCTGGAATGGATTCCGTTCAACTTCCAAGGTACAACTGTATTTTAAAAGCTGCTATGAATGCTTCCTAAACGTTTTTAACATCTGTGTTAATTAGTACTGGTGACTCATTGTGTTTTTCTCTGCTGCTAAATATGTACATAGGTTTGTCTGTCGTATTTGATGGGAAAAGAGAAGATTATTTCACTGAACTAATTAACTGGGCCAGAGAGAATGGTGCATCTACAGAGGGCTTTGAAGTGGCTAACTTTGGTGAAGAGGGTTTTGGTTTGAAAGCTACGAGAGAGATAAAAGTGAGTATAGGATGGCATTGGAAGGTACATTGGGGGCATTTAAAGGTCACTCAACCAGTCCCCAGTGTTTGAAATACTAAAAGACTAGATCTTTTGAAATTTACTACAGGTGTTGAGCTTGTCCAAATCATGGTCCTGATGCAGAGATCCTCATGTGGAATAGCAGGATCCTCTATCTTCCAGAAGACAGTGATGTTACAATACTGTATCTCGTCGATGTGCTAATATGTCCCTTGTGAAAGAAAATGTTAGGTATAAATGGTCTGTCTCCCCATCCTCCTCCAATTAGTGATGCAAACATTGCACAAGCACATATAGTGCAGAGGCATAATGGTCACAGAGTATAATAATAGTGGTTGCACCAGGTGTTGCCCAGCATCTTTCACAGGTGGAAGACTTGGACTTAGGTTGTGCACTGTGCCACTGTGCTTCCACTAGCAGTATGGCTGTTTTGCAGGCAGATTACCACAATTTGTTACCATCCTGTATGTTTATCAGATCTGTATGATATTGTGAACTTTCCTTGTGTTTTTCTAGGCAGAAGAGCTTTTTCTCTGGGTTCCCAGAAAATTGTTGATGACTGTTGAATCAGCGAAAAATTCAGTTTTGGGTAAGAGAAGATTTTGAATGCGTTTGCAGATGTGCAAAGGCTGTATTGATGGAAAGTTCTCCACTAGCAAAACGATGAAAATTGTCATTTATAATTGTCTAGTGGGCTTATTACAATGCTTGAACAATGTATCATATTTATTATTATTTATTGAACTGGGGTGTATGGGGAGGGGTAGTACCTCTGGTGGGGAACACTTCATGCTTCTTCTGGGGTACTTTGTCTACCTTTGGTCCCTATCGTGTACTCAGCTCTCACCTGTGGCTTCTAGAAGCTGGTGGCATGCAACAACGGCCACAGCCCGGGAACAGCTTTGACTGGCTGGCTAAACTATATGAGGGTAGCCGATGGGTCTCAAACCCTCAGTAAGTTTAGGTATTCCCTTGCATGCAAAGACGGGCTCTGGCAGATTGAGTGGATGATACCTATATTGAGTCCAACAGTCAAGAAGATGGCTCCTACACGTGAGAGGCAAATGGGTCTCGTCAACCTAGGAAGGTAGCCCATCTAGCAGAAAGAAAACTCTGGTCCTAAACCTCTGCTGCCTTGTGGGATATCGTCAGGAGAAGAGAGGGCTAAGGAGTAAACCCTAAACAAATATGGAGTGGAGTCCCTAAGATGGTTGGATGGCACCTTGTACGCCTCCTTCTGACAAACTCCTGCTTCCAAGCTGGTGCCAAATGTATTGCTCTGCTTTCTTTTCTCAGCAAGGCCAAGAGGGGTGTCTTGTTATCTGGGCAGCCCAGGACCTGCATACACACTGCCCAGGCTTGCGCTCCAGGGAGGTCACTGCAGTGCTGCTAACACAGCGCGGTTTGGTTTCACCTCTGTTGTCTCTTGAGACAGATGGATGCCAACTAATTTATTGAAATTACCATTTTTAGATCAGTTTAAAGGTTACAGGAAAGTTGCAGAAAGTCTATAATAGGAAGTAAACAAAATTCATGTTATTGCAAGACGTACTTATTTTGTTAAAGTTTTCTTTCTTACAAAAATCATTTAATATGCACTTAGAAATCCTGTTAGGGGGACTAAAATTTCTTTATGGGTTCTTTTCATTTTTAGGATCCTTGTATTCTCAAGACCGAATTCTCCAAGCCATGGGCAACATCACGCTAGCATTCCACCTTCTTTGTGAACGCTGCAATCCTAGTTCTTTCTGGCTGCCTTACATCCAAACTCTCCCAAGTGAATACAATACTCCTCTTTACTTTGAAGAAGATGAGGTTCAATATCTTCAGTCAACTCAGGCCATACATGACGTTTTCAGCCAATATAAAAATACTGCTCGACAGTATGCCTATTTCTACAAAGTTATTCAGGTAAGAGCCTGGAACAGACACTGCATTATATGAGGACCATAGCAAAGTAGAACTCTGACATTTTTAAAAGGCTTGTTAAGTGGCCTAAAGTTCTAAGTACCACAGTACCAATGCTAACCTGATTACTTTTTTACCATTGCTTATACTAGCAGAATGCTGTTGCCATGATAGTTGTTGTGTGTGGAGGTGGTGGTTATATATGGAAGGACTTCTGATAGAAGCGCAGTACATCGTCTTGTTGAGTGCACACATGCGACATACATTTTGGGATAGCTATCTAGTGTTATTGGAAGAGGGTAGATTTTGCCGCCATCAGTCAGCAGTGTCCCAATTGCACCATTTTATTTTCTCTATAGTGGAGACCTGATTAATACTACTTTTTGCCCCTGGTGTGCCTAGCCTTTAGATGTCTGCATAAACCTATTCTGGGTTGTTGTGATGGAATTTTGAGAATCACTCAAAATATGCTATATCTGTTTCCTGCAGAAGATACTTTGTAGTGAATGGGAAGGGCTTCATTTTCCTTTGTTCACATATGCAAAATGATCTGAAAATGATTGTGATCATCTGGCATACACTTGTGAAATTTTGTGTTCATTTTTAGTGAAAAATCTTTAGCCTGTAAGGTGCTGATATACTTCAGATGATATAGAATGTATTGGCAATAATTCAGTTGTTTGCAGAGCTCATTCATTCTCGTGTATGACTCTTCGTTTGTAGCCTTCACCCTGCTCCCCGCCCCCCGAATATATACCTAACATATATCTTTCCTCTTAAGGAAGTACTGTAGCTCAGTGGTAGAGCACATGAATTCACATGCAAAAGATCCCAAGTTCAATCCTGGGCATCTCCAGCTGGATCTGGGCAGGACTGTGTGAATTCTGAAGAGCCACTAGCTATCACTATAGACAATATTGAGCTCTATGAAACAGTGATCTGGCTCTGTGTAAGGCAGCTTTCAATGTTCCTCTCTTTATTTTACTGTTCTTTTATGAAGAGTATGCTCATGCTTATGATCTTAAAAGTGCTTTACTTCAGTAGTAAAATACTTCACTTGTGTATCTCCTGTCCTGTCATCTTAGTAAACTGAGTTAGCTGTTTAGAATTGAGTAAATTTTCTGCTGGAGTAAACTATGGCCTTTTAAAACCATGATAAAAAGGTAACAAAACCCAGACACCATATAATTTTACTTCATGCAGTCTAAACACAACCAGTATCTCACTATCTAGATTTTTATCACCCCTGTAGCTCTCTTCTGTATCTTTTTTTCAGGGTAACCAAATTCGTAATGAACTGTGGAGTCCCATTTTTATACAAACTGTACCAGATAATATCTTCAAAGTACTAAGTAGTGTTGTTGCTTCTTAACTCTTTGAAGTGGCTGGGGTTCAAAGAGGGTACATGAATGAGCAGGAAAGAACTATAGGCTCAGTCTCAGAGCTTTGCTCACTTTCTCTCTTTTTTGCTGTAGTTGCTTTTTCGCTCTGTAGAAGAGGCAGACAATCACTTAGTTTTAGGGACATGGAAACAGCTACACCATAGAGTAAGCAACCCTTTGGCTGCAGGTAAAGTTCTCTCCTGTGTGTTCACGTGTTGACTTTCATTCCTGACCATCGTTCCTATAGTCATAATCCTATTTCAGAACCTACACCTCAGTATTCACACTGATGTGTAGATCATTGATTCCGAAACTGTGGTCCATGAATTTCATTTGAGTGGTCTGCAGTATACCCGCATTAAATATTCATCTTGTATTTTTATTGCTTCTATATTTCTATTTTATTTTATTGTATTGCATTTTAATTTGCAAATTTTAATTAAAAAAAATAAGAAATAAAGGAAGCAATAAAAATACAGTTAAAAATCATTCATCTAGTATAGGACATTACAGTTGCTACAACAGGCAGAAAAATCATTGAGTTGTCTACCAAGATAATCAACAGTTTTTAAGTAGCCTGTAGAGTGGGAAGTTTGGGAACTACTGGGTAGGTAATCTAGATAGAAAAGCAGCTTTGTAGTGGCCTACCTGCCAGCTCCCTGGGCAAAAGTATCACAGCTACTGCTGTGAAACCATTGCATCAGGAGCTCATCTGGGGCTGAGTGCCTCTGCACAGTAGTACTATTGATCCATAGCTCCTTCTTCCTTGACAGCTCTGTAGAGCTGACAAGCTAGTGGACTCTTTTGAGGAGGCAGGTTTGTGGGGGAGGAGAGAACATTTTCAGTTCTGAAAATGGCATTTGTTTCTTGTAACACAGCATCGCCTGTTCTCAATCTGTATACATTTTCCTTATGAGTGTTTCTTTCTTGGACCTATGTCTTACCCTTGTCACACATAGCATTTCATAGCCACAGATGTAATGTAGCTGCCTCTGAGTAATCAAGGCATTATATTGTTAACACTATTGAAAAAGTGTCATTCAGGTAAAGTGTACTGGCAGAACATCTTCTCAGACATCATTTTGTGGCTCCTTAAAAATCAGGCAAAGATTTCTTAGGTAGTTATTCAGCCTTCATCAATCCTTTATTGCACAGAAATGTTTCCAATATACAGATGGGTTTACCATGCAGCAGCGTGTTTCAGCCATCAATGTTTAATGGAACAAAATCTCTGCTGAAACATAATCTACTTCCTGCCTGTCTTTATTGAATTGTAATATCTATTTACAATTATTTAGACTGTTTTTTTAATATTTTAAAATTAAAGTTTTGTACTTAATGTTGTCATAAAAGCCACTTCGAAAGGTAGGCTAGACAAAATAGTCCCAGTTTGCCTTTAAAGCTATGTGAGTGGTTTTGTTTTGTTTTTTACAGAGGATATGAAAAATATCAACACTAGGTTTCCATAGTACTGAGTATATCCATTATTTTATTTCAAGAGCCATGTTTATACAAAAACTGTCTTTGTTTCTTTGCTTCAGGAGTCTAGGTTGTTCTAAAGTTGTAATAGTACTACTAGGTGGTATTTATAATTTGGGGAGTTCAAACCATGTCTGGACAATTCTTAAAAGGTTAAAAAGGTAAAGGAATCCTGGACAGTTAAGTCCAGTCAAAGGTGACTATGGGGTTGCGGCGCTCATCTCACTTTCAGGCCAAGGGAGGCAGTGTTTGTCCACAGACAGCTTTCTGGGTCATGTGACCAGCATGACTAAACTGCTTTTGATGCAACGGAACACCATGACGGAAACCAGAGCGCACAGAAATGCCTTTTACCTTCCCGCCACAGCAGTACCTATTTATCTACTTGCACTGGCATGCTTTCAAACTGCTAGGTTGGCAGGAGCTGGGACAGAGCAATGGGACCTGACCCTGTCACGGGGATTCGAACCACCGACCTTCTGATCAGCAGGCCCAAGAGGCTCAGTGGTTTAGACTACAGCGCCACCCGCGTCCCTATGGACAATTCTTATATTATTGTATAAAGGGTTAGATTTAGATTTCTTCCATTGGGAACAGAAGGTACTATATTAATGAGATGCAAATGTCACAGATAAGCTCCAGCATTATTATTTTTTTAAACTGGCAACGCCAGGCATCTAACACTGCTTTAACTGATAGGCTAACCAATCTTCATGCCTGCCATATGTTACCCTAGTGCAAAGTTAGTAAAGTTTACCACTAAATGGCATGATAGCTAGTTTATAATTTACATGTACTACTGACATTCAAGAGGACAGAGGTGTAATCATCATCTTGCCAGAATTTCTAAGTGAGAGATGTACTTGGGAGGAATAATGGGGTGTCTGTATGTTCTTTAAGAGGGATCTGTTAAAATGCATATTGCCCTAACGTCATGTGGTTCAACTCTTCTTATGCTCATGCTCTTATGGCCTACCTGCTGTTGCATCGTTTAAAAAAACAAGCCCAATCTACTAACCTCTTACCCATATGAGATTCAGTCATATATCAGTCCCTATAATAGTGAACTCAGGTGGTGTGTGCTGACAGAGATGGGGCCACTGAGAAACAATAAAGAAGTATCAGCAGAGTCTGAAGAATGCTGAGATTTGTTGAAATGCTAACAATATTTTTATAGCCTAAGGGAGCGAAAGAACGAAACACAAACAGTCCAGTGATGACAGAGCATTCTGGAAAGGAAAGACATTAAAGCAGGGATGGGTAGAGATGGTCTGCTGGAAGAGAGCATGGCCAACTGGCTGGAGCTCTAAACAAGAACATTTTGTGGCAGCTAAGAGATAGAGCTACTAATCAGGAAGTCCGTGATTTGAATCTGATCTCTGTCATTAGCTCACTAGTTGATCTTAGGTAAGCCATTCTTTCCCACCTCTCCCGCCCCACCCCCCCAAAAGCCCCAAGCCACCTGTAGATGGGGAATAATAGTGATTTATCTTACAGGGCCGTTGTAAGGATTGCAATTAGATATGCACATGAAGCATTTCAAACACCTGAAAGGGTTTTACAGATTTCGAGCATTGTTGTCGCTGTCTAATGAATTGTGCCATATCTCGTTGGAAATCCAAGGGGTTGTATGAGAGGCAACTAGAACTACTTTAAAAAATGCATCCTTCCCATCAGCTAGCAAATAAATACATGGTATCTTATCTCCTCCTGTTCTCACAAAGACCCTGTGATAATGACTGGCATAGATTTTAAAAAAAGAAAAACTAAAAATGCAGAATCAAGCATAGGACAAAATCATCACAGAAAACAGGTATGAAATCAGTGGCATAGTTGAGTTTCAAGGCTGACCTGAGTCCAAGTTCAGCACTCTTTCCTGCACCACGGTGGCTTTTTGTAAAGTAAAGTGGTGGCATTTTGATGTATTCTTTTGAGATGTGTTATGTTCGTTTGGTAGCCAGTAATCACTTCTTCATGAGAGCAGAGGGGAGGTTTAGAAGAGGGCAGTTTTCAGCTAAGCTCTACCTTTCTCTACGTAGTCTGGATGTTCATGAAGATGGCAGAGACTTCTTCCTTTTACAGTTGCTCCCAGCTGAATATTAGTCTGGTTTGACAACTAAACACAGGTGCAACACTGGCCTGCCAGAAATAGCCCAAAGGACTGCACTGACACCATTGAAATGTATGCAATTTGATACTTAAAATGTGAACGAAGGCAGGTGACTGGATCTCTTAAGATTGCATTTCAAGAAAGAGAAAGGGTTTGGGGCTTAGATGTTCAAGTTACTTCAGGAGGGGTTTTCAGTTTGTTCTAATATGTCCATTTACTTGCCCCCCCCCCCCAATTTGCGTGTGTTACTACCATTAGCATGTTATGGGCACTGAATGTGCACAGCGGAGTGAACAGAATCTGTTATGTTTATTGCATAATGCTGGATTCTCTATGCACTGAAATGTGGTGTAATAAGCACAAGAGGGAGCCATATAGTTTTACATTCAGAGTAAGATTCCTTGTTCCTTGAAGATCTATAATTTAGTTTGCCTTTGTAAATGAATATGCAGTGGTTTTCTGTTTTAACTTTTTCCCCAGCTTCACAAGGGGCATGGTTGCAGCCTTCTGTCAAGGGGAATTGGTCCATAGATTATTGCAGAGCAGTGCTCTTTAGCTCATAAAACATAGGCAGCAGTACTTTCCCAGCTGAACCCCCTTTTCTGCCAGATTGGGAAATGAGAGAGGGAGAAAAAAGTGAATGATGAAAGCTTTTCATTCACCTTCTTAGTAACAAAAACATTTCAACGTAAGTATTGCTTTCAAAACTGTATTATGTCTCTACTGCCAAAATAACACCCCTAGAAAACTAACATTCCTCAGTCTTCAGTATAATTTGAATTGCTTCCGGGGGGAAAGAGCCACAAAAGGGTTAGGAAATTTGTCAGGGGCGTTAACTATTCTTTAATTTCTCCATATTGATCATTTCACAACAGCTTTCCAGTGTTTCAAAGCTACTTTTCTAAAAGTTCTACGGACAGGGAAAGGTGAAACCATCATACAGTTAACACATCTGCCTGTTGTCTATTGCTTTTGCACAGTTAAGGACCAGGAGTGTATTTGCCTATATTCATCCCTACAGGCAAAGTGCTACAGTGGCAAGGCCAGAATGCAGTCCAGACAGCTGCTTCCTCCTCGATCTGCATGCCAGAGGAGAGGTACACACTCCTGAGTGCAGTTGCCAAGTCAGCAAAAGGATCCCCCTGAGATGCTCTCTTTACAGAGAGGCCTTTTTACAGTAGAAAATATGTAGCAAGGTATATTGGCTCAGATACTTTCTTATGGACTGGTGGCGGTGCAACATGTATTAGAGAATCAGTGGGGCACAGCAATCTCTGGATATAAACTATACAGGAAGGACATACTGGAGGTGGTGTTGCTCTGGAAGTTAAATAGGGCATTGACTCCAGGAAGCTAGAAATCCCCAAAGGGACAGAATCATTGTGGGTGATGATTTCTGGTCCCGGTAGAATTTTAGTAAGTACTGGGGAAACACTATCGTTCCCTGATGAAAATGTTTGGGAAGATCTAGAGAAGAAGAATGAAATCAAGCAAGCACCCAGAAGAGGAAATGTTGTAATTTAATTAATTAATTAATTAATTAATGTGTAACTTACACTCTAGAGGGCAAGGGACGCGGGTGGCGCTGTGGGTTAAACCACAGAGCCTAAGACTTGCCGATCAGAAGGTCGGCGGTTCGAATCCCTGCGATGGGGTGAGCTCCCATTGCTCGGTCCCAGCTCCTGCCAACCTAGCAGTTCAAAAGCACGTCAAAGTGCAAGTAGATAAATAGGTACCGCTTCAGCGGGAAGGTAAACGGCGCTTCCGTGCACTGCTCTGGTTCGCCAGAAGCGGCTTAGTCATGCTGGCCACATGACCCGGAAGCTGTACGCCGACTCCCTCGGCCAATAAAGCGAGATGAGCGCCGCAACCCCAGAGTCGGTCACGACTGGACCTAATAGTCAGGGGTCCCTTTACCTTTACACTCTAGAGGTATCACATTATATAGTCCCTATATCAGGTGATTTACAAATGGGGGAAAAACACTCATAAAGGGACTCCACAATTTAGCAGAAAGGCATAGATAGAGGAAAAAGAGTTCATAATGCCTGCAGAAGAGATTAGTAATTAAAGGGGGGAGGGGTTGACCAGAGGGGTGGGGATGAAGTTGGTTTGAATATAGACAAAGAAGTAGCAAGGTAATTCCAAAGATAAGGATCAATAACAATGTAGTTTTAGAAAAGAGGCATGTATCAAAAGAATGAAGAGATTAAATATAAAGTGAGGCAAGTGATTAAAAGTTGAATTTTAAAGTATGAAATTAAGTGGAATCCAGTGAAGTTGACAAACCCAAAGCAGGGACATTGTGGAAGTGATGAAAACAGAAAATGGGACTTGATTCAGCATTCGTAAGAGAACCAAGATGTAGATTAAGGAAGGCCGGTGAGAAGAACATAATCAAGATGAGAAATAATAACAGATTGAAAAGTGTTTTAGTAGTGCTATATGGAAGAAAGGAATTAATCTTAGAAATATTGAGGTCATGAAAAAAGATCTGGCAAGGTCACAGATATGGGAGGAAAAGGATAAAGTGGAATCAAAAGCAATACCTAGATTATAAGTGTTATAGAAGAATAGCAATACTAGTTAAGAGGGGGAGAACAATGCAAAGAAAAGATTTGGCAAGACCAAATTCTTAAGATTTAGTTTGAAAAGACAAAATTGTAATTGTTGACATAGAAAAGATAGGAGAGATCATAAAGAATGTGATGAGTTGGGGCTTCAATACAGAACCCTGCAAGAGACTAACAAAATGAGGGGAAATTTGTGAGAAGGAGCCATTATAAGACATTTTGAAATAATAATTAGACGAATATTGAGAGAACCAAGTGAGGGCAGAAACTCTGTTTGGAGAAGAATGGAATTATTATCAAGGGCTGACGACACACAGGCCCTGCTTTCCGAACACAATGCGTTCCCAGGAAATTGTTCGTTATGCGAGTGTTTGCACAATGAGCTGATGATTTCCATTATTTCCTATGGGAACATTTCTAATCCATGATTTGTCTGATCCCTCTCCCTCCCTCCATTCTTTCTGCCTGAAACAGCTGGTTTCAACCAGCACAACACAAGTAAGGAAGTGGGCAACCTTCTGATATTTGAATCAGCCATTTGTGTAGCAAGGTTGGGTTATAATTCTTTGTGTTTGGATAACTGAGATTTTGAATAACAAATGTTCCAATAGTGGGATCTGCATGTACCATCCGCAGTATAGAACTAGCATAATCTATATTGCAAGGTGAGGATCCCTGCTAAGCAGCCTGAAGCAACACAGCAGAGTATGTCCCTTTGCCACACTGTCACCCAGGATTTGGATACTAATATTTTCAAGATAAATAGAAACCAATTCACTAAGTCCCTTTTCTGTAACAGTGGGAAAATTGGGAGGCTGAGTGAGAACTTCCCATTTTGAAAATCATAAACTTCTCATTTGGGAAACAGTTATCTTCTGTATTTTAGACCCTGTTTGCCAACATAACTACTTTTAATTTATTTCTGCTTCTCTGAATGGCTTACGATCCCATTAAAATAGTCTCCCCAAACACTTTGTCTGAAAACGCTGTGCTTCAAAACCATATATGCCAATATTAGATGAAATTGTTTCTGCACATTTTTAAGCCGCACTTGGGAGAAATATTATGTTGGCTAGAAAATACAGAGGTCTATGGAGACTCTTGCTTTAGAAGATGAGGTTTCTAACCCCTCTCCTGTCCACAAATTCAGAAGAGCAGTTGATTCTGCAGCTATAATAGTACAACCGCTTATTTTCCTCATATCAAGTTGCACTTCCACAGAGCAACTGCCTCCATCCCCAGGGATGTTATCTGTGTTTTGGGACTCCATGCCTCAACAGTTAATCATACTTTTTCACTGATACATAGGCCTTATTGTTAGGATTTAATACTTTTTTTTCTTGATGTAACTGCAGTTATGAATGTTCAATAAAATCAAAGCACAGTAGAAAGCTGGTGTATCTAGAGTGAAATACTCAAAGGAGATATATATTCTAAGCACTGTTAAACTATTTAAGGGACTTATCTTGGTGGAAATTAGTAATTTAACTAAATTAGAAAATGGATTATCTTATACACTCTTAGAGTCTTGTGATACGTCTCAGTGTAGGAGGCTGGAATGTTTCTGAAGTGAAACTTATAAAATGCTTCTTTCTGTGTTCGCTGTGATAAAACTTAAGCATAATTGCTTCCCTCTATTCACATCTCTGAGTGCTGTCCAATGATTGCATCACTAGCCAAAGTAATCCTAAGTCATTTGAAAGTCCTAACATACTGCTCTCTTGTACGCACTGCTCTTACCATGTAGAAAGGGTTCTGCTAACCACCATTATATCAGGTAATTTCAGTGGACTGGTGAAAATAGCTTTTGTTTAGAACACCAAGAGTTTTTGTGTTTTCACTAAGCTTTCAGTGAAAATACTACCTAGAGATTTTTAAAATATTAAGTGGTTTATAAATGCAAACAAACAAACAAATAGGTGCTAAATAAGACTCTGATTGGCATACTGACTCGTAGTACCTAAAAATTACGGAACAGTCTGGCCATTAAAATGAATGTTACATTGTAAAGGTTATGGGTATTGAATTATTGATTATATGATTATACCGAATACTATATTAAATGCCAATTTATAAGCCTTCATAGAATCAGATTTGCAGAGACCCCTAGGGTCACCAAGTCCAGCTCCCTGCAATGCAGGAATCACAAGTAACAAATCCCAGACAGATGGCCATACAACCTCTGCTTAAAAACCTCCAGTGAAGGAAAGGCCACCACCTTCCAAGGTAGTTCAGAGTTTTTTGTTATTATTAATCACCCATCCTTCACCCTAAGGTCCCAGGGCTTAAAACAATTTAAAATACAACATTGAGAACAGTTTTAAAACTTACAAAAAGCACAATTTATGTAAGAACATAAGAGCCCAGCATCCTGTTTGACACAATAGTCAACCAACAGCTTCCTTTGGGAAGTCCCCCAGCAACTGGTATTCAGCAACATGGTGCCCCTAGTCCTGGAAGTGGTACTATATACATCATGTGCTATACATGAGCGCAAGTTCCATTGATGTTTGCTTCAAGTAAATATGCATAGAGACAGACCATTAGTAACTTTAATTCACCACATTATTAAATGGAAAATATTTAAATCTGTGCTTGATTCTAATTAATTGTAATTAGTGGGACTTTAAAATTCATAACACTGCAATCCTAAGCATATTTACTCAGAATGTCCCAGTGTATTCAATGAGTTTATCCTAGGTTAGTGTTTATTCTAAGGCACAATCTTTTTCATTGTTTCATAGGCCAGCTGGAAGGTGACATGGGTATAGTAAATAAATTTGGGATATTACAATGTGTATACCCATCTCTCTCTCTCTCTCCACCCCACAATACCTTTGGTTTAATGGGTGCTGGTCCTTCCATATGATTGATCTAGTTTGCCCTAGAAAGCTGTGTGGGTTTCCTAAGGGTACATCTTTTGAGTGTGCCTTTCTGCATAATGCAAGCTGACAAGAATTACTGTTGGAAGAGAAGAACTATGAAAAATTCTACTCAAAAGACATTGAGTTACTTGCAGAGTATGTGCTAGTAGAACACTGGAAAGTTGGTTGATGCACATTTAATTATAGGCTCTTATTGACTAGTGGCACAGTTTTAGCTCAGCTTTTGTTGGTATTTAATTTTTAATAATAATTAATTGTAACAATACTTTAAATTTATTTATTTATTTATTTACACACACACACACACACACACACACATATATATCGTTTGATTGTAGAAAAAAACCTCTAGTACTAATTTATTGTCAGTTATCCTTCTACTTTGCCCTCACTGGCCAGAAATTGGATAATGTATTTTCCCTTACAGTTCCTTTCACTGAAAGGGTGGCAGTCTTGAATTTTTTAAAAAAATAAGAATTAGGAAAGAGGCTTGGAATATCCCTAAGGTGATACTTCTCTTAGACTTAAAAAGTCATAAAGATGGTTGCAGTCAGTTAGAAGGCACAGCAAGGAACTATTGCTGTGTAGCCTCCCAGCTGTTTCAGCACTGATTCTCTGGGGCAGAGAAGCACTTGACTAACCCATCCATAGCTAAACAGTGTTGGGGTGTGTCGAGCATTATTTATGCAGACTCTTATTCAATGTGGCCTCATTTCAAAATAAGTTGTGAAATGCCCTATTTTGAAATTTGGTATTAATTTAATGTCGTTCAAAACTCAGATGGCAGAATTCTTTCCTCTGTATGTTCCCAGATTGCTAATACTAGGGAGACTAAAAGTTTGAATAAATTTTTCATTATCAATGTTTCTTTGAAGGTTCAGCTAACATTTTTTGCTATTTATATTGTGCATAAAGTTACAATATGGCGTGCTTCTAAGTATCATGAATGATTTAGTTTACCTTGTGACATATCACTTAAGCTCTGTTCCAACTTAATGCCAAGCCATGACTTGGTGTTCAGAAAAATCTTTGCTTGTTCATTTGCCCCTTCTTCCTCATTTTACACAAGTTCTTTTTCCCACTTCCTGAGTTTTGCTAACAGTAGTTTGCTGCTGCGATATTTCAATAAGCAAACTGTGGTTAGTGCTTTGCTTCTAAATTTAAATTTGCAAGCTGGGTTTTGGAAGTAAGGCACTAAATTTAGCTTCCCAGTTTAGTAGTCAGTAATAAAGTGATAATAGTATTTAGGTCTAGTAATGCATAGAAAGGTGCCTTCTGATCAATATTGTTTTGATTATATGTTGGAACTATTTCGTATATTTGCAAAAATTATATTGTTACTCTTGATTATTTTGCTACTGATTCTAACTGCAATTGAGAATATTTGGTTTCCTCCTGCATTTTATTCTACATCCATTCTTTAATAGATGGTGTGTAAACCAATCTACATATTTTGGAAAAAAGTATTATTGCTGACATATTGATCTTTTGTATCTGAATTGGAGTAATATACCCACCTAGTCATGATATTAAAACAGTCCACCCTTTTTACTGTATTTATGGAGAATCTATATGCCATTTGCAAAATGTTTTCCCAGATATCCAGTAGTATATTTTTGCCGATTATGGGGGCCCATTTTTTTTCATGTAATCTCTTATTTGTTCATATTCTGTTAGCGTATTTGTTAAGCAGCTGATATTATTTATTAACTTCTGTAGTTTTCATGATAAGGTGTTTGAATTCAGTCATATCTCATTATTTGCAAACATAATTTCAGTTATCCTAGTACACATTACTTAATTTGAAAGCACTCAAACCAGGTGAGTTTCTTTTTGATATGGCTATTACCTAATCAGGGGAACAGCTGATTTAATCAGCTGAGTTTTAGTTGATTGGTTAAAGCTGCATAGGAATAAAATAGTTTAAAGTGGATGTACATATGTGTTGTATCAGTTTAGAAGAGGCATTCTGCTTCCACGTGAAAGAAGAGTGGGAATGCCTCTAATAAAAGGAGTGATGATGCCTCTTCTAAGATACCTCTTCTTGCCACTTGATGTATTGTACTCATATTGAAACAGTTACTTCATCAACCAGTGTACCTTATTAATCAAATGTTGCAGATCTGCTTTTTCTATTATTTATTTGTTTAACAGGACTTGCAGTTACAGCAACTTTAGAGAGAAGAGGTTCTCTTAGAGCTGTTTGCTTCAAAGGTTTTTCGTGGCTGACAGAGCAATAGCGGCCAGAAAGTGCTGATAGATTTTACTGCAGCAAGCCTTATGCACATGCATGGCACATGCTTGTTTTTTTTCTGCACACTTTACACGTTGGCCTGAAATCATCATGTAGCATCCAGTCTGATTGTTAATGAGATCTCTCCTCCCCCTCCTGCCTATTAATAGGACGGGGCTGAGGAAAAGAGATCTCATTAGGATAAAGGGGAGACCACTGAGAATGAGGCAGCAAAGCATTGTGCTTGGTCAAAAGGGGGAAAAAAGCCTTGAGCTCTGTGTTCAAAGACATGCAACTTAACAAGGTGAAAATCTTAAGCCTCTAAGTACCTTAAAGTCCCCTTGCTTTTTTGCCACAAAGGTCTTAACTATAACCCACATTGAGATGATACAAAGAAAATAACCTCATCTTGGTGCCGTTCAGGGATTCCTTGTGGCCGTTGGAAAGATGAGAATTACCGTATTTTTCGCTCGATAACACGCACCCGACCATAACATGCATGTAGTTTTTAGAGGAGGAAAACAAGAAAAAAAATATTCTAAACGAAACAGTGGATGTATGATTTTTGTGGTTCATGCTGTGGCCACAGACATGTGATCTGACGGTGAGTTTGGGGTAGCCCAGTGCAAAAACCCTGAGGATCCATGTGGATCCATGTTTGTAACCACGTTTTTGCACCACTGCAGCCCCAGGCAACAGTGGGTGCGTGATTTTTTTGGTACAAACTGTAGCTATGGACATGCTATGTGATCTGATGGTGAATTTGGGGTGACCCAGTGCAAAAATCCTGAGGATCCATGTGGATCTGTGCTTTGTAACCACGTTTTAAGTGGGGAGGGAAGGAAAAGCACTCATGGGACATACAGTTAACATTAACTGGTCAGTGAACTCAGATGCATGTGTGCGCTATTAATACAGGAATGAACTCAATCCAGATTCTGCAGTGCCATTACTCGCTGCAGGAAAACAGTTGAAGGTAGTTTTCTGATTGCTCATGCAATGCATTAAACAGCAATGCAAGTGGCAGCTGATATTTAAATACAGGCACATTTCAGTGTTGCTCTTGTTTTCTCCTTCCTTCTCTTTTTGTTTTTCTCTGCGCTAATCTATTTGTAAAATTGGAATAATTAAGAGCAAGGCTTCCATTGACAGGAGAAGAGGTGATAATATATTTTCCAAGGTGGCATGTGAACTCTTCACTATGTCAGTTATGGAATTGCCTAGCTATGTGTTAAAGTGTTAGTTATAATCTGGATAAATTATTAAGCAAATGGAGCTGACCATGATCCTAGTGATTGAAGCAGACATACATAGGGTTGTACTGCATGCCATGGTCTCGTGATTCACCATCTATTAGAATTAAATTTCCCATCTCCAAACCTTTCCTTGTTTACAAATGTCCATGTAAATAGTCTTATTACTAGTCCAATAAAACGGCAGCGTGTGCTTTTCAATTAAGCATTTGTCCTAATGTTCCCATTTGCATTTTTTTAGAAGTCTGCTGCATATTCAGAGTTGACTAAAATAAAGTGAATGTAATACTGTTTCTAAAGCTAAGGAAGCATGAACTTAAAAGATCTGATTTTTGCCATTTATCAACTGGTTGCTTCATTTGAATAAGTGTCTATCTCTTTTTGATCAACCTGAAAAATTTGCATGCTCTGCAGCAGCCATATTCTATACTTTATTAAATATCTGTCAATTATAAATATCAAGGTTTTACATTAATGTCAAGATAGTACATCAAAAATTCATGGAATATGTGACTTTTTCCAAGGGTATTTAATACTTAATGCATTTGTGTCATTTTTCTTTCTAGATATATTGACAGGTTTTATTAAGTGTTTGTTAGGGAGATTTCATTTTTACCGAGGGACTGTAAAGAGAAGCTGCATGCTAAATCGATTTTTTAATCAGAGTATTCTTCTCTTGGTCACTTCAGCAGAGATACGCCAACATACTTTAAAACTCTGGAAAGCATTCTCAGAAATTCAGCAATTAATTTCTTTATAACACAATTCTCGAAACACGTATATTTTGCTGCGAAACAGTAATCATTTTGTATTATAATTCAGTATTGTTTCTTGTGCTCCATTAAGAGTAGAGCTTGATTTCTGGAGCTGTACAAATAAGGAAATTTCCTTTGAAAAAAGTATCTTAAAAGGTACAGATGGCTTTCAAAAACATTGTATAAAGCTGTTGACTTTTATTTTCCCTGATCATTTTTAGTTTTTGCCATTTAACACATTATTAAACACCAATTGTGTTAGATACGGAATGTGTCCACTTTCAGTGCTATTTTAGTATCGGCAACACAACCAGGATAAAACTGGAACTATAAATGTGCATCCACAGATTGAGAAATCCTATGTTTTCCTCCTTGAAATAATACCTTTATGGGCAAAGCATACACATCAAAATGCATAATCAAGTTTGCATTCTGTTGCAACTTTCTTCTATGGGCAGCGTTTAATGAATTTGTATGGTTTGGGGCAGGAAATGAGAAAATACTGAGAAGGAGCTGGAATTAGGTTAGTAACCAAGGGATGACAAACATAGCATTTACACATGGGCCATATAGTCCCATAGGGCAGGGGCAACTGAAATGATGCTCTCCAGATTTTGGACTACAACTCACTTCAGCCCCAGTCATGACCAGCATTGAGGTATGATGGGAGTTGTAGTCCACATCATCTGAAGGGCACTCTTGACACAGAGTGGATGAAGAAGAAGAAGAAGAAGAAGAAGAAGAAGAAGAAGAAGAAGAAGAGTTTGGATTTGATATCCCGCCTTTCACTCCCTTTAAGGAGTCTCAAAGCGGCTAACATTCTCCTTTCCCTTCCTCCCCCACAACAAACACTCTGTGAGGTGAGTGGGGCTGAGAGACTTCAAAGAAGTATGACTGGCCCAAGGTCACCCAGCAGCTGCATGTGGAGGAGCGGGGAAACAAACCCGGTTCACCAGATTACGAGACTACCGCTCTTAACCACTACGCCACACTGGATGTGTAGATTGCATGTTTTTAATGAAAGTGTACTGTTAAGATTATGTCCCTGACCAGAATACCTTAGGAAATGCCCATTTGCATAGCCTGAGGTGGTAATAGGCAAGTTTCTATGTATTGAGGCTCTACTCTAGGCTTCCTCTGTTCATGAACCCGCTAGCATGTGAAGCAGAGCCCTTTTAGTGGTGATTTTCCAGAGGCAGTGGTCTGCTCCTTTTTTCGTTAGGTTAAATTGGTCTGTTCAGTACAAGGCTTTTAAGTGACTTTATGGATACAGTCATACCTCAGGAGTCAAATGCCTTGTGAGTCGAACGTTTTGGCTTCCAAATGCCACAAACCCAGAAGTGAGTGTTCCGGTTTGCAAACGTTCTTTGGAACCCGAACGTCCGACACGGCTTCTGCAGCTTCCGATTGGCTGCAGGACCTTCCTTGGTTTCCAAAGGTTTTGGAAGTCGAACGGACTTCCGGAACATATTCCGTTTGACTTCCAAGGTATGACTATATATTTGAATGTCATATTAAACCATAGTTCATGTTTAACACTACTCAGAATTCCCCATTTCACTCTTCCCTTGATCATGGCTGCAAAGTAGAGCAAAGCAAGGAATCATTAAGCCACAGTTGAACATTAGGGTGGAAGTCAGCTTTGCAGTACTGGCAGCTTGCTGGACAGAACAATCCCTCCTCTCCTCATACATTGTTCTTGGGGTTCCCCAGACCCCCTCAGCTAATTGGTTTTGTGGTTGAAAGTCTCATTGTGCAAGCAGAGCTCCCACTGACTGGGTTTATTAGGTGAATTCTGGTTTAATGTGACATCGGAATCAGTTGTATATTTGTCTTGTTTAAAGAGCTGTTGTTGTTTTGAAAAATCATAATAATGAAAACAAAAACAAGGTCAATTTTTAATTTTCTGTAAGCCAACATCGTTTTTGTTTTTGTCGTCGTTTTTTACTGGATAAACATAGATTTCAAAACAATAAGGTCTGTGTGAGTTTTCATTCTCTGCAAAAGTTACCTTCTTGCAGTCTGTGGTGAAGTAATCTGATCATCTATATTTAATCGATGTTAAATTCCATCTTGAAGAAAATTGCTCTTCTGCATGTTTTTAAGACAAGAGTTCTAAGGCTGTATTCTGTATTAAATGTGTTCCAGTTTGGTGCCAGTAGGTGGAGTCATAGCCATTCTAGCAATTCCATTTTTGCTTCAGAGCGATCTTAACCAAAGAGTATGACCGCTTAGCTGGAAGAGCCCTTTTCTTAGTTGAATTGTTACACAAAAATAATGTACAATAACAGCACTTTTTGTCTAAGGTTGTTTTATGATGTCCATAGGTATTTTCAAAAAGGGTTTGCCCATAACAAGACAAGATGTTGGCTTTCTAATGTGTTTTTTCCCTGCCATGTCAATGCAAAATATCTAAGCAAATTAATAACCAGTTATCTGTGAACATTTTGTACTTGTCAAGGTAACTTTTACCAAAATCGGACCATTTGTGTAACCTTGAATTATATATTTTCACTGTATCAATGCCCACATTGTCAAACAGCAGAAACGGGATAAATTATGTGCTTGGTTTTGATTTCAATATGCTTTTTGATTTATAATGAGACTAGTGATAATGACTATCCTAAATTGTGACACTGAGCTTAACACAAATTATTCTGAGAATATCCAGCTAAAATAGTCTGAAATGAAATTTTGCATGTAAACCAAATCACTTATTTTTTATTAGTTGAGAGAGCCGTGGTTTTCAGAGCTAGTCCATCCATAGGGCTAATTTAAGGGGTTGGAGAGAGCAGACACCTGGGACATAACACCCAATTGGCAGTCTTTTGTAATATATAATTTGCCTAAAATTGTGCACTGAGCACAAGCTTTTGTTTTCTAATTGATTTACGGTTTGAGCCACTTTTACCTCATCCCCTACTGTCCTGCACACAGTGCCAGCAAGTACATTACTGTGAGAGATGATAAATTACCATGCACTTGTGATGCTAATGCATCAAGAGTAAAGAAAAAAGAAAAAAGGAGCACACTACGTAGAGCTCCTTGCATTAACAGTGTTGCAAAGATACATCCAAGCAAAACTCATTTGTATCATTAGAAATAACCATTCATTTGATCACTTACTGAAACCTGCCTATTCAACTGTAATTGAAATGGAATATTAAAATGATATTGTTAATGGCTCTCAATCTCTTAAGAGGGGAAAGGGTTTTTTTTAAGCATGTTCAAAAGGCTATGATTCTTTTTAGCTACTGTGTTTTAAAGTGCATAAGGCAAAGTGGCCTTGGAAGTACTTGAAGTCGGTTGGCCAGAAACGAGAGGCTAGTTCTGTGTAATTAATTCCTCTTTTAAATCATTCTTATTTCCTCATAATAATTAAGGTAGGCTTGCCATATTTCAGAAAGTAAAATTCCTGAGACACCCCCAAAGTTGTTGAGCTTCCTCTTTCTGGGGCTGGCTGAGCGGCAGGCACCAGGCATGTTATGAGCTCCTTCCCAAAGGGAGAGATTTTAGATTTAGATTTGCGGAGTTGGAAGGGACCTTTAGGATCATCTAGTCCAACCCCCTGCAATGCAGGAGTCATTCACCCAACGCATGGGACTCAAACCCACAACCCTAAGATTAAGAGTCTCATGCAGAGCTATCCGGGGGAGGGGAGGGTTAATGCAAACAAACAACCCCTCCCTGCTCAGAATTCTTTTCCCAACAGATGCGGAGTATCTCAACCCAACCCCAGAGTGAGATCCCAGCATTCTGCAGAAGGAGTAGTAATGACAAGTTCACATTTCCTTCACATAGATGGGAAGAGGCTTTCCTTGTTACCCGCCTTGGTTTCCCCTCCACCAGATCAGAGAAGACCAGAGAGACTCCATCCCAAATCCTAGAGAGTCCCTGCCAGTCAGCATAGACAACACTGAAGTAGAGGGACCAATAGTCAGCTTCCTACGTTCCCAGTTCTAAGCATGGTTACTCAGAGCTTAATTCCATTTATCCCAATAGGGCTTACTGCCTTGTAAGGTGCAAAGGCATGCAGCCTTTAACATGTGGTACGTCCAATATATAATTATATAATCTATGCATGTGACCATAACTGCTTCAACATTTAAATGTATTATGACTTGCAAGGTATGTGTAACGTGTGGTTATTATTATTTCAAAAAAAGAAAAGAACCATTTTTGGATATAAGGAAAGAGAGATGCTTAAAATACATTCACCCCTAAAGTGTGACTAAGGAGAACATAGAATTAACATTTCAGGTTAAGAAAAGAAAAGAATTGGGACAAGCTTTTTCTCAATCAAGTTTTTATGTGTGGCGTGGAGATGGGAGTCCACCTTAAATGTGTGTGTGTGAGATGTTGTGGGTTCCAGTCTTTGAAATATGAAGAAACAGATTTATAGCGGCTGCTGGGCACAACAAATTAAGTTGACAGTGATGTATGAGAGCATAATAGCATGATGATCCCTCTGTAGCGCGGCTGGACGCCTCCTGCTTCATTTGGCTCTTGTTAGGATCTGTTAGGCAGCTAAATAATGAAATTCTGCTGACTGATTTCTGGTTGTTGTTTTTTGTTTTGTTTTTCCTTTTCAACTCTTCTCTGAATCCTCTTATTTCTCAGACCCATCCTAATGCCAGCAAACTGCCATTAAAGGATTCTTTCACTTATGATGATTACAGGTTGGTTTCCCTTTTTATATAAAAGTGGGTTGTTAAATGCCTTCAAATGCTTCCCTAGAAAATAATCAAGTTATTAATCATGAATCCCTGGTCCAGCCATAGTAGTTATATTACAGATCAGAGAATATAATTAATTTAGCCATCTAGATTTTAACATCAAAAGTTTTATAGCTAACCAGTTAGCATTAGTTAATGGTTGTTTCTAAATGCTGTTGTATTACTTTTCTTAATGCTTATATTACTTTTTTAATTGGCCTTGGCCCACGGTTACTGTTTAATACTCTGGTATCTGTTAAAACAAAAGTAAGACCCTCTATATATAGATATATATGCTGGAGCATGCTTTGTAAGAAAATGAATAACATTCATAGAAGTCTTGCTATGTCTGAATTGACTCCCAGAGAAATTATCTTAATTTTCTGACATTATTGAGCTGTCACATCAAACCAATACATTAACCAGAACTGGATACAACTTGTTTTTTTGTTTAGTCTGTCCCACATTCCTTTAGGTTTTCAAAAGTTAGATGCTGCAAGTGATTTATTATTATTATTATTATTACTACTACTATTAACAACAACAACAACAACAATTTTATTATTAGTCCCCTCCCATCTGACTAGATTGCCCCAGCCACTCTTGGCGGCTTCCAACAAAATATTTAAAATACAATGAACCATCAGTCATTAAAAACTTCCTTATACAGGGCTGCCTTCAGATGTCTTCTAGAAGTCATATACAGTAGTCATTTATCTCTTAGACATCTGATGGGAGGGTGCTTCACAGGGTGGCACCACTACCGAGAAGGCCCTCTGCCTGGTTCCCTGTAACTTCACTTCTCATAGTGAAGTTACCGCCAGAAGGCCTTCAGAGGTGGACCTCAGTATCTGGGCTGGACAATGGGGGTAGAGATGCTCCTTCAAGGGCCAAAGCTGTATATTGCTTTAAAGGTCACCATAAGTGGACAGAAGACAGTAGATTGGCAAGGGATTATGATTCCCAATTGTTTTGCAGTAGCAACAGCAAGCAAAATGACACCCCCCCCAATACCTAGGTTGCTGAAATGGAGAAAGAACGATGTTCGTCTGAAAGAACAGTGAACTCATTTCAGTTCTTGTACTGAACAGTTATTTCTTGGCTCTTAATGTGCTCAGAGGCACCCTGTTCAATTCTAACAATATGTCTTTTCACCCGACTGGTTGGTACTAAGAGCAGATTTTTTTTCTGCTATTGGCAGAAAGTTGGGAAGGATTATAATCTGAATTGGAACTTTTTGTCTATCTATGACTTTCACTAAACTGAGTATTTTGTCTTGTAGATGGGCAGTTTCCTCTGTCATGACACGACAAAACCAGATTCCTGCTGAGGATGGTTCCCGGGTTACCTTAGCACTGATTCCTTTATGGGACATGTGTAATCACACCAATGGGCTGGTAAGAACAGTGTTGTTGGGTTTTGTGTGTGTGTGTGTGTGTGTGTGTGAGAGAGAGAGAGAGAGAGAGAGAGCGAGAGAAGATGTCCAATAGCACATTGACTAATCCACAGTGGCTATCCCTGGGATAATGGATATGTCTCAGGTTGACAAGATAACTCTAAATATGTCAGGATGAAGGAGATATTTTTAACAGGTGTTTAACACACAAGAGAAGGAGCCAGACACTCGGAGGTAAAAGAATTCCAATAGTAAGCAGCAGAATGGGGGGCAGCCTCTAGGCATGGAAGGTGTTGATTTGGGGGTGCAAATGTTTGTTTCAGAGGACCTTACCACCTTAAAACTAATAGCTAGACAGGAGGAGAAGTACACTTTAATGTTGAGGAACAAAATCATCAATACAAGTTTTGCTGGGAGGAGAAAGTATGTGCAAAGGAACTGCTTTGTGCAGAAGTTGTCTTTATCCACATCTGCAGTAAAAACAAAGATATGTTGCCTCCTTTCTCGAGCTATGATGTTTGATACCAGCTGATGGATCTCTTGTATCTCTGTTTTTCTATAGTATTAATACTAGTAATTTTGGGCTTGTTGCATGATGATCCTCTCCGCCCAGTAGGCTCTAAACCTCTGGCAGCACCAGCAACCAGTTTGACTGTCAAGTCACAATACCGCTAGAAAATAACAATGAGAAATACATGAAGACAGTATTCTTGACAGAGTTCTTGGAGCAGGATGATCTAATTAGTAGTGTCAGGAGCAAGAGAAAGCAGGATGGACACGGTTCCAACTAAAACCAAAAGAGCCTTTTATTATTTAGCTTGTGGAAGAAGAAGAAGAAAGGCCCATGGGGTAGAGCAAGAATAAAAATGCATTATAGCTGACTGACTCGAGAAACATCTCGCCACCAACTTTGCAGCAGACTTCAAAGAAGGCAGGGTCGTCTCTCTTCCAGATTTCATTCAGTGAGTCAGGATTTCATGGAGCATCAGTATGGAATCAGAGGCCAGAGTTGTGCTAAGCTCACAGGGAAATGCTTCATTGATGGGACTTGCCCATTTGTTGTAGCACACCTGGGTGTAAACAGTTTTCATCTGCACTGGGACATCTGCACTGTCCCATTTGGTTGGCAAAGACATTTCTGAACCTCATGCACCTTCCTAAAATATAGCTGCAAATAATATAGCAATCTCAGGCCCAGGTCCATCCCTGCAAGCCTCTCTGTCTAGCCCTTGGCATTCCCTCAGGCTGGTGCTCCTCCACGCCTCTCGCTAACCCTACCATGTGTCCTCTTCAAGTGCTTTTTCCTGAGTAGATGTCTCCTTGAACTGGGATGATATGCATGAGTTTTGCCTGGATAGAGTGTGCGTTCGTGTAAAGCTCAATAATTTGTATGGCTGGAATGTAGCCAGCTGTAATAAAGGGAAGAGTCCTCCTATCTGTTGCTCTTCCACACTCAGTCCATGAGCTGTAGTGGGGACCTATAAATACCTGACCAGCATTGTTTAACACTGAATTTGCATTTAGCTTTAAGCATTTTTGGAAAGTGGGGGGATCCAAATTTGCATTTTGATGAAACGTTTTCTTAATGCATCATTTTGTGCATATATTGACCTATTTTTCATGTCTTAAGGTTTACTCTTCATGTCCCTTTGATATAGAAGGGGATGTTTCCCTTGAGCTCAATGAATGTTGTGGGCAGGTTGATACTCAAAATCAAAACTGTCCATTAGCTCTTTGGATTTTATTTGGTTCAGAGCCCTTTGCTGTGGCTATTTGCTTTTCCTAGCCCCCTCCCCCCTTGGTAGACTGTAGTCTATATTTCCCCTGGGTGTTGGTGCTGGGGATTAGCTGGGACTACTGCGCTAGTCCTTATGGGTTTGATCCCCCATGGATAGTTTCTCCTCACTTTTCAGCTCCTGGGACAAGAGGAAATGTTTTTTATAGAACTATAAAAATCCGACATGCCCAAATTCCAAGCTGCTTTTTAGTTTGGAACACTTGTATACAGACAAAAATGATATAAGGAAAAGAGAAACCTTTGAGAAGGACAAAAAAGCAGGAAGCTATTCCACTAGGGAATGAGAGGAACAGCTTTTTTAAAAAAAGGAAAATGAAAGCCCATAAAACAAGTTTCATATGCCATAAAACCAGGCACCCTCCCACAAATTCTGTATATCGAAACATTAAAAGAGCCCTGAAACACTTGAAACTGATTGTCATCCAATTTAAAGTATTCTGATTAAAGATGTTAGTTTGAAGAAGAAGAAAAACATTTCCCCTTTGTGTTTAGATGATGGCATGTGTCAGAGCAGGCAACATACTAGAAAAGGCATTCACTTGTATGTGATATAAAATTAATACCTCCTCTAAGATGATACCTGCAACCCTATTTTTCTTCTTCTGCTTGATTAAATAGGGCACTATTTTAAATCAATCAAAAGATTTTAAATCTATTGATTTAACTGATTATTCAACTAAGCATCACAACCCCAATTGAAAACCTCTGTAGATTTTGTTTCAAATCACATCTTCAGGACACAACTATGTATGAGGCCTGTTCCTTGAGATTGGTATGTTTTCTGTGTTGTACAGCTTGATTTATCAAGAACATTCCTGCTTTATGAAAATAATATTGTGGGACAATTTCCATGTTAATAATGAGCCACTTTAGTCCTTGTGGTTTGATAAAAGAAATATGGTTAAGTGGCAACGTCTTCATCTTCCCACAGCAAAATCCCATCACCATCTAAGAATAATTACCTAAGTTTCAGATAAAGAGGTTATTTGCAAATAAATTGGAGTCCTCTGAAGAAAGTATCCCCCCAAAGATTCACAGTTATCCACTCCTCTTTTTGATTCAGAGTGATGAAAAATGCACTGAGAGTTGAAGTGTGTGACAGAAACTAGTTCTCTTAGTGCAGTGCTGCAGAGGACCCCATGGGAGTAACTTGAAACTCAACAGCACTGTTGTGTGCGAGAGGGGTCAACTCAGGACCAACACAAAGTGGTCTAGAAGGGTGCCATTTTTTATAGCTTTTCTATAATATTTGAGAATTGTTGGAGAACAGGTGAGGTCCCTGCAAGCTGGAAGTGTGCAAATGTTGTCCCCATCTTTAAAAAAAAATGGGGGGATTATCTGACTAAACTCTCACCAGCCTTTGAAATAGGGTTGGGGAGCCTCTGGCCCTCCAGATGTTGCTAAACTACAACTCCCATAATCCCTGACCATTGGCCATGCTGGCTGGGGCTAAAGGGAGTTGGAATCCAGCAACAGCTGGATGGGCACAGGTTCCCCAATCACTGCTCTAAAAGAAAGGAAAATACAAGGTAACTTCCCCAAGGACTAAGAGGCTTGACTTTGTTACAGGGTAGTAGGTGCTGTTTCTTCTTGTTATTTTTAAAGTAGTGGTCATTTTACATCCTTTAAAGCAGGCACCCCCAAACTTGCCCCTCCAGCTGTTTTGGTACTACAACTCCCATCATCCCTAGCTAACGGGACCAGTGGTCAGGGATGATGGGAATTGTAGTCCCCAAACATCTGGAGGGCTGAGTTTGGGGGTGCCTGCTTTAAAGGAAGATCAGGCTCATACAAACAAGCTTGAACTATAAAATGCTGAACCTTTTTCTTCTTTCTTTTGAATCCTCTGTATAGATCACTACAGGCTACAATTTGGAAGATGACCGTTGTGAATGTGTAGCACTTCAAGATTTTAAGGCTGACGAACAGGTAATCTTGAGATATGTGTGTGTGAATTAACATTTGAAGTTCCATGCGTAGAATTCATACATGTACAGATGCATCCAATTGATAGTAAATACACGCAATTCTAATCTAGCTTCAGGAGTCTTGTTAATTTTCACTAGGAGTGTTCCATGGGACATTCCTTACAAATGTGTTATAAAGACTGAGGATAGATAGCTCTCTTTTTTGTAACATAAAAAGTGCATTTGTCATTGCAAAGGAAGAAGAATGCCTTGATCTAAAGCGACCTTACCTTGTGCCATGAGTAACTCAGCCATTTTTTGTTTTGAATGAGAGCACATTGGTAGAAATGTTCACATAGGTGAGGGCGTTTAAAATACTTGACCTGAGCATCATAAGCTGGGCAACCATTGTTTGTTCAGCATTTTGCTCTTCGGCATTATTTAGTTCACATTCAGCTGTTTTCTGACTTCTTACCACTTAACCGTCCAGAAAATAAAAGATGATGTCACTAACCAATTCAGCTGTCAGGATCCATTCTCCAAGGGATGTATAGCTCCTTTTAACAGGCATCAATATCTGCCTTCAGTGCTCACTTCCAATATCCTTGCGATTCATGTTGTCCATTATTACTGTTGACCATTAATTCTTGGACTTCCCTGTGATGTAGTATAAAGAGCTATTTGTTAATGCTGTTTATACCCCACCCTGTCACAACAGCTTGAAGTGGATGCTTCATATAGGTTTACAATTTCTCATAAATTTCTTGCAATTCTGAAACATGTCCCAGCTGCTAATTTAGCAAATGACATTATTAAGTAAAATTATTGGATGTTCTCATAGTCCATTGCGAACCGCCCTGGGATCTTCGGCAGTATACAAATTTAATAAATAAATAAAATTAAATAAATCAGGTCATTTGTCCCCATAAACTTGCACACAGTTAAGTTAAATTTGGTACTTACGGTATATATGTGGGGAAAGTGGAAAGAATATTATGTCCAAAAATCCAGGCATCCATTAGCCACTGGTACCTGAAAAGCAACATGGTGACTGGCACGTGAATTACTAAAGAGATCAGGATGCAGATTTTCTTCTTCTACTGATGTGTGCTGCTGTTCGGGGGACCTGGTTCCTACCTCCTCTGAGTCTCTGTTTTGTTCCTTTCCCAACTGTGCTCCCTTCCTCTTGTATACGCTATGCTCTGCACCCTTACACTGATATGTATGTGGGCTAGCAGCAAGACCTTGTTTTCCTCTCCATCCCCACGAAGAGGGGAACAGACCAGAATATTCCAGCAAGTACAGGGCTCACCCACTTATGGGCCAGGGTGAAGCAGCTGCCTCAGGCAGCCTCTGAAATAGTGCCAATATTCGTGCCAATTTCACACAAGATCTTGACGAAATAACGAGAAACCTTGCAAGATTTTGGCAATATCTCACCGAAAGTTTATGCTGATGCCAGTGCCACAGCAACAGTGCTGGCAGAGCTGGTGGCGAAATGGGTCACACCGACCCTGGATCCCACTTCTCACTAGTGGGCATAGGTTTCCATTTCTAGTTATTAGGAAAACCTACTAGCTTTGGTGTTTTGCAAAAACTTTGCACCCCTGCCGCTCAGGTGATCTTTGCTTTTTCCATTAAAAAAGACCAAGACACTGATGGCTAACAGAGTGCGACAGAGGTGAAGGATGAAGCAGAGTTGACACACTGGAGACACAATAAGCATTCTCTTGGATATCTGTTGAAAAGGGGGAGCACTATCCAAAACTAATCATAGGGCAGCAGTTCTGATAACTACAGTACACATTTATAGAATTAAATGTTATTTAACACATAGAGTAGACCTCGAGTCTCTCGGCTAGCTGGCTTCCATTCAGTGGTCTTGGGAAAGTAAGCAGAAGGAAAATCTCAGTTAACTCCCCCGCGTAGTATCAGCAAACTCTGTTAGACGGAACCCGGTTCAGGAATGATATCCAGTAATATTTTGAGGTCCCTTTAGAATGTGAATGCCATCTTTTTAGGTGAGGTGTTCTCTTTCTTTGATTGGTCAAGTCATTTGACAGCTCACGGTACACCATTTTTTGGAAAAAGCTGCATTTCTGTGTGAATTCTGTTGCTCTCTATTTCTAATGCATGTAGTTCTGAAGATGGTCAATGGAGGAGCTTTGGGCACATGCAGGTAGAGGTCTCTGTGTTTAGAACAGCGTCCAAAGTGTTTGAGTAAAAGTAGTTCCTAGGGTTAAAGTTTGCCTTGTCCGTTATTTAAAGATAGCATTCTCATATGCATTGTGGTCTGCAGCACTATAGTATGGGGGGGGGGGTTGTGTAATGTGTAATTTGTCATTCCATGAGTTGATCCTAAGCTATTTTTCTGTCCCTTCGCTTCTCTTTTCATCCTCCTAGATTTACATTTTTTATGGCACTCGGTCAAATGCTGAATTTGTGATCCACAGTGGGTTTTTCTTTGATAATAATTCACATGACAGAGTGAAAATAAAGCTTGGAGTGAGTAAAAGTGACAGGCTGTATGCTATGAAGGCAGAGGTCTTAGCTCGCGCTGGCATCCCAACGTAAGTCAAATTGAAAGACGCTGTTTTTGTATTGAAACATTTCAAGCTCTAAGGTCAAGTAGAACATTATAGCAAAACTGCTGTTCATTAAAGTAGGTGGAGCCTACATTATATCTCACTCCTATATAGTTATCTTAAATTGCTGTTATTAAGCAAGTTTGCTGATTATGAGACACGTTTACCAACATCTTTAGAATAAATTGTCTGTTGGAGGGCAAGAGAATATGCCGGTTTGCTATTTTTGCTCTCTGTTTCCCCTCATTATAAAAGTACCGTCATGGTCTATTTGTGACCTATAATGCTTTCAGCATCCTTCATTTTTGAACCATAAATCCAAACACACACTGTTACTTTTGAACCATAATCTTTTTAATTCAGACTATTGTACAATATCTAGTCAGTGTTCTTTGGTTGAATTACCAGCCATCTTGCTAGATTGAATAGATTTTCTTCTAATGGATTTTTCAATAATTTCTGATGGTCAGTATGTCAAGGGAGCAAGTGTTAATATTTTGTAGCTTGGAAATGAGATTTCTATAGGTCTTAACGTGGTAAATGAAAGCATGCACAATTTTTATTAGGTAGTTATATAAAGTAATAGTAAAGTAATACTTGACTAATCTATTATAGAGGAGGAATTGCTCTATTTTTATCTGAGAAAAGTTTGAACAGCTTCAGTTTAATGCTCAGAAAGTGGATTGACCCTTATACAGCTTCACTTTACAATAATAAGAATATATTATAAATTAAGGATTTTCATACCACATAATCAAGCTACCAAAGACTGACGTCTTATTCACTTTTTTTTTTTACTTTCTTTTTTAGTTCTAGTGTGTTTGCCTTGCACTCAACAGAGCCTCCAATCTCAGCCCAGCTTCTGGCTTTCCTTAGAGTGTTTTGCATGACGGAAGGTAAAAAACAAACAAACACCTTTATGAAAAATTGTATCAAATTTTGTTTGATTGTTTGAAGGTCAAAATGGGATTAAGGAAAGAAAGTTCAGCCCTCCAAAGAATTCCAGAGAAATTACTAGCCCACCAAAGAAAAAATATCCTAGCCTTTCTGACCATATATACCATTCTCTGGTAGACATTAATGGAACATTGAAGATCTGGAAAGACTATTTTCCAGTTTGCAAAAGCTTTTATAGAATTTTAGAGTTGGAAGGGACCCTGAGGATCATCTAGTCCAACCCCCTGCAGTACAGGAATGCACAGCAGTCCCATGCAATGATTGAACCTGCAACCTTGGCATTATCAACACCATGCTGTAACCAACCTAGGCAAATTTTACTTGTCACAATTGATTACACAAGTGGCTATTTACAAGCCTAGTTTGTAAACCAAAATATATTCTTCAGGATTTTTATACCTCTTTTTTCTTGGAGATGCTATATTGAGGAAGGTGGGGAATTGCAAATAAAAGATCATTAGTTAGGTATTTATTTATAGCTTTATGCAAAAAAAACCAAACCCTCAAGGTGAGTTTGTAAGATGAAATAAATAAAAGCAATTTAAAACCACAAAAAATTAAAATTATGAACAATACACGCTCTGTGATGATGAAGCCTTCTTAGGCTGTGATATTTTCACAGACTTAGCTGGAAGAAAATCACATTGAACTTGGTGATGGCCGGAATAAATGGAACAATTATCTGTTTGTATTTAGAGAATCTATTCTGTGCCAGTAAAGTCTGGAGCTTCAGCTCTGAAGAACTCAGAAAGCAACAGGTCCACTTACTAATGCTATGAATGGTTCGGTTTTGTTAGCCTTCCAGAGGCCAAAATAAATGGAGCAATTGCTGATTGTCCTTTCTCCTCCTCAACAGATGAGCTGAAGGAGCACTTGATAGGAGAGCATGCAATCGACAGAATCTTCACTCTTGGCAATTCTGAATTTCCAGTGAGCTGGGACAATGAGGTGAAACTTTGGACATTCCTTGAAGCCAGGGCATCTCTTCTGTTAAAAACCTACAAAACCACTATTTTGGTAAGACTTCTAAGAGCATGCTTGTACTTATAACCTAACAGGATATTTGGTCTAATCTCATAGGAATGAGTTCGTCTTTTTAAAACATTCCCTTTTGGTGCCTTTCTCCTCTAGAAAGGAGTTAATAGTATTCTTTGTGCTTGAGAGATGTTTAGAGGTGTAAGCTCATCATTTGGCTGCTGCACTGTAGGTTTTCTGAACTTTGTACAGAGGTACCTCTGGTTACGTACTTAATTCGTTCCGGAGGTCCGTTCTTAACCTGAAACTGTTCTTAACCTGACTACTTTAGCTAATAGGGCATCCCGCTGCTGCCGCTGCACAATTTCTCTTCTCATCCTGAAGCAAAGTTCTTAACCCGAGGTACTATTTCTGAGTTAGCGGAGTCTGTAATCTGAAGCGTATGTAACCCGAGGTACCACTGTATTCAGAAATGGACCATGTATTTCAGAAGCTGGGCTTCTGAAAAAAAGCAATTTTCTATTTTAGTATGTGTGCGGTACTTTGGGGTTGAGGAGGCAGGCACCTCTTAATGCTTATGATTTATACCCACTTTTCAGACACACTCATTCCAGCTACTCTATAGCAGTGTTTCCCAAGCTTAGTTCTTCTGCTGCTTTTGGACTACAATTCCCATCATCCCTGACCACTGGTCTTGCTAGCTAGGGATGATGGGTGTTGTAGTCCAAAAACAGCTGGAGACCCAAGTTTGGGAAACACTGCTCTATAGTGTCTTTCTGGGCATGGAAACTCTTTTGTCTTCTCAAAAGGTTTCTTCGAATTGCAAACATTTCCTTTTTTTCCAGACCTCCGCTGACTTAAGATTCCAAGACTGTTTCATACTCAGTATTATCTGCTCGCTTTAATGAGTCTACTTTCTGCCCCTTAGGCCTAGAACACCTATCTGCTGCTACCTTTCACTATGTATAACTGCATTCATTTTTACATTTGACCTGGCATAACAATGGCATTGTTACAATTAATACAACAATGTAAAAACTGGTAACTTTGACCACTTACAGAAGTACAGCTTTACGGTTAAAATCCAAAGCCTTGCTTAGATTTTGGTGAACGCACTACGTTTTATTCTCTTCTCCCCTCCCCCCTTTCTCTTTTTAGGATGATAAATCTTTTTTGGAAACGCATGACCTTACCTGTCACGCGACAATGGCTATTAAACTGCGCTTAGGTGAGAAAGAAATTTTGGAGAAAGCAGTCAAGAGTGCGGCCACCAACAGAGAGTACTACGGCAAACAAATGGCAGAAGGAGTTCTCCTCCCCAAGTATGAAGAGAGTAATATTGCCTTACTAGAGAATACTGTGGCAGACTCAAGACTCCCAATTGTCTTGAGAAACTTGGACGAAGAGACGGAGGATCAAGAGGACTTAAAGATTGAGGAAGCCATTGGGGCAGAAGTTGCAGCAAATGGATTTGTGAATGGTGACAATTCTTTGCTTAACGGGACCAAATCGGAAAATGAAAATCTAAATCAAGAGGAAAGTAACAGAGAGACTGAAGATGCCAAAGAATCTTCTTCAGACAGTACTGATGAGGTTAAAGAATAGCTCTAAAATAGTTTTGAATTTATTGTGAAATTGAAAACTAGCAGGTGTTCCCTTCTTCTTCTTCTTCTTCTTCTTCTTCTCCTCCTCCTCCTCCTCCTCCTCCTCCTCCGAACAGTGATTTACATTGGTGTGTTTCCTAACATTTCTTTCTGCAGAGGAAAATGTTTTTTGCTGCTTTATAATAATAATAAAAAGAAGATTTTTAAGTTATTTAAAAGATTTAGCATCCCTTTTCTACTAAGATTGCCATCTTGCTTTTGGAGGCCTAGGGTCCAGGAAAAATGAGAGAGGTGGTACCTTTGGAGAATTGTGCAGCCCTCGGTTAGGAAAACGTGTTTACTTCCTAGGGAAGAGTTCAACTTTATCTGCTATCTTTCTGTTCTGTTTACTCTGACTTCTAAAATGTAAAGCTTGTTTTCTTGCCCAAGGAGGTGGCAAGTTTGACTGACTGACCACTTGGCATAAGCAGAGATCAGAGCAGCACAAAAGAGTAGATGCACTGAAAAGTAGATACACCCTTAAAAATGTAAGGTGGCAACCTTATTTTCACTAGGTTTCAAACGTTAAGAATACATTCTAATTACAGTGGTTTCTATGAACTATCGTTTATTTTGTGGTTTGGTTTACTGTACAAGAAACTTAATTTCCCACCCCACCATATCCTTGAAATCAAAGTGCGCAACTACAGTACATCCTCAGTTTGTTTATTATTATTTTTTAAGGCTTGACTTTTTTAAAATTTCAAAATGGCACTGGTTTAATTTGGTGAAGAAAGAGATTGGAAGCAGCTCAGCCCAGCCTCCAGATTCAAACTGTGTTGTTCAGAGTGAGGCTGCTCCCCAACCTTTTCAGATTTTCACAAATAGCTAGAGATTTTCAAAGCTACACTTTTGACTAAGAAAATTATTAAAAGTAAAACTTGATTAATTTGTGTCTGCTACTTTTTCATTCATTTGCATGAGCATAAGCGTTGGATGTATTGACTTAGATTTCAACTCTGGCTACACAGGCCGCAAGGGAGTTGGGATAGGAGTGGTAAGCAGCAGGGTCTGGGGAATGTGTGAATACACACAGTAGGGGTGAGAGGAACTGGCTCCCACCAGTGTGGACCGCTTTGGCATGTGGGTGGGGCACTGTCCTCTCAAATCATGTGACAACAAGCAATTCAAAGGTCAGGTATTGTCTTTCAGTGGAAGATTCTTCATTTGCAGTTCCAGCTCCTCTGCAGCCATTGCTTGACTTCAAACTAGAGAGGCAAAAAGAGACTCTTCCTCGAACTTCCCCATCTGATGTTATATGGTGTCCAATTTGGGGGAAGTAAAGGTAAAGGGACCCCTGACCATTAGGTCCGGTCGTGACCGACTCTGGAGTTGCGGTGCTCATCTCGCTTCATTGGCCGAGGGAGCCGGCGTACAGCTTCTGGGTCATGTGGTCAGCATGACTAAGCCGCTTCTGGCGAACCAGAGCAGCGCACGGAAACGCCGTTTACCTTCCCGCCGGAGCAGTACATATTTATCTACTTGCACTTTGACGTGCTTTTGAACTGCTAGGTTGGCAGGAGCAGGGACTGAGCAACAGGAGCTCACCCTGTCGCGGGGATTCGAACCGCCAACCTTCTGATCAGCAAGTCCTAGGCTCTGTGGTTTAACCCACATTTGGGACAAGTGGGTAGTCCTAAATACCCTGGTGGGCCAACCTCTGGGACTTGTTTTTTTTTTTTTTATAAGCATTATTAAACAGCTTAATTTTTTTTAACCCCCTAAGGTTGTGTACAACATAAACAATATTGCTAAAAGAAAAATGCAACATAGAACCAGTAAAACAGCAATAGCAACATGTCCATGAAAAAAAGTCTGAGTGTGACACAGTTGTTTCTCAGGACATCATTAAGCCTGCAATTCTGTGCCTTCTTATGTAAGAGTAAATCATTTTGAAAACATTGGGCTTTACTTCTGAGTAAACATGCATAGGATTCCACTTAAAATTGTGTCGTTATTACTTTTGCAATACAATATTGCCACTTTTAGGGACCATATTATCGACTAATCAGGGTGGAAGGCTGGATGTTCCCTACCAATGAGCTAAAGCCTATTCATTTGGGATGTAACCCAGAGAAAGCTAGGCATGTCCAAATCCCATTGACATCTGTGGGTGATTAGAGCTTAACTACAGAGCTAAACTGAAATAGCCCTTTTTAGTTTTGTTCTTGCTATTGTCAAGAGACACTTCTATTTTTTTATATGCTTTTGACTGCAACCTTTAATTTTTTGCCAATATCTTAGCCTTGGAATTAGAAGGAAGCATGTCTGGTCTAAAAAGCCTGGGTTTTAACGGTCCAGACAATTGTGCAGTTCCTCACAGATCAGGAAAGATCTGGAACCTTGGGGGCAGGCGAGCCGTAATCTATAAGCTTGTCTGAACAAACACATTCAGGGAAGTTTCCCAGTCTAAGCTACCAGGAGTCACCAACCTTTTGGGGCCTATGGGAACTTTTGCTATTTTGAGAGTGTGCATTGGGTGCCGCTCTCCAGTTGCTTCTCCTCCCTCTTCCATGTCCGTCTGTTTACTCACCCATCGGCAGGAAAGAAGTAGCATGCATATACACTTTGTTTTTCTGGGTGTCTGGGTAAAAATCTGATCCTGCAGAATTAAAAACAGGCGCTATTGAACTTTCCATAATTTTGCACCAGGTCCTCAACAGTGCAAGCTTATAGTACATTGCAGTTTTTAAAAACCGCAGATCTGGTGTGTAGCTCACCTCCACAAAAAATTACCTTGCATGGGTTTTCATGTTTTTTTACTTCGGTAAACAACAAAACCACCAGTTAGAGAAACACAAATTTCAGGAAGCGTCTGTGAACACTGAGGTGTCCTATGATTTGATTGTAGCTTTGAGGGGATTCCCTTGTAAAAATTATGAAGATCCATAAAGATCTGTGCCTCAGGTTGATGTATTTGTGCCACGTCAGCTTTTGAAAGCACCTGGACCCATAATTTTTATATGGTTCAGTCAGTGGAGATGAATGTGATCTGTGATATGATGGCTGTTGGGTGGGAGGAGATTCTTTGAAAATAGTATGTAATTTGAAGAGAACATTTATGAATCCAAGTTGTTGGGGTGGGGACTGCAAGCACCTTCTCTCTCTCCTGTAGGACCTCACTTCCTTCTCTGTTCCTACCTCAAGACTCCTAGATCATTCCCCTTCATTCCCACCATCTTGACAGTCCGCTTTCTGTGCTGCTGCTCAGGTACATAGAGTTAAAGGAGGAAGTCGCAAAACATATATTATTTACCACATTCTCTTGCATCTTTATGTACTTTTAAAGGGATGAAAGGTAATTCACCCTCACCACCCTATTATTAACTGAGCCCTGGCGTGGGGAGGTGTAGATGTTTTCCTAATCCCAGGAGACGTATTCAGGGGTCCCATTGCACCATGACCACCACATGCAGATGTGCCCCAAAATTTCATATTTGATCCTCCAGAGGGCCCTGTCCATGACAGGTAATCCATTCCCAAAATCACACAGACCACCAGCAATCATCATTTCTGTATTGTCTGGATTTACGTTAATCAGAAAACAAAAATGGCACCTCTTTTGTTAGTCACTTAGTCATCAACCGCTAACCCAGAACAACATGGAAATAGTTTTTCAAATAAGATATTGTATTCTCAAGTCTGATAATTAAAGCTGTCGGTTGTTGGATAGATTATACTGTGCCTTCCCATCGGTGTACAGAACATTGAAGGGGCTATAACATAACCTGGTGGGATCTCTCTACTTACTACTTCCCAGGTTATAAAGCAGCCACCATCTTCTCAAATCTCTTGTATAGTAGTCTTTTGATGCACCATCCTTGAGGATACTCCTGATAGATCTAGTGGTCAGATGTATGAAAAGCAATGAAGTAGTCTAGAAGACAGGGTCACCAGCGGCGTAGCGTGGGTTGTCAGCACCCGGGGCAAAGCAAGTAATTTGCGCCCCCTAACCCGGGGCAAGGCAAGTAATTTGCGCCCCCTAACCCCTAACCTGCCGCCGCTGCCAGCTTCTTCTTGCTGCTGCCTGGTCTGGTCTGGTGTGGTTCTCTCCCGCGCTCAGCGCTGCGCTGGGCGGCCGCTGCACTGTCCCTCCCCCAGATAGTTCCTCGCTCTCTCTCCGCACCGCACGCCTCGCACCCACCCCCTCCACAGTGGGCGGCGACCCAGCGGCTCAGATCGGATTCGCACAGCCAGCACTGCAGTGAGAGAGAGTGAGTGAGCCAGGTAGGGGCAGAGAGCTGCGAGTGCGAGCGCGCCCCCCCCAGATGTTGCGCCCGGTGCTGCCGGCCCCCCCTGCACCCACCACGCTACGCCACTGAGGGTCACATTCGCCCATCTCCCTACATGAGTACTGCCTACTAAAGCAACTTCTGCCCCAGATACTGTTCACAACCCAGAATTATCTGGATCCAGAAAACTGAATTCTTGCAAAGAATGCTTCGAGCTGTCACATCTAAATACCGAACTTCAAAAAAACCCCAAAAGGTTTTTCCGACATTACTTGGTTGAAAAGAGAGATTTTTAACAATGGTGACTGACTCTTCTCATCCACCTGTGGTTGGTAGCCGTGAGGTACAGTAGTAAAGGTAAAGGGACCCCTGACCGTTAGGTCCAGTCGTGACCAACTCTGGGGTTGCGGCGGCTCATCTCGCTTTATTGGGCGTGGGAGCCGACGTTCAGCTTCTGGGTCATGCGGCCAGCATGACTAAGCCGCTTCTGGCGAACCAGAACAGCGCACAGAAACGCCGTTTACCTTCCCGCTGGAGCAGTACCCATTTATCTACTTGCACTTTGACATGCTTTCAAACTGCTAGGTTGGCAGGTACAGTAGTGCAGAGCAAAGTAGGAAACTCACATGGTCAGATTGCAGCAAGGTTAGGCAGGGTGTTAAGACGAATGACAATGGCAGCTCCCAGCAACCAACTTGTTGCAATAGGGGCTTAGGAATGGAAGCCTTACAAGCTTCTTGACTCAAGTCATGAAGAACCTCTGGCCTGAAGATTGGTGCTCCTCTTTAGCTCTGTGGTCTGTTGCCCATTGTTTCCCGTACTGTTGGACTGGCAAGGTGCTGTTTTGTTTTGTTTTAAAAGAGCAGATAGGGAAATAATCAGTATACAGAATCCCATTTCAAAATGGAGTCATACCTCTCTGCTTCAGGCCATGTTAGAAAATAACGAAAGACCAGGCCAATTTGTTTTATGTATGAAACCACGGCTGCCAGGATGTTACTTGCCCAGAGGTTACTGTCCCAACAAAGGAAGAATGGCAAGTAAAGTTAATGGACTATGCAGAAATGGCAAAACCACAGGAAGTTTAAGAAATCAAGAACTTTCAACAAAGAATGGGGGTTATTTTTTTTAAATGTAAACAATACATTAGCAGAATAAATTTAAAATCTAGCAGTTAAAAGGTGGCTTTAGAAGAAGAATAAAGAGTAATAAAAGGAGTTAAGGAAAAGATGCAGTTTTGCAAATGCTTGTATAGGGAACCAAGGAAAGGGAGGAGGGAAGTCTAAACGATGTATTTGATGGTTATGTTAATTTGAAAAACTGAAAAATAAAGCTTTAAAAAAAAGAAACTGCTTTAACCCTTAAATTGTTAATGTGGTTGATGCCTCTCTAACTTTTTCGGTCACTTACTTGAATGATCTTGGTCTCATCCACACTAAAAGTGAAATAAGATTGCACTAGAAAAACGAACTGCCTTACAAAACCCACAGCCTCTTGTAGGCTGCCGAAGAGTCTTGAGAATAATAACTAAAATATTGCAGCAATTAATTTAAGTGATTGGATGCTGGGGATGGTTTAGTATAATTGCATACAGGTAGTAATTTATTAAGGTGGCTGTTTCTTTTGGCATATGTCAAAAAGGTCAGAGTTTATACCTTTTTTTGGACGTTAACCTAGTCTTCTGAAACTCAGAAATTCTACTTTTTGGTCATTAATTTCATACATGCTGTGATGGTGACAATTAACCCACTTAATAAAGGTCAAGTTTCAATTTTTTCCAATTTCTGGAACACTTAACTTTATTCCTTCTTGAAAATGGGCAGATTACTGAATGATAAATAGCTATTAAATGAGTGCAGGAATGCAGCTCTGCTGACAGGATAGCTGCCGAACAGTTGGCAGCGAAAGGAGTAGGATTACTGTATCTTAACAGAAAGCAGAGGAAAGGAGGAAAGGGGTCTTCCTTCCATAGCTCTATTTTTTTAAAAAAAAACACTGTAATTTAATACAAAGCATACGGGCTTCAGTTTTAGACAAGGCTGCGGGTGGTTTCAGATGACTATTTTGACAATCGTCGGTACTTAATGTGGAAAAATTCTAGTCAGAAATAAGGGGATTTGGCTACATTTACGGATTTCTACTCTGGCAGTCCAGGAAAAAGAAATAGAATCAGGGCTGTCTTAAGCACATGCGGCACCGGGATGCAAAGATCCGCCCGGTGCCCCCCCCAAGTTGCCCAGTCCCAGGTGCGCAGGAGGGTAGAGCTGGTCGGCCGCCTCAGCATCTCGCGGGCTCGGTCGCCCCCCAACTCGCAGTGCAGAGCCGCCCACAGCAGAAGATCCCACTGCGGCGCTCCAACCGACGGGCGGGCTCTTCCCCGGATTCAATTCTCGGGCCTCGGACTCTTGACCTGGCGCCCCTGAGAGCCTGGCAACCGGGTGCCCTGCACCCTTAGTGCCTATGGGGAAGAAGAAGAAGAAGAAGAAGAAGAAGAAGAAGAAGAAGAAGAAGAAGAAGAAGAAGAGTAGTAGTAGTAGTAGTAGTAGTAGTAGTTTGGACTTGATATCCCGCCTTTCACTCCCTTTAAGGAGTCTCAAAGCGGCTAACAATCTCCTTTCCCTTCCTCCCCCACAACAAACACTCTGTGAGGCTGAGAGACTTCAGAGAAGTGTGACTGGCCCAAGGTCACCCAGCAGCTGCATGTGG